CAGCGCGGCGATCAGCGTCGAATCCACGCCGCCGCTGAACAGCACCAGCACGCGCGCCTCCGCGGCCCCGGACCGCCGCATCCGCGCCCCGAAGTCCGTCTGCATGCAGCGGACCTCGACCGCCTTCCGGAGCGCGCGGAGCACCGCGTCCGAGACGTCGCCCGCGGGGACGCCGTGGCGCGGGGACACCAGCGATGACGGGCGATCGAAAGCTGCGATGCGGGCCGGGACGGTCGACTCCCAGGGGTGTTCCTGCACGCGCACGTCCGTTGGATTGTCGAGGTCCATGCTGTAGAGGCCCGGCGGGAGCTCGACGGCGCGTCCGGACCCCCCCGGGGCACCCGCCGTCAGGATCATCACTCCCCCCGTCTCGCGCTGCGGAGGCAGCAGGAGCAGGCTCCTGCGGCCGAGGACGTCGCGCCCGAACCACACGCGCCGCCGCGGCGCGTCCCAGAACACCACCGCCCACGGCCCGCGCAGGCCCGACATCAGCGCCGCCACTGAGTCAGTCTCTGCTGCCGCGGTCAGGTCGCGGAGGAGGACGTCCCCGTCGTTGCTCTGCGGGTCCGCGCGGGACAGTCCAGCGTAGACCTCGCCGTTGAAGAGCAGCGCTGCGCCGCGGGCGCCGCGCCGAATCGGAGAGGTGCGCGTCGTACCGCGGAGCTGGAGGAGCCAGGCCGTGGCGCTGGCCGAGATCGGCGGGCCGTCGGGCGAGGCGGGGGCGCAGGCGAAGGCGAGGGCTTCCTCGCCGTCGGGCCCGCGCCGGCGCATGAGCGCGCCCGTGCCATCGGAGCATGTGAGCTGCGGCAGTGCTGTGGTTGTGGGCCAGTCTGACTGCGACGGGGCGTCCGAGCCGTCCGGCAGGATGCAGGCGGGAAAGTGACATGCGAAAGGCCCGATCGCGAGGTAGATTCCGCACATACTGCGTGCTTGCCCGCACGCGGGCGTGGGACGCGCAACTAGAGCGCTGGCAGCCCCGGCCGCTTCGTGCTGCGCGTCACGCAGCCGCCGGAGCACGGACCACGCTGGTTCACGGCGCGCGGTGGCATTTTCACGCGCGGAGAGCGCGTGGAGGTCGCTCTGCTGCCGTGCGGGGTCACGCGGTGCGCTGCCGCAGCCGACCCGCGCAGGGCCCGTAATCGCCTCGGGCGCAGCAGCGCAGGCGCTGAGCTCGATGCCCGGCCCGTGGGCTGCGCTCTCGCGCGTGCAAACCGCGGGCCACGCCCTTGGCTGCGTGCTGAACCCCAGTTGAGGTGTTTTGATGACCGAGGGGGGGAGGTGGGGTCCAAGGGCGGCGACAGGGGCTCCCGCGCGGCTCCGATGCCGCCGAGGCGGGCCGTGCGGCGCCAGTGACGCGACCGGGCTCAACTTCGCGCAGCCAGCGCTTGAGTTCCGGGTCTTCTCGACCCGCACGTAGTCTCTGAAAAGGGTCTGTGCGTCCATCGTTCGAAAGCCGGCCCTGAACCGGGGTTTCGGAGCCCGCCGGTCGGCGCACTAGGATGTCTGGCGGCGCACCGGGGTCCTTCGGCCCCAGCTGGGCCGACCAGGCCCCCCGGGGACCGTCCGGAGCGATGCCAGCACCCTCGACAACCGGGTACCCCCCCGCGCACTCGAGTCAGGGACAGGTACGCCCGCGCGCACGCCGCGCCCAGCCCCTCGTGCTCCCGTTTGCGCCGTTCGTCCGGTCCGTGGGCCGTGTGCCCCTTCCGCGCGCTCCAGCGGACGGGAGCTACCGGTGCACACTCTGACGCCGCCTGCGACGCCGGAAAGCCGTCCGAGCCGTTGCTCCCCCGCCCACGACCTCCCTCGTTCGCCATTCTGTCCGCACCCCCGCGGCTGTCCGCTAAAGCGCGCTCTAAGGCGCGCTGTGGCCGCCCGCGGTTCGTCTGCTCTTGCGTGCCCCAACGCGCTGCCTCACGCCCGCGTGCGCGCTCCGCAGCCCGTTTACGGACAGCCAGGGCACGGGGGGATGCCGGAGCAGCAGCCCGCGCCAAGCATGGGCTTCGGCGGCCCGCCTGGCGGCTACGGCGGCCCGCAGGGCCCCCCTGCTTCGACGGGGCCGACCATTCCGGACCCGACGGGCGGCGCGGCTGGTGCGTTCCCGCCCTGAACGCCCCCCACGGGCCCTCACCAGCTCTCAATCTCCACGTTCGTCGCGTTTCCGCCGCCGCAACCCTCGCCCCGCGCTCGCACGCGGCGCGCCAATGCCGTACGTTCGCGCTCCGGGCTCTGCAGGGGTCCTGGCGGGGGTGTACGGCTCGCAGTTCCTCAACCGCGGGCAGCAGCTCGTGCAGGGCGGCGTCGGGTACTTCTCCGGCGACATCTTCCTCTCGCTCTTCGCCGTCGACCACCGCTACTGTCGAAACAAACTCAAGGTCCTGCTGTGGCCGTTCGGGGCCAACCTGCACCGCAAACACGAGCAGGTCGCGGTCCAGGGCGGCCCGCGCTTCCGCGCCCCGCGGCACGACGTCGCGGCGCCGGATCTGTACATTCCGCTGTGCGCGGTGGCGACGTACGTGGTGCTGTGCTCGCTTGCGAGCGAGGCGCGGCACGGGTTCTCGACGGACGTGGTGTTCCTGCGGACGTCGCGCGCGGCGCTCGCGTGGGCCTTCCTCGCCGCGGTGTACCGCGCCGTGGTCTATTTAGGGCACGGCAGGTCGGCAGGGCCCTCGCATGCCGGCAACATGCAGACGCACGGAACGACGGTGCCGCTGATGGAGCTCGTGGCGTACGCGGGGTACCTCTTCGTGCTCCTCGACGTGGCCATCGCCGTCGGGCTGCTCCTCGCCTGGCCGGCGGCGTACTGGGCGGCTCTGTGTTACGGCACGGCGTGCCTGGTCGTCTTCCACAAGAACGTGCTGCAGAACCTCCGGATCGACATGCACAGCGTGGGCTCGCAGGTGCGCGTCTGCGCGCGACCGCTCGCGCCCGCCGCGGCACGAGAACTGTCCGCGGTGGTGCGCGCGCGTTTGTTTGTTTCTCCGACAGGCGCTCGACGTCGGGACCGCCTGGCCCGTGTGGCTGGCTCGCTCTGGTGCGGGCCAGGCGGGGCGCTGCGAGGGTCGTCGCGCTCGGCGTCTGATTCCGTCAGCGAGGGACGCAACAACAACAACAAGAAGTGTTCAGTGTCTCTTGTTTTGTGTGGTGCTGCGTGCAGGGGTCAGAACTACGCCATGTTCGGGCTGCTCATCATGCAGCTCCCGGTGATGTGGCTCCTCGGCATCGCCCCGGCCAAGGTTGCGGAGGCAGCGGCGACAGTGGCGTCCAAGGCGGCAGCGGGCGCGGGATCGCTCGGCGTGATGGACGGTGCCGGGGGCGGGGCGTCGTGACGGCCGCGCGTGTGACAGCGCGTCGTGCGTGCAGGCGACATGCGGCGATCGTTGCGGCGCTGCATCATCAATGGATCCACAATCACTTGCGTCGCCGCGAGTGGGACAGGGGGCACACCCGTTTACACGCGCTGCGAGCGGAGGCACTTAGGCCCTCGCTGCTGCACGCGCGCTGCCGCGCGTGCGCCCTTGCGGGACGGCGAATGACAGGTGGGGGGGGAGTCGTCATCTTTCTACTACTTCTTACTTCTGGTCTTTGCCCGCGAACCCGGGGGTGTTGTTTGGATCGCGGGGTTTAAACTGTCCGCACGTGAGGGGGACAGGTTCTTGGTCGCTGGCACGGGCTGCTAGGCGTCGGACCGGCCAGCCACACCGTCCGGCATGGGTGCGTCGTACGGCGCTGGCAGCTGATCTGCGGTGAGAGCAGCGTGCACGAGCGGGGGTTTGCGCATCGGGTCGTGCTCAGGAGCACTTTTGGCCGCGCGTGTGCGCAGGCCTCAGCTGCTGCGCAAGCGCAGCTGGGCTGTTCCTGCGGGCCGGGGGTTGGTCGCTGTCGGGGTCGGGGGGGTCAACGGTGGGTACTCCAGCAGCGGGTACAGAGCGGGGAGGGTGCGGCGGGGAAACCAAAGGAGTGGCGTCTTGGTTCGACTGCGTGAGGGGAGGCGGGGGTCTGCTGCGTACAGCGTGTGTGCAAATGGACAAAGTGCAGTCGAAAGGCGAGGGCCTGGCGGCTCTGGTGCGCTCAATCGCGTAGCGGTGGGCGATCGCGACGGGGAACGGCCTCCCGAGGTCTGCGAGGCGGGAATGTCGCTCCCAGTCGCGACCTGGGCACTTGCGTGCCGTCGCGTTTCGCTTGATCGGCGAGGAGGTTGCCGGCCAGGGAATGCCCGAGATCTTCGGAGGACGTGGGTGTGCGTGGTCTTGGCACCCGAGCGCGCAAGGCAGTCGTGGCTGCCTGTTGGAGTAGGCGCATTCATTCATGAGTCATTTCATATCATATCATATCGTACATGTTTGCACAACAGGTTTTGGTGTTTGAACGCGGTGGGCGGCGCGGGGCCGCGCAGACCTGCGACGTGGGTCGCGTGGGGGGCTTCTGTCAAACGACTGGTCAAAAGCGGCCAGGGAACACGCAGTGTCTGCATACGACGCGGCGTGCTTCAATGTGCGGAGAGAAGGTCAGGCGCGGTAGGCGGCTCGGGCGAGGGCGCAGCGGCGCTCGCCCGGGGCCGCACTTCGGGAGCAACCTGGACACGTGCGCGATGACCACCGGCGAGGTGCACGTCCTCTTGTACAAGGGGCAGGGCTGAGTGGCGAGGGAAGCTGGCCGGGTTGCGGCTAGCGCAAGAACATTTCAGTCGATACGAGGGCAACAGCGGGAACGAAATGTTCTTGACAAGTGTAGGGGCTGGGCTGCGTGGACACAGGTGCGCACGCGTGGAACACACCGCCGCGCGAGGGCGACGGGGGTTACTGTCGAGGGACGACAAGGCGAGGGAGAGCGGGCCGGAGACTGGTACACTGGTCGAGTGCTCGTCCCGAACGCTGCCGCAGCGGCTAGCGTTGCAAGACGCGAACCCTTTGTGCAGGCAAAGGGGGGCTTGGAGGCGGGGAGGGGGGTGTTGGCGTGCGGGCGCGGTTCGATGGCCTCACGATGGACGGGGGCCGGCCTTAGACGCCCTGCACGGAGCCCCGGACGGGGTAGCTGGGGCATCTGTGGCACGCAGCGGGCGCCACGGAGTGGGAGCGCCTGGACAGGCGCTCAGCGACGGCGCTGGACACGCGCGGCGCGACCTGCGTCGCCACGGACTTCATCGTAGCGCGCAGGACCTCGACGTCCCCGCCGATGCGCCGGACGTCGTCCAGGGTGAGCGGCGCGCCGGAGTAGCCATTCATGTTTTTCCACCAGTCCACGACGCCGAAGAAGTCGAGACGCCCCCCCGCGTGGCGCCTCTCGAGCGTGCGCACGCGCTGCCGGAGGACGCGGATGTGCGCGCTGTCGTGCAGGTCGTGCACGGCCAGCGCAATGTCCGCGAGGGCGCACGCAGGCACCCCGGTGTCGCCGTGGCGCAGGGCGTCCCGCGTCTCGCGCTCCAGCGCAGCGTAGAAGTACGCCAGCGCCTTGAACTCCTCGCTCGTGAGGCCTGCGCGCCGGGAGCGGGGGCAGCATGCGGCGGTCTGACAGAATGACGAGCTGACGTGGCTGCGCCGGGGTCGCGCGGCGGGGACGGGCCGCGGGCGAGACCGCGGACGTACCGAGCTGCCTTTCGCCCAGGGACGCCCCGAGGCACTCGCAGCTCAGCAGAGCCAGCTCCGTAGGCGTGGCGGGGTGGAACGCGGCGGCGAGCAGCTCGCGCAGCGTCACGGACGGCCGCGCCTCGCCCAGCGCCGACGTCGGCTCCGCGATGGCCCGCTTCAGGACCCCCGCGGCCATGCCGAGGTGCTTCGCGCCTTGCCGCTGCGCGAGACCCACCAGCATCGCCCGCGACACCGTGCCGTCGCGCCGCTGCTCCGCGTTGACCGCCGCGTAGAACAGCCGCGCGAGGCCGCGCACGTCCGACAGCAGCACGCGCCGTTTCGGCCCGACTAGGAAATACGCATTGCGCGTGTCGTAGCGGCCGCACCCCTCGCCGAGCTGCACGTGCACGCCGCGGATCGCCGACAGCCACGAGCGCTTCTTCGCCTCCGCCGCGGACTCCGCCGGGGCCGGCAGCGCGGCGTCAGCGGCCATCTGGCGCAGCGCGGCGAGGAGCGCGCTGCGCGACACCTCAAGAGCCACGGAGGGGGCGTGTTTGCTGCCGCTCGCGGCGCGCTGCAGCGCGACTTCCGTGGAGCCGGCGGGGGAGACGGTGCCGGTCTTCTGCGTCGAGGAGCGGCGGCTCGTGGACGTGCTGAGTGCCCGCAGAGTCGACAGCGAGCGCCGGTCCAGGGAGGTGCGCGGGGCCGTGAAGGACCGACCGAAGGAGCCGAGAACGCCCGAAGCGTCGGGCCGCAGCGTCGCGGCCTTCGCTTCCGCAGCGACCCGCGACCCGGGCTGCCCGCCACGCGGCGACAGCGCATCGCCGTGGCACATCACGACGGCCGAGCGCGGCGCGCCGCCGCCGACGCGAGGGGCCGCAGGGAGCCCGTCTTCGGGGCCGCGCACGCCGCGCGCCGCCGCAGGGCTGCCGTGCGGCTCAAACATCAAGCCGTCGACTCCGAGCGCAGCCGCTTCCGGCGGCGCCGGTCCCGCCGCGGCGGCCTTGCCGGCGAACGACGCAGACGCGCGGCGCGACGCGCTCGGCGGCGGGGGACCGCCGTCGATGCCGTGCGAGGGCGCGTCGGCCCCAGCGTCGTCGTTTTGCGCGGTGCGAGCGTCGGGGCGGCCCCGCTGCTGGCGCCCGCCGCGCTGGGACCGGTCCGCGAAGCGCAGGCGGTCCTGGGAGGACCGGCGGCCCTGCGAGCGGTCGACGAGCGCCGCGCCGGCGGGGGGAGGGGCGCCCTGGGTGGCTGCGGCGCACGGCAGTTGGGACAAGCGCAGGGCGGCAGCGGGGGCGCCGGCTGCGTTGGTGGCGCCTGCGAAGGCGGTGGCCTTGTGCGTGGCTGGCACCGAGGAGCTGGTTCGCGGGGGCGTGGACTGCTCCGGGAGCGCGTGATCCCGTCGATGACTCATCTGAGCTCTCTGCGGGTCGCAGGCGGTCGCGGGGTGCGTAGGCCGTGATCGGGGCGCGGAGGCGAGAAGGCTGTAGTATGTGTGGGCGGAATTTGCGGAAATCACGGAAAATCGCGCGCGAGGGACCGCGTGGCGCTCGGCGGCGACGGGGGGGCACGTCGCGATTCCGTCCTGCAGGAAAGGCGGCCGCGCGGCCTCGCACGCACCTCGGCTCCGTCAGTTCTCGCGCCATCCGTTCCGCCGCTTGGATGTATCGCGCGCGCGCAACGTTCCGCCGTCTCGCGAAGTCGTCGCACGGCGCCTGGAAGCCGCGGGGAGGGGGGGGCAGAGCCTCCAATTCGACGCAAACGATGGTCGAGCAGGCTCTCAGCTTGAAGTGCGCCCTGGGCCGCACGTCAGGGGCGCAATCGCGGCTTCCAGGCCGCGCGCGGGGGCCTGGCAGTGCCCACCCCCAGGCTTATGTAACGCCGCCCGCGCAGGCGGCACAAGTCGGACCGCGACGCGCAGCTGGTAGAGAAACACAGCGTTCACCGCCGCGTGCGCTTTGCGCGCCCAGAACGCGAGCGAGCGATGACGGCGAGCCTCAGTGCTACAGCAGCTGTGACTCATGCGCGCATCGCATGCGCAGTGGGGGTCGGCGTGGAGTGCCGTGCCGCCCACTCGACCTGCGCCTGATGGGGGCATCGAGCGGGCACGTCCTTTGCGGGGGGGAGGTCCGGCAGGGAGGCCGCGCTGCCTCATACCATTGCTGTCGTCAACTGCCCCGGGACACGTCGCGAGCGGTCCACTTCGGGCGACGCGGTGCGTGTACGCGCGAAATTCCGTCTGAGAGAAATCTCCGTCGACCACAACAAGGCTAGTTGGCGGCTGTTCGGAGCCACGCGCGCTGTTGCCGCGACGGCCTGCAGTTTATGGTGACTCACCGCACGCGCTGCGTGGCGCGTACGTAGGTGCGAACGAGCTGCCCAACGCGCCTCTTTGCCCGCCCGCGATGTGTATTCCGCGCGTTGACTCTTAGATTCGCGCATCTGTGGCCCGCAAACCCCGCGACGACTTTCAGTGCCAGTGATGCTGAAACGCGGCGCCTTGCTCCGCGCGCCGGGCCCGGTCCGACCAGCGCGCGCTCTCGTGCGTTGCGCTGAGCTCGGAGGGCGCCTGCGAGGGCCCGCGCGGCCAGACTGTCCGGGCCGGACGAGCGGCGACGTCACGTTCCACAACTACGGCGAGGAGCGGTCGCCCTCTGCGCAGGAGATGCGAGCGTTTCGATGAGCGGCTTCGGGGACGCGGGAGAGGACGCCCCGCATGCGGACGGGATCCCCAGGCCCGGGGCCGCGCAGCCCGAGGCCGGACAGCTCGCAAGGGAGCTGCACCAGTGCTTGCTGCGCGGCCTGACGAAGGTCGAACGGCTCGCGAGCTTGCGGCACGAAGAGAGCCTCGACGTACTCGATCGGCTCGAGTGCCTGGAGGTGCGTCAAGGCCCGGCAACGCGCCCGGACGCTCTCTTGCTGGCCCAGCCGCTCCCGCCCACCGCGATTGCGGCCTGCAGAGCCCGAATCCTCGCAATCCGCGTGCTTCTTTGCCATACTGCGGATCCTGTGCCTCGCTTTGCGGCATCTTTTCATGACTTTCGGCCGCGATGGAGAGGTCCCTTGGGGCAAGACTGGCACCCAGGCTGCCCCGGCTGTCGCGCAACGCCAGCGCCGCCCCGCGACGTCGCGATGGGCCCATCGTCGCGGCCTGGCGCCAAGGGCGGCGCCAGGCAGCTACCTCGCCCGGACCAGCCGCCAGTGGGGCCCCAGCTTTCCTCTGGCGGTCGTTCTCAACCCGGAGGCTGGCGCCGTCACGCTCGGCCGCCGCGTGCCCGTGCCGCGTGCAGAAGCTTCCGTCGCAACTCTTCATCCTCACGGAGCTCGACGGACGCATCATCTATGCCTCTCCGTCGGCGCCAATCGTCCTCGGGCAGTCGGCTGCGTCCCTGCGCGGGCGGCCCGTACACTCCCTCCTCCTCCTCAACGACGGCATCGAGGTAATTCCCCGCTTTTTCCCGCATCGCCGACGACCGCGACGGTCCTCCCGCGCACACACGCGCCCGCGGCGGTCCTTTCCCAGACGTGCTAGGCAAGGGTCCACTCCCCGCCGCGAACGTCCAACCGCGCAACGTGCAACCGGCCTCGCCCCGCCCCCCGCGCGCGCAGCTCGCCCACCGCTACATCCACAACAGGCAGCTCCTCGGGGAGGGCTCGCATCCAGATGGTCTCACCGACTGGCCTCTTGACGTCACGCTGCCCCCCACCTCCCCCGTCGACACCGACGTCAACGTGCACAGGTGCGGCGCTGCGGCTCCGTGCCGGCGCTCACGCGCCCAGACGGCGCCGCGAGCCCGCGGCCGAGGCTGCGTCCGCCGCACACGCGCGATGCCGGCGGCCGACGACGCAACCGCTGCTGGCCGTGCGCGCAGGGTCGAGCTGTCGGCGCAGTGGGTGCCGTGCGATGCGTCGATGCGACAGGACTGGGACTCCGTGGGCACGGCGCCGCAGCGCGGCGCCGCGAAGCGCCTCGGCTCGCCCTGGCGTGTGTGCGTAGTGATCTCACTGCGGTTCGACCGCATCGAGGACGCAGCGGGGCAGGACTGCGTGGGCAGCCCAGGCATCATCAGGGCGTGCAGGTGCGCGCGAGGACGCCCCGCGCGGCCTCACCCGACGCACACCGCTTCTGCCGCGCGCCGCACAGCCTGAAGGCGCCGCGTGGGGTTGACGCGGTCCGCGCCCTCTTCCGGCCCCCCTCCGTGTCGTCGCAGGGACTTCCCGATCACTCCGGTGGTCGATCCGACGGCCCCGAGGCGGGAGGAGGTGGCGAAAGCGAGTATGTATCGCATGCGGGACCTGCCGGCGGACAGGGAGGGCGAGGCGGCCCAGGAAGCGCCGTGGGTGTACCCGCGCGGGGACCCGCGCGGCGAGCCGCCGCAGGACACGCTGGTCGACCAGATCGCGCGCGCTGCGTGTCCGGGGCTGCTGCTCGACGCCGACGGCACGGTGCTCGCCGCCACGCAGCTGCACCCGGCGCTCCGCGAGGACGTGGTGGGGAAGCGGCTGGAGGTCGTCGTCGCGGAGAGCGACAGAGAGGCCGTGCGCGGGATGCTGGGTGGGGGGACTGATTCGAGCCCAGTCTTCCTGACGCTGTCGCTGTGCTGTCCGGGACGGCGCAGGACCGCGTCGGGCGCCGCGGAGGAGTGGCAGCCGTTCGAGTGCCTGGTGTTCGCGGTGCCGCAGGGGGCGCGGGGCGCGGGCCGGCTCGTGGCGGCGGTGGCGCCCCGAGGACACCACAACTCTGCGGTGCGACTTGGGACGCGTCTCGCAGCGCTGATGGCCACGGTGCCGGCGTACGTGTTCCGGACTGACACGTTCCTCAACGTCCGGTCGGCCTCCGCCTCGTATTACCACGCCTGCTGCTTCGAAGGTGCGCCCCCGACCACTGAAACATATTACTTTTATTATTATAAATACACACAGTCCACTCATAGAACTGTACATCAACACACACACGACTCATCGGTCCCTGTCCGCGCAATGGCTCCCGCCGCAGCTCTTTCCAGTTGCCGGCCGCGGCCTGCCATGCTCCCACCCCGCGCCCCGGACCCGCGTCCCCCGCAGAGCAAGACGTGGTCGGGCTCCCGGTGACCGCGGGCCTGCTCCAGGACGACCAGCCCGTCCTGCGGACCGCAGTCACAAACCTCATGCGGCAGGCATACGAGCAGCTGTCGAGCCGCGTGTCGCAGGCCAGCGCCGACGACGCGACGGTGCGGATGTCCAGCGGGGGCGGCGAGTGGGCCGAGGACGAGATGCCGCTTCCCGACGGCGCGCTCCCGCCACGCGCGGCGCACGCCAGCGTGCGCCTGACGTCAGCGGTGTCCTACCGGCGGAGGGTCCGTGGCATGGTGAGCGCGCAGCCCCGCTTGGCGCGTCGCCGCGGAGACCACGCACGTGGCCCGTGCGTCCGCGGTCCACGCCCTCGCGCGCGCCGTGCCTCGATGAACGGCACGAAACGCGCGCTGGTGTTGACGATGTGTCAAACTGGTTTGCGTTTCATTGCAGCTGGTGCGCGTGGACGCGACGGTCGTGGTGATCAGCCCCGCGAGCTACCACTTGGATATCGTGGTGTTCGAGGTGCCGAAGCTCGACGACGACACGAGGGCGTTCCTCCCCACGTGTCCCGACGGCCTCGAGGCGGTGGCCTGCGACGCCGGCGCCGACGCAACCCGCGGCGACGACCGCGCGGAGGCCGGCGGTGACCGCGACGACAGCGACGGGGCGGATGCGGCGGCGGTGGCGCGCGAGGGGCCCATGCACGCCCTGAAGCGGCAGCTTGAAACCACCGTGCAACAGCTCGAGGGCGCGATGGCGAACATCCTCGAGCGCGAGGGCCCTGCGGCGTGCCAGATACTGGCGGGCCTCGATCGCCTGAGCTGTGCGTCCCCGGCCCCTATCTGCATCATATACGGCGTGATGTCGCTCGCTTCTTGATTGCGGCGGTGCGGATGTCGTTGCGAGCGTTGCGTTTGCTCGCGCTGCATCTGTGTGCGTCCGGCGCCTCATTCGGGCCGCCTCCGCTCTCGTCCGCGCCGCAGCGGCCGCGTTCTTCGTCACGGACGCGGCCACCGAGCTCCGGCACGCCAGCGTCGGCATGAAGCGCATGTGGGGAGTCGGACCGGATAAAGTGCGGTCGCTGCACGAGCTCGTCACGGGGCAGGCGGCCGAGGCCGGCGCGGAGGTCTACAAGGTCGACGTCAAGTCCGTGCGCGCGGGGCTCCTGCCCTACAACGTCCTCAGCACGTGCTGGTGGAGCGCGGCGCGCGACGGCGCGGCGTTCCCGGTGGCGACGGGCGTGGCGCTCAGCGTGGGCGCGCGCGGGGACATCCGCGTCGGCGCGTACGCGCGCGAGGCAGGGGACTTCGCGCTCGGCCTGCCCTGGGCGGCCCCGCCGCCGTACACGGCCGGGTGCGGCGTCGACACCGTAACGCTGACCGTCAGCAAGGCGGGCTCCGTGCAGCGGTGCTCCGGGAACGCGGCCCCGCTGCTCGGCAGGAAGATGCGCGAGGTCGTCGACTCGCTTTTCCTCGACCTCGTCCACAAGTCGGACCGCAGCCGCATCGCCTCTGCCTTTGCCAGTGTCGCGATGGCTCCCGACCCCACGCACGTCTCCGCGCGGCTCCTCGTGCGCGTCCGGCGCGCGCTGATGCTCGACCGCCGCGTCCACGGCAGCTCGAGCGGCACGGGCGCGACGGACAGCCCGGTCGGCGCGCAGCCGCGGTGGGCGACCGCCACCACGGCGCGCACGTCGTCGAGCGCGGGAGGGCTGACGCGGAGCTCGGGCGCGGGCGTGGAGTCCGCGGAGGGGTCGGGCCGGTCGCGCGGGTTCCAGCACCAGGTGCAGAAGGTCGCGCTCGTCGACATCACCGCGGCTCCGGGCGACGCCGGGCGCGGAGCCGTCGTGATACAGATGTCTGACGTTACGCGCGCCGTGGACTGCCTCGCGCTCCGGGCGGTGGTGGAGGCGATCGAGGACGTCTGTCCGACGCCGATCCTCTCGCTCGACGCGGACGGCAACGTCGTGCGGGCGTCCGCGAACAGCGTCGCGTGGCTCGGGGGGCAGGCCGCAAGCGCGCTGCTTCAGAGAGTCGCGCCCGAGGTGGCGGGCGGGATCCGCGCGATGGACGAGTCCGCGAAGCGCGCCCTCGCGTCGCCGCGCAGCGGCGCGGACCTGATCGGCCCGCCCCGGGGTGGCGGGGGGGGTTGGAGGGGGTGTCGGTACCCCCTGGTCAGCCCCTGCTGCGAGGTCCAGCGGCTGTGGCTGCGGAACGCGGACGGCGACCGCACGAGCCCGCGCGAAGGTCTCGCGGTGATTCGGCCGTGCAGCGACGCTGCCGCCGGCGCCGCGTCCAGCCAGCCGCACCACATCAGCGCCGGCAACATCATCGCGCTGCGCGACATTTTGAAGAGGATGCCGGGCGTCAGCCTGCACTCGCTGCTCGCAGCGACGCCCGCGCAGCAGGGCTCGCCCACGCCGGGCAGGGTCCCGCCCGGGCACCCCCCCGCGCAGCACCACAACGCACCAAGCGCTCCCGCGGCCCGTCCTGGCGCGGTGCCTCGCGACGACGCGCCGCTGCTGCCGCCGGCGCGCGGCCCGCACGCAGCGCGCGGGCCGGACGCGCCCGCGCGGCCCCTGCGGCCGCGGCCCAGCGGCGAGAGGCTGGTCGGCCGCCTGTTTCAGCAAGCAGTGGCCTTCGCGTCGAACGGGCACATCGAGGCGCTCACGCTCATGCTGGCGAAGGAGCCGGAGCTCCTCTTGGCGTCGGACGCGAACGGCAACACGCTGCTCCATTTCGCGGCTTACTTCGGCTGGACCAATGTCTGTTTGTTGCTGGTGCAGAACCAGTGCGCTCCGGCGGCGCGCAACGGGCAGTGGCAGACGCCCGGCGACATGGCCGCGGCGGGCGGACACCTGGAGCTCTCGAGGCTCCTGCACCAGTACGCTGCATCCACGCAGCAGGCCGGACCTATGCCGTAGGTCTGCAACAACGACCCAACTCAACGCACACCTCTCCTCATCCCTCCCCTCCCGCCGCTTCCCCAACGATCCCCCCCCTTTCCAACATGATCCCAACGCTTTTTCCCTCCCCCCCCCGCCCCCTTGTCCCCCCGTAACGCAAGCAGCTTCCCGTCCCTAAGCATCACCAATACGGCCCGTCATGTACACCAAAGCCGCGCAACGTCGCAGGGATCCCGCGTGGACATCTCACACGCGGCCGCCAACTCCCTGGCTGCTCCCAGCCGCTATTTCAGAGGCAGTAAGTTGCCCCGCCGCCGGCCATGCCATCATTGTCCGCGGCGCCCTTCCACGACCCTGCACGCTGCTTCCCACCTAGCAACAGTCCGAGCGAACGCTCTGACGCAGCTTCCCATCACACGGCGAAACATCGTCGCCGTCCCGACGGCCACGCCCCCGGCCAGAGCTTGAGGACTCAAGCGACCGCAGGGGCAGCTGCGACCCGCGCCTGCGGCCCCCCAGGGGGTCGACCTGAGCAGCGCACGCCCGCGTTTTCGTTGCAACGCGGCACGCGAGCGCCCTGGGACCCTTCCAATCGAATAGACCAGCGCGTGCATGTCGCACGAGGACTGCACGTCCACCCATGCACGTCGGCCCGCCTTGCCTTGACGCGCGGGCCCGCGCTCCCTCGGCCACGGAGAACCCGCAGTGGGTGCCCATCAGGCCGAGCTTGCGCGGCGTTTGCGCGTCTGTGAACGAACGGGGCGGCGTGAATCGCGATAATCGGGGGCACTGCGGGAGAGTCCCGGTCCTGCGGACGCGCGACGGACCAACTGCTCCAATACGCGAGGGTGCTGAGGTCTGCGAATTGCAAATACATAGGCCAGCAAGCCCTCGACGTTGGCTGGCATGCGACGCGGGCTCGTTGCGGGAGCAGCAGTGCCTCACAGGCCTAGTTCGGCGCCCGCGAACGCCGCGGTTCGAGCACCGCGACACCGCGCCGCCCAGGCCACGACAGCGCCGGCCCTCACGGCCGCCCCGGACCACACGCACCTTCCAACCACCCCCAACCCCCCTCAACGCAGCAACCAAAAACAAAAACACCCCCCCCAACGCCCAACCGCCCACGCTCACGCCCGCGCGCCCCTCCCTCCCCTTCCGTCGACATCACCGCTCCGGGACCTCCGCTGTCGGGTCGCCCCCCAGGCCCTCCACGACCCTCCGCAGGCGCGACTGTTCCTCCCGCAGGGCGTCGTTCGACCGCTGCAGCGCCGCGCACGCCACGCGCGCCCTCGCGAGCTCCTCTTCGACGCCCCGGAGCTTCGCCGCCGCCTCGGTGTCGCCGCGCTCCGCCTCCGCGGCGCCCTCTTTGACACCCCCCGCCTGACTCCCCCGTGAGGTCTCTTCCCTGGGCGCGCTGGCCGGCTGCCCGGCCGACAGCGAGAGTCCGGCGCCCTGCGGATACAGCGCGGCGCGCGGCGCTCGCATCCGGCGCGTGCGCAGGCGACGACGCGGAGAGCAGAACATGCGCCCGTGTGTGCGTGTGTCGACGCGGTGGCGCGCACGGCGCACTCGCGACCCGCTTGGATCTCGGGGGTGCAAGCAGGAGCCGCTTGCGTGGCAATGCGGGGCGCCGCGCGAGCCAGTCGCACCTCCACCAGGCTGCGCAAGTGCGCCGGGTCATGTTCGGCGAGCACGCGCAGAACGTCGTGGAAGGAAGCGCGCTCCTCGCACTTCTTGAGGACCTTGTTGCGCTTCGCAGCCGCCTTCGCCATCCTGCGCCGCAGCAACCCCGCGAGAGCGCTCCCGAGCACCCCCACCAGCCAGTACGCAAGCGCCCAAAGCGCCGTGGCGCGTCCCAGCCGGTAGAGAGCGCTGATCTGGACCGTCAGGCCCGCGTCTGCCCTCCGTATTCGCCACTTCTCGAACAAAATCTCCGCCCCGAGCAAGACGGGCCCCGCTAGACCGACGAATTGCTGCACCCTCCACTGCACCGCCCGCACGCGCCGCACGCGCGCCTCCACGGACCGCTCCTCCTCCGCGATCTTCGACAGCTGCCGCTGGTACGGCGCGAGCGCGTCGCGCGCCCCGCGGCCCCAGAACCACCCCATGCGTGCAGCGGCGCTGGGCAACCAACCGCAGGCCCGCCAGCCGCACGCAGCGCCCACTCCGGCCCGCGCCGAAGTGCCGCGCACCTCCAGCCTCGAACCCTCTCGCTACCCCGCGCGCGGCAAGCGCGGCTGACAGTGCCCCGGGGTAGGACACGGCCCGGTGTGACCGGTCTTCCGCAGCCCCGCCGGGCGCCGCGGACATCCGTTCGGCCGCGACAGCGCGCGCGGCACGTTGCTCCGCGAGACAGGGACCTGTCCGTCCGGTCTACGCTCGAGCGCTCGTCCAGTGCGGCCCACCTTACGGCGCGCGCCCTGCGCGACGAACAATGGCGGTGCCGCGCGTGCTCGACAGTCCGACGGGCGCCATGGTGGGTCTCGCGGACGCGCTGGCGTCGGTGGAGATCCCGGAGGAGGACGAGGAGGTCCGCGCGATCGTCGCGGCCGAGCAGGAGGCGGCTCCGTCGCAGGAGCTGACCGTCGCGCTCCTGGCCGCGTCGAACCTCAAGGACCGTGCGGACGACGAGGGGGCCGAGGAGCGGCTGCGCCGGCTTCCTCAGATATGGCTGGACCGCCTGCGGCTGTCGGCGCTGCCGCTGTCGGCCCTGGACTCCGTCGCGGGCTGCACGAGCTTGCACCTGCAGCACAACAGGCTGCAGGACGCGAGCCCGCTCGCGGCGCTGCGGAAGCTCGAGTTCCTGATCCTCCGCAACAACCGCATCGAGGACGTGACGCCCCTCGCCGGCCTAGAGCACCTCCAGCTCCTCGACGTGTCGGAGAACCGCCTCCAGGTAGGCTCTCATGCCGCCCTCAGCACCCACCCACCTCTCCTGCATTCGATGTGCCGACGACCCGCTGTGCTTCGGCTTTGGACGTCGACGTGCATCGTAGCGCTCGTCCGCCACGCCGCCCCAACGTCAACGGCCCACCCGTGCCTGTCCGGCGTCACGGTTTACCACCACCTCTGCCATGCGCACGCGAAAGCTATATAGCACACAGCGGGCTCGTGCGTCCGTCCCGATGCGACATCGAGCGGCCGCTGGGGCTGGGGAGCGAACCAGCGAGCACCGGGCAGGCATCCGAGGCGCGCTGCGCCCGTGTCCGGAGCGTGCAGGCGGTGCCGCACACGGCGTTCGCGCCGCAGCTGCGCTTCCTGAAGGTCGAGAAGAACCCCGCGGTCGCCGAGCCCGGCGCCGCGGCGGCCGCGCGGCGCGAGCTGGTCGCGCACCTGGTGGACCTGCGGGAGCTCGACGGGGCGGAAGTGACGCACACTGAGATGGTCGCCGCCCGCAGGTGCGCACCTGCTGCACTCCGCGGTGTGGCTCTGCGCTGCGTGTTTCGAGGCCCCGCTGCGATGTAGTGGCACTCCTCCGCACTCGCAGGGCGCTCGGGCTCTCCGTCGAGGGCATGGAGGGCGGGGGCGACGGCGACAGCGACAGCGATGATGTCGGCGGCGCTGGCGGCGCGGAGGACGCTCCGGGGCCCGCGGCGGGCCAGAGCGACGCGGACGCGGTCGAGGCGGACCGCGCGGTGCTCCGGGAGATGCTCGCGGAGCTCGACGCGGGGCTGGGCGGGGCGTTTGGCGCGGCGGCAGTGGCGGACGCACGCGCGACGCTGACGGCGGCGATGGAGCGGATCGCGCCGGGGGGCGCGGCGCGCGGGGACGCGCGCGCGCGCGAGGACGCGGCGCTCGAGCGGGAGATCGCGGCGCTGAAGGAGCAGCAGGAGGGGGTGCTGCAGGGTATGAGGGATGTCAGGAAGAGCCTGAGTCAGGCGCGGGCGGCGCAGCCGGTGCCGCAGCTCCCGCGCGGGGGGCTCGGCGCGGTCAGCGAGGGCGCGGGGCCGAGCGGGGAGCCTGGCGAGGGGAGCGGGGCGGAACGGGGCGAAGGCGGCGCGGGCGGGGGCGTGGAGGCGGCGCGGCCTGCGACGCCGACGATGGTGCGTGTGCTGCGTGCGGCGCGGCGGTCGCGCGTGGCAGGTATTGAGCGTTGACGCAGAACCATGATTTTCCATCTGTCGCGGATTCGCGTGCCCGTGTTCGCAGGGCCGGCCGGCGTCGCCCGGTCCGCAGGCGCGCCCGGCCTCGCCAGGGCTCGTCCTGCGCCCGGGGAGCGCGAAGGCGCGTCCGGCGAGCCCCGGCGGCACGACACTGCGGCCAGCGAGCCCGCGAGTTGCAGGCGCACGACAGGGGGGCGGATCTCGGCCAGGGTCCGCGGGGATGTCGGCGTCGCTGCTGCGCAAGCGAGCGTAGCGAGCTCTGGCACGGAGCGCCGCTCCTCGGCCGTGCAGCACTCACCGTACACAGTGCTACTATTATATCGTATCGGTGCCGTGGCAGGCGGTGACTGTGAACGAAACGGCGCCGTGCGCGCCGCGGTGGAACTGGGCGCGCTCTGCCGTGATCGGCTTGCGGTCCGACGCGGGGGGGGGGGTTTCGTTGTTGAAGGGGGGAGTTGACGGTGGTCTCCCGTCTCGCCTGTGGCGTGCCAAGGGCGAGGCGTCCCGTGGGGCTCCGCGACATCCCGCCCTTCGATCGCTGTTGCGGCGGAGTCGAATTACGCGCGGCAACGCCCGGCCGACCCCTGCGCTGAGCTGTGGCCACTGCAACCGCCACGCAGCACTGCCCACACGCGGCGTAGCGGGCGCCGCGGGCGTTCGCGGCGGCGTTGAAGGCGCCCGGCATCTCCCCACGCGCCATACCGACGAGGACGATACATTTCGAAGTCGATGACCTGCGCGATGTCCGCTCCCGCCCGGCTTATGCTCCAGGAATGTCGTCGGCAACCAGGGTTCCGGGCAGCAGGGCTGGAGCGGCCTCGCTGCACGCCCGCAGCGCATCGCAACGCGGTGTTCAGTCGGCGAGGGAGCTGCGGACGTGCTCTCAGAGGCGTCTTGCGGCGAGGGCGCGCCACAGCGGCCTCACATAGCACCGGAAGTGGTGAGGGGGCTAGTGCGCGTGCGGCGTCGTGGCAGGAGCTGTGCGGCGCGGTCGCGGAGCTTCCGTGCAACGAGTTCTCGGAACTGACTCGGGACGTGGGGCCCGTCGAGCACACGCGCGTCCCGCGCTTCCTCGTACCTCCGGGCGACACTCCCGACGCCCCCGCGGCCTCCCCGGCGGACGAGCGCATCACCTGGACCACGCAAGTGAGCCTCGATCGCTGGGACTGCATCGTGCGCCTCGCGAACGCGTGGTCCGGCCCGCTCTCGGTCGCCGTCCACATACCCTCGCCACCAAGCGACGCCCGCGCGTGCGCGCGGCACCTCGCGCAGCTCCGCGCGGCCTTCGACGAGCTCCCTCCTGGACACTCGGTCACCGTGAGCGTGCTCCACGCACCGGATCCCGCCCCAGGCGACGCGGAGGGCCCCGCTTCCTACCGAGCATCATATCCGATCAATGCCCTCCGCAATCTCGCGATCGAGGCCGCCGCCACGGACCTCGTCGTCCTCGCCGACGGCGACCTCGTCCCGAGCGCGGGCCTCGAGGAGCGCCTCGCGGGCGTCCTCGCGGCGGGGGGTGCGATGTCACAACCGACGCACAGCCGGGAGCGCGGGAGGGCGACGGTGGCGGTCGTGCCGGCGTTCGAGTGCGCGGACGGCGAGGACGGGCTGCCGCGGACGCGCGAGGAGCTCGCCGCGCGGCGCGCCGTGCCGTTCCAGTGCAGCAGCGCTACGGAGGGCGCGGACAGCGGTCCGATAGATTACGACCGGTGGTGGGCCGCGGAGGAGCCGTACGCGGCGGCGTTCCGAGGTGCGTGGGGCCGCGCGTGCGGGGCCGGCGATGCGCCCGGGACGGACCGCGTCCGCGAGCGAACGGCGTTGTGGTGTTGTTGGGGGGGTTGTTGTTGTACTTGTTGCGGCGGGGGGGGTGTGCGCGTGCCGTTCGGTTGGCCGGAGCGCGCCCCTTTTCGTGGGCGCTCTGGCGGTGCGCTGCATTTCGCTGGTGTCTCCGCCGCGCCCGCGATGATCGAGTTTTCTCGTCTCTTGGTTCACCGGTCCACCCTCGGGTCCCTTCCGCGCAGAATTCTTCGAGCCCGTCCTCGCCGGCCGGCGCTCCGAGCTCCCGGGCTACTCCGAGCTCTTCCGCGGCTACGGACTCAACAAGGTCCAGCTGACGACCCACCTGGCAGAACTCGGCACGTGTTTCCAGGTGGTGCCGCGGGGCTTCGTCGCCTGCGCGCCGCACCCGCCCAGCGCCTCGCGCCGCGCCGTCCTGGGCGCGGACGCGCGCAGCCGCAACCGCCTGCGCGTCGCGGCGCTGTACGTGCGCTGGCGGCTCCACGTCGCGGCAATCGGGCCGTCTTGCGCCGCGGCGCTGTCGCGGCCGGGCGCGCAGCTGCTGATGCCGGACGCGTCGCCCGTGCAGTACGAGTCGGAGCCGGTGCTGGAGCCGGAGGCGGGCGGGGAGGCCGGGGGGGTGTGTGGGCCTGACAGCAGGATGGAGGAGGGGCCGGGGGAGTTGTGGAGGGAGCTGAGGGAGCGGTCGGGGTCGGCGGGGCGGACGTCGGCGTGGGTGGCGTGGGCCGGGGTGGACGACCTGGGCTGGCTCGCGGAGGCGGTGCGGCGATGGGACGGGCCGATGGCGGCGGCGGTGTTCGTGCCCGCGCCGCGGCTGTCGCCGCCAGGGAAGATGATGGCGCAGGTGGTGCGTGCGTGGTGCAAGGAGCACCTGCGGAGCGGGCAGGCCGCGGTCACCATCGTGTTCGGCAACAGGTGCGGCGCGATTACACAATTGTCGCCAACAAATAGCGACTGCCGTCTGGTTCTGAACCGATATGACCATAGTACAGTGCACATCTCGATCGCATCAGCCTGCTGCTGCGCCGCAGGTACACGGAAGAGGGCATGCGCGCGCTGGCCGCCGCGGGCCTCGACACAACCATCTCGCCCTCACGGCAGAACAGCTACGCCGATGCGTTCCCCGTCGCGGCGCTCTGGAACGCCGCCATCGCCGCGTCGCCCTCCGACGCCGTCGTGCTCGCCGGCCCGGGCCTCCTCCCGACCCCCGGCCTCTCCCGCGCGGTCTCCGCGGCCCTGACTCAGGCGGCGCAAAACTCCCCCGCGGCGCGCACGATCCTGGCGCTGCCGATCGCGGAGCGCGCGGGCGGCGTGGCGGCCGCGGCGGACGGCCCGCTCGCGGCGCGCTGGGCCGCGGCCGCGCCCGGAGAGACCCTGGACATGCGGCCCGGAGACTTCGGAAGTCGACTGGTGTTCGCGGGGATGCGGTCGGCGATGCCGAGGTTCGACGAGCGCGTGCGGGGGCGTTCGGGGCCGGCGCGGCACGCGGCGCACATGCTGATGGCGCTGGCGGTGCAGGAGGGCGGGTACGCGGTGCGGCTGTTGGGGGGCGCGCGTGTGGCGCCGACGGAGTCAGGGGGGGGAGTGTTTGAGGCGCTGCGGGGGATCGAGGGCGCGGCGGGGAGCAGGGAGGCGCTGTGGGCCGCGGCGATATACGCGAGGGGCGCGGAGGAGATGGCGCGGGCGCGGGAGGCGCAAAGGCGGGAACAGAGCACCACGCCACTGGCGTAGGTTGCGTGGGCGAGGGGGGGTGGGGACGGAGGGCCGGACGACGGACGGGGCGGGAGGCTAGGCGATGACAGATGCGCTTGGTGTGCGTTTACAGCCAGTCAGCGGCGAGCTGACGCTGTCACAGCTGCCGAACCTGTCGCGACCATGACGGTGAGAGGGTTGCGTGGCTTGCCACCGAGTCGAATGATCTTTTCAGGTCCCAAAGGCTTATGGCTGACGGCGCGAAGCATGTAACACCTCACCTCACCTCACTGATCGCTCAACGTAACTGAGATGTCAGGGACCGCATCTGCTTCGCCGGCAGCATCTGCAGCTGCGACTCCGTGGCCCACAGCTCCCGCAGCCTCCTGCAGCTCGACGCCGGCAGCCACCCCTCCTCCGCCAGCTGCGAGCACCTCCTCACTTCGAGCACCTCCAGCGACCTCATCCCCTCCGGCACCCTCGCCAGCGACGAGCCCCCAGCGTCCAGCTTCTTCACGCTCCCGCCGCTCGACGCCGGCAGCCACCCCTCCCCCGCCAGCTGCCTGCAGTAATCCACGTTGAGCACCTCCAGCGACCCCATCCCCTCCGGCAGCCTAGCCAGCGACGAGCCCCCAGCAACCAGCTTTTTCACTTCTCCTGCCGCTCGACGCCGGCAGCCACCCCCGCCAGCTGCTCGTATTCACTCCACCTTGAGCTCCTGCAGCGACCTCATCCTCCCGGCAGCCTGCCAGTGAGGGAGCCCCAGTTGTAGCTTTTTCACGCCCGCCGACGCCGTGGCAGCGCCACCCTCCCCCGCCAGCTGTGAGCACTGGCCCACGTAGAGCTCATCCAGCGACTCCATCCCCTCCGGCACCCTCGCCAGCGAGGAGGACCTAGCATACAGCTTCTTCACGCTCCCGCCGCTCGACGCCGGTAGCCACCCCTCCCCCGCCAGCTGCTTGCAGCACATCACGTAGAGCTCCTCCAGCGACGCCATCCCCTCCGGCAGCCTCGCCAGCGACGAGTGCGAAGCATCCAGCGTCTTCACGCTCCCGCCGCTCGACGCCGGCAGCCACCCCTCCTCCGCCAGCTGCGAGCAGTAACACACGCACAGCTCCTCCAGCGACGCCATCCCCTCCGGCACCCTCGCCAGGAACCAGCCCGCAGCATCCAGCCTCTTCACGCTCCCGCCGCTCGACGCCGGCAGCCACCCCTCCGCCGCCAGCTGCAAGCACTCGCCCACGTCGAGCTCCTCCAGCGACCCCATCCCCTCCGGCAGCCTTACCAGCGACGATTCCCGAGCAACCAGCGTCCTCACGCTCCCGCCGCTCGACGCCGGTAGCCACCCCTCCCCCGCCAGCTGCGAGCAGCACATCACGTTGAGCTCCTCGAGCGACACCATCCCCTCCGGCACCCTCGCCAGCGAGGATTGGTCAGCATACAGCTTCTTCACGCTCCCGCCGCTCGACGCCGGCAGCCAACCCTCTCCCGCCAGCTGCCCGCACCCACCCACGCTGAGCTCCTCCAGCGACCCCATCCCCTCCGGCAGCCTCGCCAGCGACGAGTCATAAGCATCCAGCTTCTTCACGCTCCTGCCGCTTGACGCCGGCAGCCACCCCTCCGCCAGCTGCGAGCACCTGCTCACGTTCAGCACCTCCAGCGACCCCATCCCCTCCGGCAGCCTCCGCAGACCTTGCCCCTCGACGTCCAGCTCCTTCAACCGCGCCGCGACGCTTGCAGGCAGCCAGTCTGCCCCCCACTCCCGAGCAATGTCCAAATACCACGCCCTGACGACCTCCAGCCCCGTCATCTCCTCCGTGATCACCAGCCGCCGCGCCTTCGACAGAGGCTTGTCTCTCTGATACGAGTAGATACTTGTTAGCTTCACGATCGCCGCCACACTGTCGGGGTCCGCACCCGCGCGCCGGTACACCACCCACCGCCCGTCCTCGCTCGTCCGCCCCAGGAGCGATCTCGCCCCCGCGTACACGCGCCCCTCCACCTTCCCCGCCACCGCCCTGCCCACCTCCCGTGTGCGTGCAGTCCATCTAGCCCCGTCGCAGCCCTCCAGCACGCTCGCCATCGCGCCCGAGGCCGCAGCCGCGAGGGCGGCGCGCGACTTCCTGAGCAGCCGGCGGATGATGTCTCCCAGCGGACCGCCGCCCGGCCCGAACGACAGGTCCATCAGAGCGAACGCAGTCCCATCGTCACCGGCGCGTGGGCGCTGCGAGGGCCGCGACCCGCCCACGCAACGGCCGCTCCGCAGCTCCATCGACTGCTGAGATCGTGCCCGTGATGCCTCGCCGCCGCCGGGACGCCGTAGATGGATCCTGCGGGTGCCAATGAGAGAGATTCCAGGAGGTGAGGTAGCGGGAGCTGTGAGAGCCGCCCGGCGCGCGCATGCAGCCGGGCTCCGCATGACACCTAGTGCCTGTCACATGACATCGTGACAGCCGAGCAAGGGTCTCCCGCAACGCAGCCTCACGGCCGAGCTCCCTCCAGCGCCAGAGACGCACGCGGTAAGCAGCGTGTTGGGCTGTCCATGCGACTCGCACGGCAGCCCGCGAGACAGCGCGCACCTCCGCCACCGCCGTGCGATCAGCACCAGCCACCGCCAGCGCGTTCCGCGACCACCGCCCCGCGTCTCACCTGCTACAAGCAGTTGCGCGGCCTGCTGTCGTCACAGGCGCGATGCCGATGTGCGGCCGATCGCGCGCCAGTCACACTGACCTTGTGCGAGGCGGGCGCGATCGCATGCTGCCGCCCGGGACGGTTGGGGGAGTGCGCACAGTGTGCGCTGCACACCTCCATGGAGGGGACAACGGGTACAACTCGACCGCTGACAGACCACGGCCATTGAAGACGCACCGCAGCGCACACGGCAGGCGCCTCCCGCCGGCTCGAGCTCTCGGGCCGTCATCATCCCACGCGGGACGAGTCGCACTTCTACGCGCTCGTAGTGTTATAACACGGACACGGCTGCACTGTTTGCAGGGTGCGGCTCCATGAATGCGGCATCCAGCAGGGCACGGTGACACCGCCGACTCCAGGGCCATCGCGGCGTCAACGCGCACCGTCGGCGGCGTGCGAGCTAGGTGCAACGACGACTGTCTTGCAGCCTGTTGTGGCCTCACGACGTGACCGCTGAGGGCTGTACGAGGCGCGCGCCGGCAGTGACCCATCGTATCGTCCTCCCGGGAGTCGACATTCGTACGTGCGCTCACACTGATCGCTCAGCGTAATAGAGATCTCAGGGACCGCATCTGCTCCTCCGGCAGCATCTGCAGCTGCGAGTCCGTGGCGTGCAGCTCCTGCAGCCTCCCGCAGCTCGACGCCGGCAGCCAGCCCGCAGCCAATCGCCCGCAGCCAAATACACTCAGCACCTCCAGCGACCCCATCCCCTCCGGCAGCCTCGCCAGCGACGACTCCGCAGCATACAGCTTCTTCACGCTCCCGCCGCTCGACGCCGGCAGCCACCCCTCCTCCGCCAGCTGCGAGCACCCAAACACGTTGAGCACCTCCAGCGACCCCATCCCCTCCGGCAGCCTCGCCAGCGAGGAGTATGAAGCAACCAGCTTCTTCACGCTCCCGCCGCTCGACGCCGGCAGCCACCCCTCCTCCGCCAGCTGCCGCATCCCCTCACGCTGACCTCCTCCAGCGACCCCATCCCCTCCGGCACCCTCGCCAGCGAGACGCCCGCAGCAAGCAGCTTCTTCACGCTCCCGCAGCTCGACGCCGGCAGCCATCCCTCCCCGGCCAGCTGCTTGCATTTACTCACGTTCAGCACCTCGAGCGACCCCATCCCCTCCGGCAGCCTCGCACACTGAGCTCCAGCATCCCAGCCCTGGCTGTCACAGGTGCCACTCCCCTGCCGCCTGCACCAAAACACCATCCCTCCAGCACCCCATTCAGCCTGCCAGCACAGCCCCCAGCATCCTTAGCTTACGCCCGCCGTCAGACGCTGCAGCCGCCACCTCCAAAGGCCAGCCAGGAGACCCGTTATACGGCGAGCACCCAGCGACCCCAACCCTCCGGCACCTCCCCAGCGACGAGCCCCAGCATATGAAGCGCCAGACGCTCCTCGCCGACTGCAGCGCCAATTTCTCCCCGCCAGCGCGCGAGCAGCCACCGCCTCCCAGCGACCCCATCCCCTCCGGCAGCCTCGCCAGCGACGAGTCCCAGGCAACCAGCTTCTTCACGCTCCCGCCGCTCGACGCCGGCAGCCACCCCTCCTCCGCCAGCTGCCAGCAGCACCTCACGTTCAGCTCCTCCAGCGACACCATCCCCTCCGGCACCCTCGCCAGACCTTGCCCGATCACTGCCAGCTCCTTCAACCGCGCCGCGACGCTTGCAGGCAGCCAGTCTGCCCCCCACTCCTGACCGATGTCGAAATAATACCTCTCAGCCCTGACGACCTCCAGCCCCGTCATCTCCTCCGTGATCACCAGCCGACCCGCGTTCGCCACAGGCCCGTCCCCCTGACCCGACCGCCTGGCATCCAGCCCGACAATCGCCGCCACACTGTCGGGGTCCGCACCCGCCCGCCGGTACACCACCCACCGCCCATCGTCGCTCGCCCGCCCCACCACCGATCTCGCCCCCGCGTACACGCGCCCCTCCACCTTCCCCGCCACCGCCCTGCCCACCTCCCTTGTGCGTGCAGTCCACCGAGCCCCCCCGCAGCTCTCCAGCACGCTCGCCATCGCGCCCGACGACGCAGCCGCGAGCTTGATGCGCGACTCCCTGGGCAGCCGGCGGATCACCTCCGCCAGCGCGCCGCCGTGCTTCCCGAACGACAGGTCAATCAGGGCGAATGTGGGCGCATCCTCGTCACCAGCGCGTGGGCGCTGCGAGGGCCGCGGCTCGCCCACGCAGCGGCCGCTCCGCAGCTCCATCGACTGCTGAGATCGTGCCCGTGATGCCTCGCCGCCGCCGGAGCGCCGTAGATGGATTCTGCGGGTGCCAACGAGAGAGATGCCAGGAGGTGAGGTAGCGGGAGCTGTGAGAGCCGTCCGGCCCGCGCATGCAGCCGGGCTCATCATGACACCTAGTGCCTGTCATGTGACATCGTGACAGCCGAGCAAGGGTCTCCTGCAACGCAGCCTCACGGCCGAGCTCCCTCCAGCGCCAGAGACGCACGCGGTAAGCAGCGTGTTGGGCGCTCCATGCGACTCGCACGGCAGCCCGCGAGACAGCGCGCACCTCCACCACGGCCGTGCGATCAGCACCAGCCACCGCCAGCGCGTTCCGCGACCACCGCCCCGCGTCTCACCTGCTACAAGCAGTTGCGCGGCCTGCTGTCGTCACAGGCGCGATGCCGATGTGCGGCCGATCGCGCGCCAGTCACACTGACCTTGTGCGAGGCGGGCGCAATCGCATGCTGCCGCCCGGGACGGTTGGGGGAGTGCGCACAGTGTGCGCTGCACACCTCCATGGAGGGGACAACGGGTACAACTCGGCCGCTGACAGACCACGGCATCGAAGACGCACCGCGACGCACACGGCGGGCGCCTCCCGCCGGCCTGAGCTCCAGGGCCATCATCATCCAACGCGTGACGAGTCGCACTTCTACACGCGCAGATGTGCACCACACGCGCTTGCAGCGTTGCACCGACACGGCTGCACTGTTTGCAGGGTGCGACTCCATGAATGCGGCATCCAGCAGGGCACGGTGACACCGCCGACTCCAGGGCCATCGCGGCGTCAACGCGCACCGTCGGCGGCGTGCGAGCTAGGTGCAACGACGACTGTCTTGCAGCCTGTTGTGGCCTCACGACGTGACCGCTGAGGGCTGTACGAGGCGCGCGCCGGCAGTGACCCATCGTATCGTCCTCCCGGGAGTCGACATTCGTACGTGCGCTCACACTGCCAGGGCAACTGCTGGACAGCGCCGCCGCTTCGCCCTCAACAACATGACTCGCCACCTAGTCGTATGACCGACTCAGGTCCTGAAGCCGCATGGCCGACGGCGCGAAACATGAGGTGAGGTGTCGCGTTCTAGCGTCGCCGTATGTGACACCTCACTGCGCGACGTTTGCGCTGACAGCACAGGCTCACCACGTCGGCTCGAACACTGCGTTCTCCTTGACGTACCAGAGATCCGTGTGCGACACGAGCTCCGAGCGGCTCTCCACCAGGCGGAGCCCGTCGAGCCGTGCCGCCTCGGCCAAGTCATCGGAGACAGCTGTGTCAGGGTCTTCTGGCAGGCGGTCCACCAGGAACGAGAAACCGCCTCCCCGCTCGCGGACGCACGCGCGGAGCTCGCTGAAATCCGTGAACACGACAGGCTCATCCTCCCAGTCGTCAAATCCTAGATGCACCCACCTCAGCGTGCGATTTCCCTGCAGCATACGCAGCAGGTCCTGGCTGCTGAATTCGCGGCCGTCCTCCATGTTGTCGTCTGCTACGTCGGTGCCTCGAATCAAGATACGAAACATTTCGAGGTGCAGGCCCTCCAGCACCGTGTTTGCGCAGAGCGCGCCCTCGAGTTGCTCCCACGCGTCCTTGGAACACGTGCACCATTTCAATTGCAGGACCTTGAGTGTCGTGTTCTTCCTCAGACCCCCGGCGAGCGCGCGCGCCGTCACGTCCCGCAGCTGCAGGTTGCGGATGGACAGCACCTCAAGGGTGCGGTTGCCCGCGACTCCGAGTTCAAGCAGAGAGCCTCCCGCAGCATCGACTTGCCACGCGTGCAATCGAGTCAGCAGGGCGTCGGACACGAAGAGCCGCCGCAGGGTCGACCCCGATATCAGCGTCTGCACGGCCCGGGCCGCGTCGCTGTCAAACCGGTTGATGTCTTCCAGGCTCAGCACTTCGAGTGTCTTGTTGCGCGACACGGCTTGTGCAAGCAGCAGTATCCCCGCACCCGACAGCCCCGAGCCGTCGGCGTTGGCGAACTCGAGATGAGTGGTTCCGTCGACAAGGAACACTCGCAGCGAGTTGTTCTGCACCAGCCCGTTGCTCAGGTAGCCGATCGCCTCGTCGTTGATGCATGTGTTCGAGAGATTGAGCTGGACCAGAGACTTGCTCTCCGCCAGCATCTCTCCCATTGCCCGTGCGCCCCCGCTCACTGTGTTGCTGCCCAGGTCCAGGTGCTTGATCCGCCCCGCCGCGTTGCCGCTGATCGCCCGGCACACCGCCGCCGCCCCGTCGCCGCCGATGCTACAGTTGTGGAGCCCCAGCGTCTCCAGCGACGCGCTGGACGCGATGAGCGGGCACAGCGCGACAGCGCCCTCGACGCCGAGGTTGTTTCGGCCAACGTTGAGGTGAGTCAGCACGTGCGACGTGGAGAGCGCCGCAGTGAGGTGCCGCACACCGGCGACGGTGAGGCCGGTGTCCGAGAGGTTCAGCGTCACGAGGACGCTCGGTTGCGCACTCGACAGCAGCAGAGGGACGAAGTCCGGCGTGATGTCCGCCGTGAGGCTGGACACCTCAAGCCACGAGCTCCTGTTCGGCGTACGGACAGTGAGGTGCTGCAGCCCAGGCGATCGGCGGACCAGGTCAGCCACAGGACAGACGTCGCCGTGCATGACCTGCGGCTCAAGCACTCCAACATGCAGCTTGCGCAGGCCGCGCGGATCCCGCAGAGCGCCGAGGACCCTGTCGAATTGCGCGGCGTCCACGGGCAGGTCGCGAATGTGCAGCTCCTCGACGCGGCTGAGCGCGTCGCTCCCCAGCAGCGCGCAGTAGTCACTCAACGTTTCATTTGAAATGTTATCGAAGGTCGGAGCATCGCGCCGCCGCGGCAGGCTCATCTTGACCAGCCTCAGCTCGCCCGTGGCCGCGTCCAGCACGCGCCTCAGCGTCGCCAGCTGCGCGTCCGGGCCGTTGTCGTTGGTGCCTGCTGCGTTCGCGGCGCGTGCTGCCGCGTTCAGCGCCGCTGCGTCCGCGACGGGGACCTGCGCGCCGGCGACCTCGATGCGGCCGTGGTACTCCGACCCCGCGTCGACGCGCGATGCGAGCCCCGGCAGCAGCGCTCCGTCGAAAACGGTAGAAATAGAAAAGATGGGCCGCGTGGGGAGCCGCGACATGGGGTCGCCGCGGAGGTTGGTCGTCGCTTCGAGCGCCGGGACGGGCTGGTCGTCCGGGCGGTACATGCCGTGCCGCAGGAAGGACAGCAGCGCCGACCACGACGTGGCGGCGAGCGCGATGGCGGTGCCCGGTGGCAGGAGGCCCCATAGGTGGGGTATCTCGTACAGCACGTCCTCGGCGAGGGACAGCGACGGGGCCTGTAGATACGATCAGGACGACTGGGGGCGTGTGAGAGTGTGCGCGAAGTGACAAGAGCGCCCTGGCGGTGCGTGTGGGCAAGACAAGTTGCACGCGCGTTTCCGGCGTATGTGTGCGTCGCGCAATGCCCGCGTGAGAAACGTGTGTAGTCCTAGGTATGATCCGGCGATCTAATGCGCATAGTTGGCCAGATATGGGTGTGACTGCCCGCTAGGCAGCGGTGCGTGCGAACAGTCGCATGAGCGAACGCGATCGCGATTTCTGCTGCCGACGAGGGCTCGCGTGCTCGATATGGGCCATAGCTGGAGCGATCAGCGTCAAAAGCTGCATCTCAGTGCGCGCACATGATCTGAAACAGCTTGATGTGGCCGGTGTCCGCGGCGGTGGTTGCTCTCACCTCCTGCTTGCTCGCTCCCCGGGCGCCGTGAGTGACCGGCATGGTGCCTTTACGGCCTCAGGCGATGAAAAACACCGTCACGACCAAAGTCCGCGTCCTGCGGGGCAGCGATCGCCAATCACCGCGCGTCACGAGCGCGTATGACGGTCCACTCCCCTGCGGGGACACGCGCCCGCCGTCAGCGCCGCGCGCCCGAGCTCCGCCGGCCCGAGCCGACACAAGCGCGATCGCTGCAACGCACCTGCGGTCGCCTCGACGACGCGCTCGATCCTCAGAGTCGTCACAACGGCCTCAAAACATAACACAAGTCAAGTTGGTTGGTTCGTTCCTCGCATGCATCGCGATCGACGTTCGCTGATCGTGCTCTCAAATGCAAGCAGCACTGCGCCGCGCCGCGCCCGCCGTCGGTCCACGCGAACCTCCAGCGGCGGCGTGACGGCCCAAAACCCGCACCAGGACACGCGTCATCCCGCCGCGGTGCGTACCGCGCGCGCGCCCCCCGCCCGCGCCCTCACCCGTGCGTCGCGCGGCTCGCCGCCTCCTGCGCGGCCCGGATCGCCCGCATCCGCAGGTCCTCCCCCGCAACACCCCCCTCCGCACTCCCCCCCTCCACCTCCGGCGTCGCCGACCGCCCCCGCCGGTCCGGCGTGCCCGCGCTCTCCGGGCCCCGCTGCGGCGACGCCGCCTCCTTCGCCTCCTTCGCCGCGGCGGCCGCTGCGTCCTTCGCGGCCTGCGTCAGGGGCTCGTAGCGCGCCGGGTCTGGCCGGGCGTAGAGGCGCGCGAGCTGCACCGCGGCCGTCTCGACCTCCGCGCGGCCCGGGCCGAACGCCTGCCACCAGGGCGTCCGCGCCGGCAGCGCGTGGCCCTTCCGCCGCGCCGCGACCAGGATGCACGCGCACGCCACGGCCTCGGGCGCGTGCGTGATGCACACCGGCGCGCGGTGCGAGTCGTTGCACGCGTCCCACGCGTCCTGCACGAACGCCGCGTCCGCCTGGAGCTGCTGCAGGAACGACAGCAGGTAGTTGTGCGGCAGCTCCACGTGGCAGATGAAGCCGAACACGCGCAGGATGTTGCGCTCCGTGCGGATCAGCGTCTCCTTCCCGCGCGCGTACTCGGAGCCGTAGAAGTCGAGCACGGTCAGCGGCGCGTCGCTGTGCCGCTGGATGATGCGCCGCCCGACCATGAGCACGTCGCGGGCGCGTTTCGGGCATTCCTCGAGCTTCGATGCAAGCCAGAGGCACGCGAGGGCGACGTCCTGCGGCGAGCGGGCGGTGTGCCGGGGGCGTGAGGGGCCGCGGCGTGGCGTGGCGGGTGTGTGGGGGCGGTGCGTGGGGCGCCACAGGGTGGAAGATGTTGTGTTCCTGTCTGAAAGGGGAGCGCTCTGTGGTTGCAACGCCGGCGCGAGCGGACCACGACGTCGCTCGTGGTCGCAGGTGCGACGGGGGCGCAAGTACCGGCGGCGCGGCGCGCGGCGGGCGCGACGGGTGCGGCGTAGTGGCCGGGGGAGGTTCGCGCGGGGGTGCCGGGGGCTCGCGCGCGTCGGAGAGGGGCGCTCCGCACCTTGACGTCGTATTTGGTCAGCGATCGCTTGCAGTAGAAGCGCTGCAGGAGCACCTGGGCGGTGCAGACAGCCTGGTTGGGCATGCGCAAATAGAGCCCCGTTTCCGCGACGATGTCGCAGCCGAAGATCCGCTGCGCCTCCTCCAAGTCATGCGACACGCCGTCCTGCCGCGAGGGCGAGTTCTCCAGGTCCTCAGGGCTCAGGAGCGCCCGGTGAAGCGTCGAAAAGAACATTCCACGGCCTCAGCGCGGCAGGCGGCGCCGCGCAGGGCTCTCCTTGCCACACCCACACAGCCCAGTCCTATTCTGTGCGCCCGCGGGGCTGCGGCGCGCCCCAAGCCGGCCAGCGGCCCACGGAGCGTCTCACAGTGTGCTTTCCCCTCAAACCTCCGCACCCGCTCGACGAACCATCTGGTTTCGGGACCCAGAACGTCGAGCCAGCGATGTGCGGTCCCCACGCCGCGCCCGCGGCCCCACGTCGCGCTCAGGCCCGCGCCCCGGCCCGCGCTCACTCCACCAGCTCAGTCAGCCCGACCTAGCCGTCGGCCGAAGCGCGCCTTTCGCCGCGCCGCCGCGCGCACGTCCCCGCACACTGACCTGGCGTCGTCTCGACCGCTACGATGTCGTTCAGCACCGCCAGCCTCCGCGTGGCTCTGCCCCAGCAGGCCGCCACCCGGCCCATCCGGTCTTACGTCGGGATGGCCGCGCGGCCACTGGTGATGAAGGCTGAGGGTGCGTGTCCCGATCCGCAGGCCCTCGTGGACGCGCGTGATCGGCGCCCCGCGGCCCCGGCGCGCCCGAGCGCACCGCCTGCTGTGTGCCTGGAGCTGGTGTTTCGGCCCGGACGCGCGCGTGCGGGGCCGTTGGGTTTGATGCCGGTGCTTGGCGCGTAGTTTTCGATTTGGAAGATGCGTTGCGGGCGGAGACGCGGCCGCAGAGGGCGTCTCCGGGGAATGCGGGGTCGCCCGAGCTGGGCTCGGCCACGGCGCACGGCCGGCCGCGGGCGCCCCGAGAGACCCGCTCACCGCGTGGAACGGGTTCGTTTTCGTCTCTGCAGTTGTCGCGACGCCCCTGCTGGGCGCGCCTAGCAACGGCGCGACGGTGTTCGCCATGAGGCACGGGAAGCGGGTGGCGAAGCTCGGGCGACCGGCGGACCAGCGGAAGGCGCTCATCCGCACGCTCACCACGGAGGTTCTGAGGCACGGAAGGATCAAGACCACCGTGGTGCGTCCCCGCGAGCCCCCACGCCGAGCCCCCCGACCGTGCGCTACCCAGCAGCGCCTCTATCCGGCGCCGCAGCGCCGCGGACGCGCCTGCGCGGCCCTCCGCCACAGCGGCCGCTCTCTGCGCCCCCCACGACGCTCCACGCCATCGCCCTGCCGCCCATGCGCCCACGAATGGCCCCCAAACGCCCCAGAGCAGCACCAACCGGGCGCGTTGCGCGCTCCTCCGCCGTTTTCCGGGTTCGCACACACCCCTTCGAAGCTTGTACGGTCCCTCGCCAACGTTCGCAGACGCGCGCGAAGGCCATCCGGCCGTTCGTGGACAAGATGATCACGCTGTCCAAGCGCCAGACCCCGCACGCCAAGATGCAAATGAACGCCTTCCTGTACGACAAGGAGCTCGTCGACGCCGTCTTCGACGAGGCCGCGAAGAGGTGCGCACCGCCCCGCGCCCACGCCCGCCGCTCGCGCCCGCAACTCCACCCGCCGCGCGGCCGCGGCCGCGCGCACGGCGCCGCGCACTCCCCCGAGCAGTGCTGCTGCATACCTAGCGAAGCGCACCGCTCACCGCCGCCGCCTGCCTCGCGCTGCGTCTCGCGCAGGTATGCGGACCGCAACGGCGGGTACTGCCGTGTGGTGCGGGACCTCCGGAACCGCCGCGGCGACAACGCGGAGATGGCGTTCATCGAGCTGGTGTAGGCGCGCGGGCGCGCCGGCGTCGCTTGTGATACAGTAGCCCGCAGCCGTTGTCACCGCCGCTCGCGCGAACTTGCTTGTGCGGGTCTGGGTGGCCTTCCCCTGGCACATGATGACACGCTCACATGGCATTTCGAGCGTGTCGGCTGGCGGGCGTCGTCCAGTACTCGCGCGGCTCGCCGCGTTGTTGCTGCCGACGCCCGCCACTCACTCTTACTGATTGCAGGTCTGAGCCTTCCCTTGGCACATGGTGACATGCTCACGAGGCATTGCGCGCGAGTACTCCTGGCGCGCTGCCGCCTTGATCGGGACGGTAGCACACCCGCATTTCGTTGCGTGCGCGGGTGGTCAATTACTTTGGGTGGTCATTGCATGCGGTGTCTGGGTGGCGGCGCAGGGGCGCGGCTGCGCGCGCCGGAGCAGCGGAGGGCTGCTCCTGCGCGCGGCGTCGACGGGCCTGCGCGTGCGCCTGCGAGTCGCGGCGCGGGCCTGCGTTGTGCGGTCGCGCCGGGGTTCTCCGTTTCTGTCCCGTTGCGAGGTGGGCCGAGGGCGTCCGGTCGTGCCGGCGGGCGGCGGTGGTGCTGCGGGCGTGGCGGGTTGGTGGCGGGGCCGCCGGGGGGCGTAGGCACATGCGGTCGGACTCACTGAGAGGGTTGGGCTGGGCGAGCGGGCGCCGGCGGGGCTGCGAGGGCGCGGGTGTGGCCGCGGTGGGGGAAGTTTGCGTGGGGTATTTGGTGGCGGGCAGTTTCGACTTCTCCTGACGCTGACGGAGCTCTGTCGGGGGCCTGGAGCGACGGGGTGAGGAGCGGGCGTCGCCCGGCTGGCGCCGTGTGCGGAGTAGCCGCGCTGGGAAGCGCGCGACCTGTAGAGGGATTGAGTCTCGTCGGAGTCGCGCGGCCGACGGCACCGAGAGGGGCCCGGAGTTGCGGGGGAGCGAGCTTGGCCCGCACTCTCGCAGCCTGAGCGGTTGACGGTCCCTCCGGGGACCGCCAGCGCGGGCCAGGATGTTCATGCTGAAGCTCCAGCACATAGTGGATAGTTTCGATGACGAGTACTGGGAGAGGAAGCGGTGAGACACACCATGCATGCACCTGCCACTTCTCCCGAGCGCTGCCGGCTGCCCCCGCGGGCCCTCCGCCCCGCCCGTCCACCTCTCCTTGCTCACGGGCCCGAAACCGCGCGAACTTCGGCACCGCGCGCCCCTGCCCCCGCCCCTCCACAGCACGACCTGGGCTCGCTTCTGCCTCTACGCTCTCCCGCGCGCCACTCACGCCCTCCCACCTCCCTTGCACGGCCTCCTCCGCCGGACACTCGCTGCACAGACCGCTACGTTGCATTTTCGGCAGCGTCACGCCCCAGCACAGCGCGCTTTCCCCCACGCAACACCTCTCGCGTCCCATACGGTGCCATCGAGCCCCGCCACGCCCCGCGGCGCGCCCCGCGACCCGTTCCTGCCCCACCACGCCCTAGCAGACCCACTCACGCAGCGGCCGGGCCCGTCGAGCGCCCGCGGACCCCCGCACGCTGCGCTTCCGCCCGGCCGACATGCCAGCGCCGCACCCCGCACGCACCGCCTCGCCGCGCCGCGCCGCGACGCCGGCCCGCCTCGCCGCCGCGCGCAGGGTCGCGGAGGAGCACCGGGAACGCGAGACCGCGGCGGCGGTGCGGATCCAGGCGCACGCTCGCGGGTGGCTGCAGCGGCGCTACTTGGGCGAGCTGTCCGCGCGCGTCGAGCTGATCCAGCGATGGTACCGCGGCCACATGGGGCGCAAGCGCGCCAGGGCCCTGCTGCGCGAGCGCCAGCAGCGCGAGCGCCGGGAGTACTTCGCGTTGTGCGCGTCAACCATCCAGAGGTGGTGGCGCGGGTACTGGTCGCGCAAGAAGGTCGTCGACTTCTACAAACGCAAGGAGTACCTCACGGAGGTGAAGATCAAGGGCCGCAAGATCCTCGCGGAGGGCTCCAAGGCACGCCCCGCGCCCGCACCGCCTTTGCGCACACACGCTCTCCACCGCCCGCCGCGCGGCGCCCACGCGAGGCCCGCCCCCGCGCACCCCGCGCAGATCGCCGAGGAAGCGGCGCGCATCGCCGAGGAGGAGCACGAGCGGCGCGTCGACGCGGACATGGCCAAGCTGTTGCGACGTATCAACCACCTGCGCTCCACCGCGTGCCAGGAGGGCGCGCTGATGCTCCCCGTCGTCGGCCTCGAGGGCCTCGAGGCCCCCGGCGGGCACTACCTCGAGGCGACGATCCTCCAAGAGACGCGGTCGTCGCTCAAGTTGCCGCCGCTGACCGGGCGGCGGCCGCTGGCGCCGCAGCCGCCGCCGGAGCTGGACTACACGCGGTCGTCGATCTCGCACTTGTCGCAGGCGCCGCCGCCCGGGTCGCTCCCGTCTGACATGCGGGCGTTCGCGAAACACCCCCCCATGGGCCGCACGGTGCGGACGTCCGAGGTGTACGACCGCGCGCACGAAGTCAAGTACCTCGAGGACCGCGTGACCGTCGGCGGGATGATGTTCGAGCACGCACGCGCCTTCAGGAGCGCCGTAGCCAAACCGAGGCTGGGGCCGCTCACGAGCCTCAAGATCGCAGAGCAGTACCGACAGGAGCCGCTCCCGAACGCGCCGCCGGGCCTGCGGAGCGACAAGCCGACGGACCTCGCCGCGAAGATCTCGCACCGGCCCTTCATGCGCGCCGTGCACAACAAGGGGGTGTTCGACCCGTATCTGATCTGATTCCGATCCGACGCCGATCCGGACCGTATCGGGTCGCGGGAGGCGCCGCAGGGGATGTGACGCGACAGAGCCGGGCGACGCGCGTGCCGTGTGGACGTGCTTGCGTGCCGTGGAGTCATTGACCAGTCTCTCCGCCCTCGTTCGCTGTGTGGGCCTCCCCTGCTGTGCTCGTTCGGTCGCGAGCGCCCAGCGCGCGAGGGCCGATCGGTGCGCGGGGCAGCGGAAGCTCGGTCGCTTGTCCCTGCGTCAGGGGCCGGCAGCCTGCCATGGTGCGCGGCGCTCGTTGTGTGTGCCTGGGCGGCCCGTGCCGCTCGCGGGGCGCGACCAGGGGGCGTGCGGGCGAAGGACGGTGGCCCGAGCAGCGGGGGCCGCCGCTTCGAGTGCGGTTCCTGGTCGTGCGTGGACTTGTTACACATAGCATGAAGTTGTGCACCTTGTCGGGGCGAGGGCTGGTGCGTGGCGGGCCGTGAAGAGTCCGCACGCAGCGGGTGCGGCGGCCGCTTGGTCGTGCGGCGCCCCCCGCGGGTCAGAACCCCCCCCCGTGGCTGCCGGAGTCCTCCGCGGTTGCGGGGGGTATATTGGGCAAGGCGGGGCTGATTTTGCGGCTGAAGCGCTGCGTTGCTGAGTGAAGAAAGGGTTCATCATGGCTGCCACGGTGCATCACGCGCCACGGAGCGTTGCGTGTCCGTTGTGCTCGAGGCACAGTAGTGCGACGCGGGCGCGGCATCGTCACGTGTGCGGTGCGTCCTTACGCGCGGACGTGACGGACGTGCTCTTGTGCATCGGTTCCGGATAAGCATTGTGCGTCTCGTTGACTGTGAAGCGAGGAAAGCGCGATTGATGCCCCGCAGGTGCTATTCCGCCGAATGCGCGTGGCTGCTTGAGCATCTGCGCGGGCAGCACGTGCAAGAAGCAAGGCGCGAATGAAGTCGTCGCGTTCGGAGAGAGCCTCCTTCTCGAAGATATCCACATCGAGGGTGCGGGATGCTTGGGTCCATCCTGTCCCCGCGCTCGCCCTGCTGCTCATCCGCGCCCTGCGTTCCCATTCCCATCCGTACGCCCTCTCGCACAGCGTGCGGATGTCTCGGGCTCTGCGGAAACGGACCGAACGCCGTGCTGGAGCTGCACGGCCAGAAACCCGTCAAGCTGAGCCACATCACGACGACTACGGGCCTCGCGCGCGTGCTCGAGCAGTTCTGCGACGTCCGGGTCGACGAACGAACCCTCAAGGCGAGAGCGCCCTCCAAACCCAAGAACCGCCACACCTCCCCGCGGCCGCGCCTGCCCGTGCTCATGCGCCGCATGACGTGTGCACGATTCCCTCCTGCAGGCTTCCCAGCTCCGCTCCGCCGGCAACGCAGAGGCGCGTCGCGGCAACGCGAAGCGCGCAGTCAACTTCTACCGCGACGCCCTGGCTGCGGACCCCCCCCAGGGGCGTCATCTGATCCTGTCCAACCTCTCAGTGGTACTGCTCACTGTCAAGGACCTCGACTCCGCGCTCGAGGTGCGCGGATCCGCACATCGCGCAGCGCACTGCACACCGCTTCCGCGGCCCGTGGCGTGTAGGATCGCGTGTTCGCGCACGAGGCTGAGACGGAGTCTTTGCACAAAAGGTGAAAAAACCAATCGAGAATGACTGGTTGGTGATTGCGGGTGTTGAATGGGCTCGCTGCAGGCGGCGAGAGAGGCGCAGGCGTGCGCGCCACCGGGGTGGCCGCGGGGGTACATGCGGGAGGCGGACGTGCTGTGCGCGATGGGGCGCAAGGACGAGGCGGCGGCGGCGCTTGAGGGCGCGCGGAGGGCGGACCGCGGCGCGCACCGGTCGCTCGAGTACCAGGCGATCGCGCGGCAGCTCGGGCTGGACAAGCGGGCGCGGTGACGCCGGAGGCAACCAGCGGTGCAGGTGCCTGGAGTGGTGCGGCCGCAGTCCGAAAGCGTGCCGGTATCGCGGCGAGGCCAGTCGGGCACCGGTCGTGCGCGTGGTCGCTTCGGTGGGAAGCGTTCGGCACAGCGCGCGATCGAACAGGACAGCGCAGCGCAACTGCTGTCGAAGCACTCGCAGCAGGGCGCACGTAGAGTTGGTGCTTGGGGCTAGTTCTTCGCTGACCTACGAGCACCCTCGCCGCGAGGACGCTTGAGCGACCGAAATGGTACGGCAGGCTGACGCCACCCGTCCGAGGCGACCAGGACGTTCCGTGAGACGGCGGCGGTGCGGCGCAGGTGATCGATGACCTCACAGACCAAGCCAGTCCCGGTCCCGCACGCAGCCGCCCGCAGGCCTGCTGCGTGTGAGCCGGTTGTCGGAGCACGGGGCTCGCTGCCGCCACCTCACCGCGCGCGGGAGCGTGGCGAGCGCGAGGCGCGAGCGCCCCGCGTGCTGTCGCTAACTGGCTGCGGGGGTCACCGGGATGGGAATAGGGGCGGGCGGACGAACGGAAAGAAGAGTCTGGAATAGGGACGGGGAGGGAGGTGGCTGGGCGGGTCCGAGCAGGCGAGGCTGGTCCCGCGGACGGCAATTCGGCGAGGGGGGGTGTGGAAGGCATGGAGGGGGGTGTGCTGGGTCGAGAGACCAAGGACGGCTCGGCGTTGCGAGGACGCGCCCTGTCTTCGGCCCAGCATCGCCCGGCGCTCCGGCTCGAAATCGTGGATGAAGGGAAGGGGGGGGGGGTCGCATGAGCAAGCGTTGAGAAACGCTGGGGGCAGGGGGCGCGGCGTGCGGCACGATCGTGCGGCGCCGGCGCCCCGGGTCGGCCGCGGTGCGGCGCAGAGGGGGTGTCCCACCCGCGAGTGTACGAAGGCACCCAATGCGGGAACGGGGGGAGAACGTCGCCCATTGTTCGTGCAGTCCGGCGCACCGGCTCACTGTGAGCGTTCTTTTCCTCGTGTGGGCAGGAAAGGAAGGCAAAGAAGGGGGGGCAAGGGATCGCTCGCAAGGAGCGCAAGTCGTGTGTTGCTGGTCGCCACGTGGTCGCATCGGACATCGCAGGTCGGGCGTACATGTGCCTGCGCACGCCGCGGCGACCGCTGGTGGGGCCGGGTGCAAATTCGGGCCGAGTCTGAGGTGGAAGGTGGGCCGGGGGTGAAGCCGCGTCGGTTGGTTCGAGTAGGCTTCACCCCCGGGGGTGTCGGCAACGTGTGTGGTTGATCTGAGGTGACGGGGGATCGACGACTCCGGGGGGGAAGGCCGTGGGTTCAAGATGGAGGGTCAAGGAGAGAAGGGGGGTAATCGTGGAGACAAACAAAGGGAGTTGTGTCCTGAGGTGCTAATAATTGTCCGCGCGGGACGCATTCTTGTCTCCGAGTGGATAAATGAGCAGGGAGCAGGGAGCAGGGGGGAGGTTTGGCAAGGGGGGCCGGGACCAGGGGGTCGTTACGCGTCAGCGAATATTCAACGACCCGTTGCGGCGTCGTCGGTGCGACGCGTCCGCATTCGCGTCTCAAACGCGCACGAGGCAAGACGTGAGGGGAGGGGGGAGGGCAGGGGGGCCGGGAGGCGGGTAACGAGTCGTCGCGCAGCAGGAGGAACGAGAAATTCAAGAATCATGTCGTTGTGATGTTAGTGTGAGGTCGCCGCATCCAAGGGCGAGAAAGGGCACTCGTGGGCGTGTGTGTGCCCGTGTGCCTGGCCGGCCCGACGGTGTTGTCGTGGCGGCGCGGTGGGGGGCGCGGCCTTGCGCTCGCAAGGCTGAATTCATGGCGGTGGGAGGTGGGGAGGTTGGGGAGTTATCATTCGCCCAGTGATTGGGGCTTCGCGAGGGGCCCGTGCTCGTCCGCACGCGGCCGCGGTGCGGCGTTTCCGTCGATTCTTCTCGCGGCTGGTCGCAGGTGGTGGTGGTGGGTGGTCCATCTGCCCCGCGCGCGAGCGGGAGCAGCAGCAGTTTGTCGAGATCGCGCGTGCCTTAGAAGTGCGTGAGCGACTCCAGCGTCGCGGGCGCCTCCACGAGGGGCGCGGGGGCCTCCACGAGGGGCGCGGGGGCCTCGAGCAGCGGCGCCGACGCGGGCGCGGGGGCGGGCGCGGGGGCCAGCGCCGTGGCGCCCTGGGCCAGCAGCGGCGCCTCGGTCGTCACCGCGACGCCGGCGGCGTCCGTCGCGACGAGCGCGACGCCCGCGGGCGACGTCGCCGCGACCTGCACGCGCTCGTAGCCCGGCGCCACGATGGCCATGAGGCTCCCCGGGAGCGCCAGCGTGGCCAGGTAGGCGTAGATCGCGCGCTTGCGGCGCATCGACGCGACCTCGCGCGGCTCCGAGCCGTGCACCTTGAAGATCGACCGCGCCTCGCCCTTCTTCGCCTTCGACCCCCTCCCCTCCTGGTGGAAGCACTCCTGGAGCAGGCCGCGGCAGAAGGCCGGCATGCGGACGCCCGGGAGCGCCGGGCGGCCCGAGCGCTCGGCGGCCGCGGCGAGCGCCGCGCACGCCTCGTACGAGCCCGACCGGCGCGCCTTGGCAAAGTGCCGCGAGCCGTGCCGCGTCATGGCGAGGATGCGCATCACCGCGTCCTCGTCCGCCTTCAGCAGCCGCGTCATCGCGTCGCGCGGCTGCGCGGCGAGCTCCTCGGGCGCGAGCCCGCCGGCGAAGCGGTGGTTGCGCAGCGACAGCACCGTCGCCAGGCACGTGGTGTGGTGCTCCGCGCACTCCGCGCCGCACAGGTCCGCGTCCGAGAGCTTGCCCGTGAGGAAGAGGACGTGCGCGGACTCGAGCATCCACGGCGGGTAGTCGGCGTGCAAGCCGTGGGCGACGAGCTCCGGCATCGTCCCCCACTCGAGCGCGGGGATGAGCTCCTCGAAGATCGAGTTGGCCGAGAGACGCGAGCCCGACGTCAGGAACGCGGCGTTGCTGCGGGGGGGGTCGGGGGGGAGCTGGGCGGGTGGGCGGGGGCGCGCGGGCGGGGGTCGCGGGTGCGGCGGCGCGGGAGATATGCTGGGAGGACTGGGGATGCAGCGGTTGAGATATGGTGGCCGGGCGCGCGGCGGGAGGCGCGCGGGGCGGCGGCGCGCGGGGCGGCGCGGGGCGGGCGGGCGAGGCGCGCTCCGGCGCCGTGCGGCGCGCGGGGCGCCGCGTCCGCCGTCTAGGCGCGGGAGGGCGCCTCACCTCTTGGCATTCCGGACCGTACGCAGCTGGGGCACCTGGCGCTTCACGCCGTCGACGGACCGCGCGACGAGGAGGTTGTCGACGTAGGTCTGGAAGATGCGGAAGATGTTGGCGATCGACGGCGCGGTCGCGGCGTCCCGGCGCGCGTCTTCGAAGCTGGTCAGGCCATGCGGCTGCTGGGCCACAGGCTCCGGGTCCGACGCAGCGGACGATCCGGCCGAGGGGCGCACCGTGGAGGCCGCCCCGGGCACCGACTGGTACTCAGGCGCGGAGGAACGCTCCTGGTAGGCCTCGTAGGGGACGGCGGGGCGCGGAACGGGCGGGCCGTGGTCGACGCGCACCAACTTGGCCGGAGGCGCCTGGGGGGCCTCGAGGGCCGCGTGCGAGGCCGTGCGCTTCGCGGGGTTGATCTGCGACGGCTGCGAGGGCACCATGGGCGCCGTGGTGGCCGCCCAGGCGGCCTGCGGGGCCGCCCCGTGGACGCCACTGCTGGTGCCGGCCTGGTGGGGCCACGAGGCGTGGACCGCGGCGTAGTTGGGCGCGTGGGGGTGGCTCGCGGAGAATGCGGAGCGGTTTGGGGCGTCGTAGTGCGCGCGATACCCGCGGGAGGGCTCCGGGTGGCCGTTCTCGGACGTCGCCAGTGTGTACGACGGGCCCGACTCCGTGCGCCCCGCGGGGCACTCCGCGCTGTCCTCCTCGCTCCCGAACATCATGCCGTGCACGAACCGCTGGCCGTCCTGCGCCTGGTCGGCCCACTTCGCGGCAGCCTGCAACGAAGCGGTCGTTGTGGCCGGCGCGCTCAGCTGCGAGCTCGAGGGCGCCAACGGATGGGGAACGCGGCACTTCGGCACAACGATACGTCCGGATCGCGCGCGACCTGGACGTTTCGCTGGCGCGTTGGCGCCGCCGCGCAGCAACTAGGCACAGATGCGGAGGCCCTCTCGCGGGGCGCTGCGGGGCGCAATCCACCGGCAGCCCGCGCCAGCCGACGAACAATGGCCAGCGGCTGGGCCGCGGAGGCGGCCGTTGGACGTCTGAGGGACGGTGCGCGGCGGTGCGGCTCACCTGGGGCTCCTGGGCGAACGGGCCATCGTGGCCGATGTCGTCCAGGGCCTCGAAAAACGGGGCCAGATCGCCGCTGGTGTGGTAGTGGTCGATCGCGGAGTCGAGGGCGAAGTCCAGCCGCATGGCGCCGGTATCGACTGCAAAGGTTCGTTCGTTCGTTCGTTCGGCCGCGCGAAGTCCGTTCAGACCTTGGCGCGCCTGCGGCGATGTAATGTTTCGTTCGGGGGAGCCGGTCCCGAGAAATCTGCCGCGGGCGCGCGCGCAGGCGGCCAAAGACGGCCCAGCCACTGGAAGGGGGGGATCTCCATCTGAGTCGCTCCGAGCGCGCTGGGGACCAACGGCGGAATGGCCGCGCGGGATCGAATGTCTGCTCGAAATCACACGAGTCTGGCTGCAGCGATCGGAAAATCCGCTGTTCTCTTCCGCGTGAGCTAAGGCGCACCGTTGGTCGGCTGTTGAGACGAATCGTCCGCCGTGGGCGCGACGCCTCCGGCCTCCGCGCGACGGCTCGCCAATTATGACTTGTGCCCGCAGACGCGCTCCGTGCGGCGGACGCCATTGTCTATGCCGTCGGGGGCACGTCCACACAGGTGCCTGACACACACGGCCAGTTCCCGCACGTTGACGTCCCGGGGACGACCCTTCGACGCAGCACGGCGGCCACCGTGCAGGCGTGGGCGCGCCGGCGGGAGCGCGAGCGGCCTCCGCACGCGCGCGCGCGCACGTGCGCCTGCAACTGGCATCGACGCGGGGGCCCAGGGGCCCCGCCCGGGGGCGCCCGCCCGAGCTCTACGGCGCGCGGCGGCGGCGCGGGCGCGGAACTCCGGGGCCTGAGAGGCGCAGAACAGCCTTGGAAGCGCACCGCGGCCGCGTCCAGCCGCTCCCGCGTCCCAGGGGGCAAACGCCGGGCCTCCAGCCTGGGCCAGCGGCCCTGTGCGGGCGCGGCAAGGAGAGATGGGGGGCAAGTTCGATGCTTTCGTGTTCGTGCTGCTCGCGGTACGTCCCGGCGGGGCTCGCCCGCGCCGCACCCGCCGCGCCGCCCGCTGTTCGTTGGTGCTGGTCTCTGACTGCGCACAACGCGCCGTGCTCCCGGCGGTTCCGGCGCCGGAGACGGCCCGGAACGCGTCTTCCCCGCTGCTGCGGTCCGCCGCGGACCACGGAGAGCGATGCGCCGTCCTCGCCGCCGCGCCGCGGCCGTGTGCTGGGGCGGCAACAAAACCCGCCCGCGCCGCGCCGCGCCGCAGGTTGGCTACTCGGTGGGGTGGACGACGATCTCGTCCCTCGTCGACTTCTTCCGCGAACAGTACGGCCCGGGCGCCTTCCTCCAAATGACGCTCGTCTACGTTGCGCCCAGCCTCCCAGGCGAGCCCCCGCCCGCCACGGCCCGCGAGCGCGACGAACGCGCGCAGATCTCCGCCCCCGCCCTCCCACTGCCCGCGCGCGCCGCACGCGGCCGCCCGCACGGCCCCGCACGCCCCCGGCAGCGCACACGCACACCGCCACTCTCCCCCTCCCTCCACCCCGCAGTGCTCGCGTTCCAGGCGTACTTCGACAAACACCTCGACGACCGGTTCGGCCTCGTGCGCACCGCGCCCGCGCGCCTCGCCGTCGGCCTCGGCGCCACCGCCGCCCTCCTGTGCGCATTCCCGTTTCACATGCGCATCGGAGGCGCGCTCGGGCTGCAGGGGCTGCTCGGCTCCCTCCTCATCCTCGGCGCCACCTCCGGCGTCGCGCTCGGCACCACCTACCAGCTCGTCTCGCACTTCCCCCGAGGGTGCACCCTCGCGCTGACGCTGGGGTACGTCGCGGCGGGCCCACTGGTGCTGGTGCTGGAAATCGCGCTGCGCGTGGGGTCGGAGCCGAGCGAGGCGCAGCTGCTCGGGCTCTTCGAGTCCGTCGCGGGCGTCGCGGTCCTCGCGCTCCTCCTGGGGGTCGTGATGGTGTACCGCAACAGGGGGGTGTTGGGGGCGCCGCAGGGGGGCGTCGCGAAGGCGGAGGAGCAGGTGATGGACGTCGTGGAGGCGGCGCTGCCGGAGGAGGTGTCCGCGGGGATCAGCGCGGAGCTCCTGGCGAGCACGCGGCCCGTGAACGAGTTGGCGCTGGAGCTTAATTTGGAGCTGCAGCCGCCCGTGATCTCGACGGCGTACGGCGTGGAGTCCGCGCTGATCGCGGGGGCGATCACGGCGGCGCCGACGCCGCGCGCCGCGCCGCCGACGCCCGCGCTGACCCCGCGCGGGGGGGGTCGCACGGACGCGGGGGGGGGCGTTGCGTCAGGTGCGGCCGCCCGTGCGGGCGCAGCGCGGCGCGAGACCGCGCACCCGCGCACCTCGCGCGCGCAGCCTTGGACTCTCGATTGACGTTTTCTGTTTGGGTGCGATCGCGGTGCAGAGCAGCAGAGCATGTCGCTGCACGACTGGCAGGCGGCGGGGGAGCCCGTCGACGCCTCCTTCGGCCCGACGCTGCGGCCGGCCCCGAGCGGCCTCGCGGAGGCCCCGTGGACGCCCGCGGGGCTGCGGCAGCGGCCGCGCCGCGCGCCGACCGCCGCGGCAGCGACGGAGCGGCGGAGCTCCTCGTCAACCTCGACGGCGCGTCGGGCCCCGAGGCGCACGACCGCGCGCCCGCGCCAGGCTCCTCCATCACCACCCCCCTGCTCGAGGCCGGCAAACTCCCCCCGCCCGCGCAGGCGGCGCGCGCGGACGCGCGCGCGTACGCGCAGCACCACGGCGGCGGCGGCGGGCACGGCCACGAGTTCGCGTGCGCGGAGGGCGACCCAGACGTCCAGGTCCTCGACGTCGTCCGCAAAATCATGCCCGCCATCCTCGTGCTGCTCGGGTCCGCCGTGGCGTCCATGTCGGTCTTCCCGTTCTTCGCGTACATCCGCTCCACGGGGTACTTCGGCTCCATCCTCCCGCGGTACATGGTGTTCACGCGCCTCCTGGCCGACGTGGCCGGGCGCTCGCTGCCCGCGTCGCCGCGCTTCCTCGTCCGCGACCCGCGGAACCTCCTGCGCCTCGTGTACGTCAAGCTCTGCCTCGTCCCGGTCTTCTTCGCGTACCTGTACGCCCCGGAGTGGCTCCTGTGCGACTTCGCGCCTCTCGTGTACGTGGCGGGGTTCTGGACGCTGAGCGGGCTGGTGCACACGTGCGCCTTCATGCTGAGCCCGACGCTCGTGCCGCTCGGCATGGCGTCCAAGGCCGGCGCCGTGATGGCGTTCACGAGCCAGCTCTCGAGCCTGGTCGGCATCGGTGTCGCGCTGCTTCTGTCGGCGCTGTTGTTTGGGGGCGGGACGATTCCCGGCGGACACTGAGCGGCTGCGAGGAGGCTCGCGCGGCGGTGGCGCGGACCGTCGCCTTGCGCGCGTGAACGGCGAGGGTGCGGCGGTGCGTGTCGCTGCTCTGCGCGACGCAAGTGCGTCGCTGGGATTGCTGAGCTGCGCGCGTGCGTGAACGACGCGATCTGTGACGGCGTTCCCGACGGTGGCGGAGCTGCTGGCCGGCCGCGCGCGCGTGGGCGGAGCGACAGACGGTTTTACTGCAATACACCCCCGGTAGGGTTGTACACCTGCTGCTGCAGCATGCGGGCGCAGAATTCCGGGGCCCGCCGGTCGCCGCGCGCAGATCCGCGGCGCCGTCGCGACCAGATCCAGCACCGAGCGCCTGCGAGGCGCGGCACGCTGCCGACACAACAACACACAGCACTGCACACGCCAGGTCGGGGGCGATGGCGTGCCGGATGGCGGTGACGCGGCTGGGGCAGGGCCGTCCGGTCACCGGGCATCTGCGCCGCGCCGCGTCGCGGCTCGGTTCGCGCTGCCGCGGGGCCGTGGGCGCGGCGCCAAACGGCCGAGCGGGAGAGCCCGTGCACAGGTCCGCGATGCGTGCGTTTCACACTCGTCGACTGTTTTTCCAGTTCCGCGCTGTATGTTCGTCGCCGGCGCGCAAAACCGGACCGGAGCGGCGCGTGGCCGGCCGCGAACGAGGCGACGGAGAGCAATTGCACCCCTTACGGTGCTCACGGCGGCGCGAGCGTCGTTCGCGTCCGCGCGCGCAGGCTCGAGCAGGTCGACATCGTGAACAAGGAGGTCATTCGCATGGACGAGAAGCTCTACGCGTACGTCCTGGGGCGCACGCGCGAGGAGCCGTTGCTGCGGGACCTGAGGGTCGAGACGCACGAGCTGCGCGGGTCCCGGATGCAGATCTCCCCGGAGCAGGGCCAGTTCATGCAGCAGATCGTGCGGATGACACGCGCGCGGCGCGCAATCGAGGTGGGGGTGTTCACGGGCTACTCTGCGCTGTGCACAGCAATGGCGCTGCCGGACGGCGGGGAGCTTGTGGCGTGCGACAACGACGCGGACACGATGGAGATCGCGAAGAAGTACTTCGAGAAGGCGGGAGTGGCCGCGAAGGTGCGCTGCGTGGTCGCCCCGGCCCTCGAGACACTCGCGGCGCTGTTGGGCGACGGGCAGGCCGGGACCTTCGACCTGGCGTTCATCGATGCGGACAAGAAGCGGTACAAGGACTACTACGAGCTCTGCCTCGAGCTCGTGCGCCCGGGCGGGCTCGTCGCCGTCGACAACGTGTTGTGGTACGGCCGCGTCGCGGACGAGGCCGACACCAAGGCGCCGACGCTCGCGATCCGCGAGTTCAACGACTTCGCGGCCGCGGACCCGCGCGTCGACTTCACCATCGTGCCCATCGGCGACGGCGTCGCCATGTGCCTCAAGCGCTGACGCTTGTTGCGACGACGCGTGTGATGAACTTTCAGTCTGACAAAAGGCGTCAAACCGGAGGTCACAATAACCAAGGAAAAGGGTGGCCGAGAGCAACGACGCGGTGGAGTACCCCCACGCAGGATGAGCAAGCGGCGGCAACAGATGTCGGGGTCCCAGCACCTGTGTGACATGCTGCGCTGCAGCCGCCCCGGCTGCGCTCGCGCCCCGCGCGGCTCGTCCGCGCCAGTGCTGCGTCGCCGGTGTCGTTTGCGGGCCGGAGCGCTTCGTCAATGCGGCGACGCAGGCCTGGGAACGTGTGCCGGCTCGCTGCACACACCGATGCCGTGCGCAGCTGGACATTCGAAGGAAGCTCGCCCCGGTCAGCAACTCGAAAAAATACTTTCGAATGGCGGCGGGCGTTTCGTCCCAGTTCGCCGCGGCATGCGGCGCCCCTCGCCCACGACGCCCTCTGGCCAACGTCGTCGCGTCCCGCGGGAGCACGCCAGCGCCGTTCACTCCGCGGCCGCGTCACATCCGCGCCATTTATCCCGCGCTACCGCCCCCCCGCAACCGCTCTAAGTGTCGCGCACGAGGTCTCTCAACGCCAGATATCGAATGAATTTTCCATGAATGTCCGGCGCGACCTCCCGAACCTCCTCGAGCGACGGCTGCTCGCCCGTCTCGCGCGCGCGGCGCGTCATCCACGCGAAAACGTCCCGCCGCAGCGCGCCCATCTCCTGCACCGCCGCCTCCCGGACCAGCCCTTGGTTGGCCAGCTCGTCATCGACGCGGGTCCGGGTGCGCTCGAACTCCTCCGAGCACGCGAGCGCGCGCGCGACGGCGGCCTGCTCGGCCTCGCGGACCGCGCGCCACGCCGCCCAGCGCGCGCGCTGCCCCTCGCTGCGTTTCGGGGACGCGGGCTGCGCGACGCCGCGCTTGGCCAGTGACATCTTCATTCGCGTGATCAGGCGGTGCTTGCGGCCCTTGAGGCCCTCGCTGATCGCCTTCTTGTGCTCGTCGGAGTACTTCTGCGCGGAGCGCGGGCGCGGGGGCGCCAGCGTGGGCGCGCCTGGACGGTGCACGCGCGTGATGGTAGGTCGCGGGAGCCGCGACGGGAGAGCGACGAGGTGGCGAGTGCGGACCTGTCCGGTCTTGGCGCGCGAGATTGCGTCCCGGTGCGCCTGCGTGAACTTGCGTCCCTTTTTCCACCCGCGCTTTTTGCCACCTTGTTCCTCCATGTCACTAGACTGACCCACCTCGGCCTTGGTCTCCGTCTCGACACCGCTCCGCGCCATCGCGATGTGTCCTGATTCGTGTCTATATCGCGTCGCGTCCGTCGGGAGCCGCTGTAAGTGGCCCCACAGCGCGCAGTGCGCGCCAAAGTGGGGCGCTAAGGTGAAGGTACGGGCATGGAGAGGCCGCCGGGCGGCGAGCCCGCTGTGCGGGAGCGCCGCCGGGCGGTGGAGGCTCATGAACGCGCGCGGGACGCGCGGCGGTGCGTGGAAACACGGCGCGGCGTGCGCTGCAGCCCGGGCTATGGCGTGCCTTGAACGCGCTGCGGCCGACCGGTGCGCGCTCGACACGACCTCAGAGCATAGAATCTCGTTCGCTCTGCACACTCTGCAGCGCTGACGAGCCATGCGAGCCGAAATCGTCCTGACAGCCCCTGCGTACAACGCTGGTGACTCTAGGCACAGTCGGGCAGTCCGACGCAGGCCCGCCGGCGGCACGACGGCGCGCGTCCGCGCCGCCCGCGCCACTTCCAGACCGCGAGCTCCCATCGGAAGGTGCCCATACGTTCCTGATGAGTCCTGCGACGCAAGCGGGCACCTGTATTGCCTCCGCTGCGCACCCCCGCTCCCGCCCCGCGCCCCACGCCCGGCCCTTCGCCCGCGCCGCGCCGGCACGCCAGATGTCGTGCTGCAAGGCCGCTACCAGCCCGCTCGCGGACATCGCGGCGGGCGACTCGAAGACGTACGAGGCCACCCAGAAATACTATGGCAAGGTTCTCGAAACGTCCAAGGACCTGAAGACCTCGGCCTGCACTGCCGCGGGGAAGCCGCACCGCAGGATCATCGAGTCGCTCAAGAAGGTCCCGGACGAGATCAAGGCCAAGTTCTACGGCTGTGGGGCCCCGCTCCCTCTCGGCATCCAGGTCCGCCACGCACGCCGCATTGCGACTCCCCCCGCGCGAATCCAGAGGTCGTACCGCGTCGCGCGACCGACACGGACCCCGAGCATCCGAATTTCGCGGCAAGGGCGCGATCGGGTCCGCGTCTGCGCCGCACGCGGGTCGCTCCCGCCCGGGGGGGCCGCAGCCCGCTCCTGCAGCCGCGCGCGCGCGCCCAGGGTCGCTCCAGGCCGCGCGCCGCTGCTCCCGCGCCCCACGCACGTAGCACCGCGTTCGCGCGCGCACGGCAGTATCTGCGCTGAGTTACCAGCACCTTACCTGAGCAACGGCAGCAGCGAGCACGGTCCGCGGTACCCCGGCGCCTTCCCGCGGGCCGAAACCGCGCGCGAGCTAGCTCGTCTGTCCGTGCAGGGGCTCCGCGTCCTCGACCTCGGGTCCGGCTCCGGCCGCGACTGCTACGTAATGGCGGACCTCGTCGGCGCTCAGGGCAAGGTGACCGGTGTCGACATGACCGAGGAGCAGCTCGCCGTGGCCCGCAAGTACATCGACTCCTACTGCAAGGAGGTAGGTGCTCCGCGACGCCCGAACGCAATGCGCCGCGCACGACGCCGCTCGCGTGCGCCCGCCCGCCCGCGTCACGCTCGCCGCCTCACACGGTCCGTCCGCGCCCCCCGCGCAGACGCTCGGCTACGCCGAGCCGAACCTGGACTTCGTGCACGGCCACATCGAGTACCTCGACAAGGCGGGCATCCAGGATGCGTCGCAGGACATCGTGATTTCGAACTGCGTGGTCAACCTGTCGCCAGACAAGCCGCGCGTGCTGTCCGAGGTGTACCGCGTCCTCGCGCCGGGCGGCGAGTTCTACTTCAGCGACGTGTACTGCTCGCGCCGCCTCCCCGAGCACGTCCGCAAGCACGAGGTGCTGTGGGGGGAGTGTATTGCCGGCGCGCTTTATACCGAGGACTTCCGCCGCATCGCGCAGTCCGTGGGCTTCGCGGACCCGCGCGTGCTCTCCGCTGCGCCGATCGAGGTGCGCCGCCCTGCCCTGGCCGCGCGCACACTCCCTTGCACGCCTGCGCTCTGTGTGCGGTTCTCTCTCGCTGCGTGGCCGCGCGCCGTCGGCGTTGCCTCCCCGCATGACGCGCTGCGCGTTGCGCGCTGCGTGGCCGCAGGTGACGGACCCGGAGCTGAAGGCGGTGGTCGGGGAGGCGGAGTTCTATTCCATCACGTACCGCCTGTTCAAGGCGCCGGGCCTGCTCGAGGACAAGTGCGAGGACTACGGGCAGTACGCGGTGTACAGGGGGAGTGTCGAGGGGAGTGAGTCGGCGTACGTGCTGGACGACCACCACAAGTTCGAGAAGGGCAAGCCCATGCTCGTGTGCGGCAACACCGCCGCGATGGTCGGCGAGAACGGCGTGTCGTGGCTCGCCAAGCACTTTGACGTCGTCGGCGACCGGACGACGCACTACGGCCTCTTCGACTGCGGCCCGAGCCCCGTCGCCGCCGCGCCCGCCTGCGAACCGGGCCCAGGCGGCGCCTGCTGCTGAACGCCGGCGCGTGTGAGCCGCCAGTGCGGGAACGAAGTAGCGGGCGGATCGCGCGCGAAACGCTGCGCGAGAGCGTGCCGCGCGGACCTGCGCGCAGAGACGCAGTGCCCGGGCGCGCAGCCAGCGACGCCCCACACTTGGCGAGCGACGCATGGGCGTTCGCCGCTTCGCAACTGCTCTGTTACAGCGCCCCCGCGCGCGTGCGACTAGTCGTTCGTCCCCCAGTCGTACTCCTTGTACTCCACCGTGACCCCCCCCCGCTGCAGCATCCCCAGCAGCGCCGCCTTGCGGTCGGGCGGCAGGAAGCCCGCGATGTACCGCAGGCGGTCCGTCTGGTTCGGCGCGAAGTCCTTGGCGTACCACTTGAAAATCTTGCTCAGCCGGACCACGCCCCGGTCAGGGTACAGCTCCACCTCGCCCTCGCAGAAGGCCTCCCCCGCGGCCTGCAGCCCCGCGTCGAGGTTCTCCTCGCTGAACACCTTGATCGGCGGGCACGACTTGGCGCCGCACACCAGCGCAAAGTGAATCCGCGGGTCGAGCGGGGACACCACCACCGCCTGACGCGGGTCGCCAGGGCGGAACCGCCCGCGCGCCAGCGCCGGGACGCCGAGCAGGACGCCGAGCGAGGCCGCGCCGGGCGCGTTGTCGCGCAGCACGCCGTCCTCGACGTCCTGGCAGGAATACTCCCCCCCCCGACGTTGTAGACGATGCCGCTGAAGAAGCGCGTCCGCCCGATCGTGCCCTCGGGCGCCCCGAACGCGACGGTCCCGTGGATGATCATCGCGTTGTAGAGGTTCGTGAAGAGCGCGATGCGCGCCTCGCGGCTCAGCGCGGCTGGGTCGACTGCCTGGAGCTCCGCGGTCGCGTCTACGTAGGTGGCGAACGCGGCGCTCTTCGCGATGCCGGCGTAGTCGACGCGCTTGCCGTCCTTGGAGAGGAACTCGTCGTACAGCGACGTGATGCGCTTGCGCAGCTCGGCGCCGACCTCGGCCGCGGACCGGGACGTAGCGCCCCACTCGATGTGGGTGTTGAGTGGCTTGCCGAGCGCGGGCGGGGGCGCGTCCGCCTTGAGACGCCACAGCGTGTCCGCGTCGATCTTGCCGGCGGACGGGTCTGCGCGCGCGATCAGCCGCGCCCGCGCCATCGCCTGCGCGACGAGAGACGGGGAGGGGTGTGTGTGTGTGTGCTGGGGGGGGTTCTGCGCCTGACCGCGTAACGGCGGGCGGCGCGTGTGACTGTTCCGCGCCTTGCGAGCGCACTAGGGTGCGGGAGCACGGAGCAGTGGCCTGCGCATACATTTACGTGTGTACGGTGGTGGTGTGCGGACCTGGAGGGCCTCCGCGGGGGACCCGAACATGCCGAGGACGTCGGGCTCGGTGTTGGCCGCGAGCCACTGCCGCGCCTGCTCCGTCGTGAACGCCCCCCTGACCTTGGTCCCGCAAAACCCCCCCACCTTTTTGTCCGACCGCTGCACGCCCCCGCGGCCCGCGGGCCGGCCCATGCCCTCCGCCGCGACGCTCAGCGCTTGGATCTGCTGCGCGTCGAGGCCCTCGATCGGCGGCAGCGGGATCGGCCCCGCCGCCTTCCCGCCTGCTTTGCCGCCCTTGACGCCTTTCAGCAATTGGGCAATCGAGTCAGGGAGGGGGGGGGTGTCTCCGGCGGCGTCGATCTGGGCCTTGAGCTCGCCGGACTCGAGCGCGGCGACGGTGTCGTCCGCGCCGCCGATGAGCTTCCCGGCGACGAACACCTGCGGATGGTTGGTCGGCGTGGACGGAAGAAGGGATTCAGAGTCTCGGAAATCGCGCGTGAGCCTCGACTGCGGCGCAGCGCGCCCGACGGCCCCGCGCGGCGCTGCCAAGCGTGCTGCTGCGGGGAGCAGCGGTGGGCGCCGCGCGCGGCCGGAAGGGTGCAGCTACGCCCCTCGGGAGCTGCGACGCGCCCGTGAGCGCGCGAATCACCGCCAAACGCACGGACAGGACGGGGAACGGCGTGGGGGATTATTTCCCGCGCGTGGAACGGTCGGCACCTGCGGCACGGTGGTTTTTCCGGACTCCTTCTTGACTGCGTTCAGGGTGTCGAGCTCCTCCCCGAGGTTGTAGTCGGTGAACCTGATCCCCGCGTCGTTCAGCGCCTCCTTGCACCGCTTGCAGTGCGGGCAGCCGGTCTTCGAGATGACCGCGACCGGCGCCGTGGCCGTCGCGGCCGCTGCACGCACAGGTGGTTGCCACGGGCGCGCTGCGTGGGGCGCGTGCGGCGCGTTGCAACCACGGCCCGTGCCGCGAAGCCGCGGAGGACGCGCCCCTCGCGACGCACGCGCGCGGCGGACGCGGGCGGGGCCGCAGCCGTGCGAGGAGGAACCTCAACTAAGATCCACAGAACAGACACTAATCATATATATACCGTGCGAGGTTTTCGGGCATCCGCGGCGGCGCTGGGCCGCGCGTGACAGGCGCGAGCGGGCGGCGCGCACCGGCGGCGGACTCCTGCGAGGCGGACATCGCGGCGACGACTGCAGCGCCCGCGGACCACAGAACGGAGCGGTGCGTCCGCGGCCCGCGCGGCGCCGCGGCCCCGGAGACGCGGGAACCCCAGTGGGGCGCTCTGAGCGGCCGGAACGTGGCGCGCGGGGTGGCGGGGCGGGTGGCGTGGACCGACTGGAGCACCGCGGAGCGCAGGGACGCGCTCATACGGAGCATGCGAGCGGCTGGGGGAGTTACGTCGCTTATGGGAGTATAAAGGCGGATGGGAAGTGCGCGGATGACGGGCGGCGCGGCGGCCAGGAGCCGGCACGGAGCGTGGAGCGTGCGGGAAGACTGGAGAGCTGATGGGAGGTGGGCGCGTGCGTGGGCGGAGGCGGCTTAGCCGGGCTACGTCGGGCCGCGGGGGCGCGTGGGCGTGGCACGGAGGTGGCTCGTCCAGTCTAGCACCGGGATGCGCCGCGGGAGGAGCTGTCGGTAGCGCGAGGGCGAGCTGTCGGTAGCGTGAGGGATCAGTGCGGGCCTGCGCCGCGGGGTGTGGGCGTTTGTCGTCGTGAGGCGGCGCAGCCATGTCGAGACGAGGTACGCGAGGCTCCATGACGGTCTCCGGGACGACGTCGGGCCTCACGAGCCAGTTCGAGGAGGACGAGCTGATGCAGCTGAGGTGGGCCCCGCACGCCCCCACGTAGACGCCTTCTGGCAGTATCCTTCACGCAGGCGTCGCTGTCTAGTTGCTTTCATCCTGTTTGATGCATTCAAGGCGATGGATGACGCGTCAGTCGGGCGGGAGGGCGTGGTTGTTGAGCTGGGCCATGGCACGGGCGCCCTGCGCGACGCTGCTGCGCTGCGTTCGGCCCCGCGGCGCAGGTCCGTGCTCGCGGACCGCGAGACGGAGCTCGCGGAGCTCAGAGAGCAGCACATCGCGCTCATTCGGAAGCTCTCGGAGGCCAGGCGGGCCTGGCAGGACCAGGCGCAGCTCAAGGACGACGCGATTCGGAAGCTCACGGATCGCGCAAACGAGGCGGAACGCTCCACAATGCACGCACTATCGGTGGACCTACCCGCTGCGGAGCAAGCTGCGCGCCGGGAGGCCGCGGACCGGGCGCGCGCGGACGCAGAGGCACTACGCAAGACCAAGGCGCAGGTGCGGAGGCGGCGCACGGCGCACGAGCGGCTTCTGGGCCGCTCTGGCGGCCTGGGGACCTCTGGCTGCGCGCTGGTGCCGCGTTTCTGAGACGTTCGTGCTGCCTCGGGCGCAGGTTGGAGAGCTGCGGCGGAGGGTGCACAAGCTGTCGGACGGGGCGGAGGAGTACCGGCGGCGGTGCCGGGAGGCCGAGCAGCGCGTTGTGCGTGCCGAGGAGCGCTCCAGGCAGGAAGCTGCGCAGATCAACACGCTGACGTGGCAGCTGCAGAGGTACGCGCAGGCACCGGCCGCAGCGCGCCCTTGCGCGTCACGAACCGCCGCAGTAAACGCATGGCTCACGCAGCGATGATGGTCCGTGTGTCCCCGCAGCGCGAACCAGGAGCTCGCGCGCCGGGAGACGACCGCGGCGCCGCAGTACGCGCCACCGCCGCAGCCGTCCTACGCGCCGCGGAGCGACCCGCGCCTCGAAGCGGAGCTCTCCGCGCTGCGCAGGGAGCTCGAGGGCGCCCGCGAGGAGGTGCGCGAGGTCTCGCGCGTCAACCGAACGTTGCGCGATGAGGCTGCCAGCTTGCAGCACACGCTGCGGGCGGCGCACGACGCGCGGACGAGGGCGGAGGAGGACGCCGCGAGGGCCGCGGCGCGAGGAGAGGCGCTCGCGGACCAGCTGGCGCGGCTCCAGGCCTCGGCGGAGGCGCTGCGCGGGGAGGCGAAGAGCGCCGCTGCGCAGGCGTCGCAGGCGAGTGTGGAGGCCGCGGGCAGCGCGCAGGAGCTGACGGAGCTGCGCGTGGCGGTGCAGAGGGAGCGGAGCGCGCGGCGGGCCGCGGAGTCGAAGCTGTATGCCGCGCAGGCGCGGGCGGAGGTGGAGCCAGCAGTGCGAGGGGGGGGGGAGTCCTGGGGGGGTGTTGCGGGGCGGTGCGCGGGCTGCACGTGCGCGCACGGGAGCAAGGTGAGCTCGCGCGACGCACGCAACGCTTCCGTCGCAGGGCCTGGGACACAACAGCGCGCTGCGCGCTCGTCCTCCTTCACGTGTTCTTTTTCAACCGAGAATCCTCGACTGCCAACGCGCCCGACCGCTCGTCTCCGGTCCGCCCCCCGCCCGCGCCCCGCCCGCGCCCCCACAGCGCGCCCCCGCCCCGCACACCTCCGCAGAGCACCGCGGTCGACCGCGCGAGGGCCGCGGGCGAATCCGCGGCCGCGAAAGACGACCTCATTGCGCGCCTGAAAGGGGCGCTCAAACACGCGACGGAGCAGCTGGAGAAGTGCCACGGGCACTTTGACGCGGAGCTGAAGCAGCGCGGCGCTCAGCTGCGGGACGCAGAGACGCGGTTCGCGCAACTGCAGGCTATGTTTGCCACTATGGTGTGAACGCGCTGTTGACTCAGGGGGCAGCAGCGCGTGCGTGCGGGGGCGTGCGCGGGGGCGTGGACGCGGGATGCGGAGTGGACTGTGGTGCGTGGGGGCGTGGGGTGGTGGGGCTGGGCGGTTGGGCGCGCGTGTGTGTGGCGGGAGTGCTACTGGGGTATCTTGCAGTTGGAAGATACTGTTTTGTGGTTGAGGAACTCGGCGTTGGGTGGGATCGCAAGGGCCGGCCGGGGTCGGCGGCGAGGAGCTCGGCGGGGTCGCGCACGGGGCTGCGGGCGTGGCGCGCGCGCTCCGCGACAGCCGCAGCCCGCGTGGGGGTGGCGTGTACGGGGGGGCTGTGGTACCACGTCAGATGGCTGACGGCGGTGCGGGGCGGGGCGGGCGCGTCGGGCCGATTGCGGCCCCGGACGACGTCGCAGAGACAAAAGGCATCACGTTTGGCCGACGTTCGTTGGTGTCAAGATTGCGCGCTTCCGTCACGGGCCGTGGAGCCGGTACCCTTGACCTCGCAAGGGCTGACGCCCGGTTGTGGATCCCGGCGGGCACAGAGGACGCCGATCGCGCGCGCTTCTGAGAGAATGGCTTGTTAGGTATCGTCTACGCTGGTTTTTCGGTTGATTTTTGCGCGGTGAGGCGCTCTCTGGGTCAGGCCCTCGGTGCGGAGCCGATGCCGCGCCCAGCCTGCACGTGCGCCTCCGCCGCGACCGGACTGGAGCCGGCGCGGCCGAGAACCCCGTCCAAGACGTGGCGAAGGGTCGGGAGCGGCCAACTCACCATGGCAGGTGCGCCACAGCCCGGAGTCGTGCTGCGGCATCTCATGCGGCGAAACGCGCGGCCCGGCGTTGCCGCGCGCCGACGTCGCAGCGAAACGGATAATCCCGCATCCTCACACCAGAGACATTGCCCACGTCGTGACGATTCCGCCCAAATCCGCGCCCATGAGATGAATCACGCCCCGCAGGACATGGTCTGGACTCGTGTCGTCTCTGCCACGGAGGGCTGCGCGTCTCGCGCAGCTTCACGACGCTCGCGGCGCCCGACGACAGCCGGAAGTCCAGCCCCGCGACCACGCAGCGCCTCGAGCGCGAAACCAGCGACGCCACCGTCTCGCTCCGAACGCCCGACGCTGCGGAACGCGAGCAGGCGCCGCGCCCGGGCGCGCGCGACGACGACGGCGCCGACAACGACTCCCGGGGCCTCACCGCGGCGTACCTCGCGCTCTGCGGCGTGGCCGTCCTCTGGGGGAGTTATTCGCCCGCCGTCAAGCTGTTGTACGCGCTGCCGTCGCCGCCGCCCGTCGCGGTCATCACGGCGTCCAAGGGCGCCATCTCCGCCGCCGCGCTCGTCGCCGTCGCCGCCCTGACCGGCGCGGGCACCGCCGCGCCGCCCCCGCGCGGGAACACCCCCCCCCGCCGCAACGCGTTTGCGCCCCTCGCTCCGCTGATGGACAGGACGTTCAGCAGCATCGTCCCCGCGGGGCTGGAGATGGGCGTGTGGATGTTCCTCGGGTCCGTCCTGCAGGCGCTCGGTCTGTCGGCGACGTCGGCGCTGAGGGGGGGGTTTCTGGTACAATCCATCTCGGTGATCGTCCCCGCCCTGACGTGGCTCGCGGGGGTCCCCGTGGCCGCGGCGACGCTCGCAAACTGCGCGATCGCGGCCGGGGGGACCGCCGCGATCACCGCGGACGCCGCGGCGGCGCAGGTGGCGGCCGCGGGCGCGCCGGCGCTGGCGCTGTCGCGAGGCGACGGGCTCGTGCTCGCGGCGTGCCTGTTCTACGCGATCGGAACGATCCGCCTGGAGCGGTACGCGGCGAAGTTCCCCGCGACGAAGATCGCGGCCGGCCGCCAGGTCGGGCTCGCGCTGTACTCGTTCACGTGGCTGGCTATCCAGGTGTGTTTTGCAATACCCCCCCCCTCTTGCAATGCCCCCTCCACTGCCGGCAACGGCGCTCCGCGCCCGCTGCGCGATCGGCTTCCGACCGCCTTCGCGTCACGCCGCCGCCGGCGCCGCGACGCTGAATTAGGTCCGACTGGCTGCCGCTGACTCCGCACTCCCCCCCGTCGCTGCTCGCAGGTCCTGAACGGGTCCACCGACGCCGCGTGGGCCGGGTGGGCTTCGCCCGCCCCGTGGCTCCTCATGCTCTACATCGGGCTGGCGCCCGGCGCGGGAGCCGGGCTTTTACAGGCCATTGGGCAGCAGCGGGTGCCGGCGTCGCAAGCGCAGGTGATATACTCCTCCGTCCCGCTCTGGTCCGCGCTCGCGAGCATGGCGCTCCTGCCGGACGAGCGCATGGGCGCGCTGGGGTGGGCGGGGGGGGTATTGATTGTCATCGCTGGGTTGTTGGCAGCGCTGACGCGGGACAGACGCGGCGCGAAGCGCGAGGCGTAGCGGGCCGCGATGGCCCGCGTGCGGCTGCTGTGCGTATAGCACGCTGGCGCCCGGAGCTGCCCTGTTGCTTGTGGAGAGGGGGGTGCGGTGATCGAGCCCGGTCGCACACAACTCAGTGTGCGAGTGGTGGGCCCGTGCCGCGCGCGCCGACGGGCTCGCTGCATCAATGATGATGAGCTGCGCTCGACCTGACGGGTCGATGACGGCTGAGACAACACGAGTGTGAAAAACCACCATTATTATTATTCTTCGAACATCAGAGGTTGTCCTAGGGGCGTGCGTGCGGGTACGCGGCGCGGCGAGATCGGCTCACACGCAGCGCACCGCTTCGCGCACGATCCGCTCGATGTCCGACGTGCGCTGCGGCTCCAGCTTCGCACCCCCGGCGGCTGCACTCCCACCCGCGCCAGTGCTGCCTCGTCCCCTGCCGCCCGACCGCTTCTTGAACCATCCGAGCAGCTTCGACTTCTTCGGGGACGGCGAAGCGCCCGCCGCGGCGCGCTGCGAGGGCGTGTCGGGCGAGGCTGACCCGGAGGAGCCCTCCCGCGCGGCCCCCGGTTCGCCGGCAGGGGAGTCGAGAACTGGCCCCGGGGGGGGTCCCGACGGCCCCTCCGAGGACGCCGCGCCGCCGGCGACGAACGGGTGGCTCGCCATCTCGTCCATCGCGATCCTGTGGTCCGCGTCGACGAAGATCCTCCGCAGAAGGTCCCTGCGTGCACCCGCGCCGCCTTTGTACGTGCAGTGAGGGACGGCGCGCACGACCGGGGAGGTGAGCTGTCCCCGGCGGAGCTTCTTCTGCAGCGAGTGCGTGCGTCTGGTGAGGCTCGCGTCGTCCCCCAGTGACCTCGTGCAGCGCCTTGTGAACACTCGACTTCCAGGACCTAGGACCGGGGCTCTCGTGTTCTCAAGGGAGCTGAGGGAGGTCACTGGAGTGTCGACGCGAGGCCCACCAGACGCACACACCCGCTGCAGCCGCGGCTCCGCCGGGGCTCTAGGACACGGGACACTATGGAATCAGAACTGTTCTGTTCTGTCAGCACCTGCCACTGTGCGCGAGGCCCGCACCACCGTTGGGGTTCGGTCGCCCCCGGCCAAGCGCGAGCCGCAAATGTACGCGCGGAAGACGAATCCCTGACCTATGCGGGCCGATGGCATTCGAGATCATTAGGTTCCAAGACTACTTGGGATCTAGTATTCTCGAATGCGATCGCGAACGGGATAGGTCGAGGACCTTCGCCTGCCCGCGCATACACGTGCAGCTCGCGCTCGCCCGGGGCCCTAGATCCCTCAGCATCGACGTGAACGCAAGCAGCACCGGCGAGCGGCCCATGCAACAACTACGCAGGTGACGACCACAGGGCGCACTTGCAGTCGGGAGAGACGCCCGGGAGCGCGTCCACGGGCGTGCTGAACTTGGATCCGAGGATGTTGAGCACCATGCGCATGTTGTCCTCGGGGTGTCTCGCGTCCTGGAAGGGGTACTGTCCCGCAACCATGGTATAAAGGCAGCAGCCGAGACTCCACACGTCCGCGAGCGGGCCGTCGTACGGGCGCCGCTGGAGGACCTCCGGGGCGATGTACGCGGGCGTGCCGACGCACGTGGCTGGCTGCGAATCGTCCACGTAACTCTTGCTGTAGCCAAAGTCGCAGATCTTGACCGCGGGCGGCGCGCTCGCGCTGAGCGGGCCGGAGAGCAGGACGTTCTCGAGCTGCAGAGCGGGGGAACGGGCCGGGACGGCGGATGTCCGGGCGTGCCGGGCTCAGAGAGCGCCGGAAAGCACGGATTGAAGCGGAAAAGTAGCGGCCGGCGCGTGGCTGCGAGGCCGCTTGTGCCGGGGCGGCGAGGGGGGCGTACCTTGAGGTCGCGGTGGCAGATCCCGAGGCTGTGGGAGTACCGCACGCCCGCGACGAGTTGCGCGAAGAGCGCGCGTGCCGTTCGTTCGTCCAGGCGGCCGCGCTTGGCGAGCTGCGCGAAGATTTCGCCGCCCGCCGCGTACTCCATGGCGATGCAGAGGTGCTGCGGCGTGAGGAAGACCTCGCGGAACTCGACGATGTTGCGGTGCTTCAGGAGCCGACGGTGGTTCAGGACCTCTCTGGCCGTATTCTTGTCGATCTGCGATATCAGAGAACGTCCCGAGGTCACCGACGCGCTCCCCAGTGCCCGATCTACCGAGAAAGTGGTCGGTGACGAAGCACCCGGGCGTTCTGGCATCGCGCGAGCTCGAAGCATTTACGGCGAGTTGTTCTCACCCTGTCGCCGCGAGGGATCATCTTGACGGCGACGACGGTCCCCGTCGCCGTGTCCAGCGCCTTCTGCGTGACGCCGAACTGCCCCGCCCCGATGGTCTCCATCTGCGTGTCACGCAAACGCAAAAGTTGCAAAAAAAGAAGCGTCTCGGCGCTTTACGCAACGCCTCGAACGCGGCACGCCCCCTGCACCGGCGCAGCAACCTCGCAGTTCATCATGCCAAGCAGCGCACCAACTGGTACTTGTTCTTGTCCCCGACGCAGCGCGCCATGGCCGCTGAAACACCACAGAGCGTTTCCTCGAACCACACTCGCGCGCGCCACGGCCCCCGACACACGCGTCGGCGCCCCGAGAACCACGAGCCTGAACCACCGGTCCCCGAACGGCGTGGTTCGCGGAGCGCCGCGCCCCAACGAGCGCGCACCACGCCACGGAGCATGTGTGCAGTCTCGTAGACGTGACGTGGCGGTCGAGTCAGCGTCCACGGCAGCCCCCCCCGCGCCGCGCCCCGCCTCGCGCATGTGCCTACTCGTCCCTGCCCGGCCAGACGTCTGCGGCACGAACCACACCAGACGCGCGCAGTGGCCACGCAACGTAACGACGACGCGCAAGGCGCCTCGCACATTGCAGCGGACGTTCCACGCGAACGCATCGTTGCCGCGGCCGCGCGTCTTCTTTTGAAGAAGACGAGCGCGCAACAAGGAGCGCCTGCGGCCTCAGCGGGACGCTCGCCGGAAGGCACAGCTCACACGCGCCGCGCCGGCCGCCGCGCGCGCGCCGCGTCACCGGCGGTGCCGCGGCAGCCGCTGCACGTGCTGCGCCGCGCGCTCGAACGCGCGGTGCACCGCCAGCGCCGCCCGCGACAGCCCCATCGTGATCGACGCCACCGGGGGACTGTCCTTCGGCCCGCCCGACAGCAGATCCTCGTCGTCGTCGTCATCGACGTCGTCGTCGTCATCGTCCTCGTCGTCCTCGTCGTCCGCGCGGCCCTGCGGCGCGCCCCGGCGCGCCGCATCGCCGCCCTGCCCCGTCCCGCGCGCCTCATTGCGCCGCCGCGTCCGCAGCGCGAGGCGCTCCTCCTCGCGCTTCCGAATCGCCGCGAGCTCCTTCTCCTTCTTCTTGTACGCCTTGAGCGCCTTGTCCGCCACGCTCCCCGGCCGCGGGTCGTACGGCACGTTGTACATGTTCCAAATCGCTTGGTGGTTCTCCGCTGCCCGGACCATCTGCTTCCGGAGGCCCTTGTCCTGCGGAACCGAGTACGCCTGCCCCGCGGGGCCCGGCATGAGGTACCCCGTGCCGTGCGGGTACGCCAGGGGGTCTTGCATGAGGTCCACGGGGGTGCCTTTGCCGTCGGTGATGTACCGCACCGAGACCTCGCCGTCGGGCTTGAAGCGGAACATCCGCGACCGCGTCACCACCTCGTCGACCTCCTCGACCGTCCCGAGGATCTCGCCCATGCTGCACAGCCGCCCGGTCTCGTCCGGGCCGGCCACGAGCTGGTCGTTGCGCCACGTGCCGTACACGCTGCTGGCCTCGATCTCGTCCTTGGACTCCTTCCACGCCTTCCGCGGGTCCTTGCCCTTGGCGACCTTGGCGAAGAAGGGCTTCAGGTCGGACAGGACGCCGCAGCCGTTTTTTCTACCCCCCATCCACTCCCCGCGGTAAATCGTGCCGTCGTCCGACGAGAACTGGCCGAAGCCCGTCGCGTAGCCCGCGAGGAACTCCCCCTCGTACTTGTCGCCCGCCAGCAGGCCCTTGTCCTCAAACTGCCCCCGGAGACCCCCCCCACCCTTGCCGCCCTTGCCCACCGTCAGCACCCCGCGGCCGTGCGGGATGTTCTCGCGCATCAGGCCCTCGTACCTGCGCGCGGGACGGCACGGCGCGGTGAGCGGCCGGCGGCCGAGGCGCTGGCGCGCAGCGACGCGCGCGACGGGCCCAGGGGGGAAATGCGCCGCGGCGGAGCGCGCTCGGCCACGGCCGCGGTGCGCGGCGAGGAGGGTGTTCGTGGACGAGGCGCGGGGCCCGATGGCGGGGGCTGGCGGCGCGGGAGGCGCGCGGGAGCGGGGGTGCAAGGAGTGGAAGCGACTCGAGGGCCGTGCGAGGAGGAGCTGCGGCGCTGGGAGCGGCGCGTGGCCCCCGCGTGACATGTACGGTGTACGAAGGGTGGGGTGGGGGGCTTGGAATGGGCGCAGGCGCGCTGTATGAGCGCTGGGCGCTCGATTAGGAAATGCAGGGAGCACTCGAGGCCCGATTCGGGACCGTAGGTCCGCGGGGGCGATCGTCCGGCATTCTCGGGGCGTTCCGAAAATATGTCGCGCGCGAAATCTCTGGGATTTTTCGTGGAATCGGCCAAAGGCAGCGCGCACGCGGGCCCAGCCGGCGCCCCAAGCGCCAGCGCCTCCACGCGCCCCGACAGGGGTCCGCGCGGCGCGCGACGCAGCGCCGCAGACGACTTACGTTGTTCCATCGTCGTACACGTAGCTCTGCCACCGCAGCGGCTGCCCGGGGAACGGCGCATACGGATGGTGCGAGCCGGCCAAGTAGTCCTGTGGATTCAGCGGCTTCAGCGCATAGGCTCCGTAGCCCTGCCCGACCTTCTTCGGGAGCAGCTGCTCCTGCGGCGGCCCCGACATCGCTCCCCCGGCCCCTCACGGCGCGCTGCGAAGCAGCCTGCCTGGTGCAGCTGCGCGCGCAGCTCTCTCGGCTACCTGGCCCGACCGCGCAGCCTGTGTGACGCGAAACGCGGCCGCAGCGACGGTCTGGCTCGCCCCCCCCGCGCCCGGCGCGCATGCGCGCGCGCATCGCGGCCTGGTCGGACGCGGTGCGCTGTCAAACCACCCGGTCGGACGCAGGAGCTCCGAGGCCGCCGCGGGGGCCGTGCAGGGGCGCGCGCATCGGTTCCGCCGCCGCGGCGGCCTCGGTAAATTCACCGCTGCCTGTCCGCCCGCCCGCCTCCACGTCTGACTCCCCAGCGGGCCCCCGCCTCGCCTCATCTAGACGACGAAGGGGAGCGCCTCCGGCTCGCCTCCGTCACGCGCTGACCGGGCACCCCGCGCTCTCCGGCGCGCGCACCGCGATCGAGGCACCTCGGCGCGCCCAGCCCGCGCAGCTTCGCGGCCTCAGGCGCACCCAGTGTCCCGGCTTCAACTCTCCGGTGCGCAGCAGCCACAGCGCAGCTTGCGACTGCGGGGCCGGTGGGTCGGCATGATAGGTCGCGCGCCGCCCTTGGTGGCGCCCCATGCCGGCGGTGGCGTCAGCGGAGCGCGTCGCGGCGGCCCGGGGCCGCGGGCGGGGTCGTTGCGAGCCCGCAGGATGGGGCGGTGCCGCAGCGCGGAGCCCGCGCAGGCGGACGGCGCGGTCGCGCAGCTGATCACGGAGGAGGACATGCTGAACTACTTCAAGTCCGGCGAGAAACCGCACTCGAAGTGGAGGTGCGGAGCTCCACGCGCCTGGTCGTGCGTTGCAACCACACGGGCGCAGGCGCCGCGCACGCGCGCGGCGCAGCCGGCCCCGCGCGCTCGGGGTGCTCTGACGGTCGTAGAGAGCGAAGCTAGGCAGAAACCGGGCCGTGGTCTGCCTCTGCCGCGCGCTGCCGGCGCCAAACGGCCTGCGGCCTCCCCCGGAGGCGCGCTGCCGGCGTCGTGCGCGGTCCAGGGAGCGCGCGCGCCCCCCGAGCACGCAGCGTGATCCCGCTGCATGCGGGTTCCCCACCGCATTGCCCGCGAACCGCCCTGCGCGCCCCACAAACGCCCTCACCTCATCGCCCCCACCCCTGCGCTAAGGCCCTCCAACGCCGCTCGCGTCCTCCCCATCCCCCTTCGCCGCCCCCTGCGCGCCCCGCGCGGTAGCGCACGAACTAAGCTCGCCGCAACGACCCTCGAACCCCTCCGCGGTCCCCCACAGGATCGGTACGGAGCACGAGAAACTTGGCTTCAATCTCGGGACGCACGAACGGCTCACCTACGAGCAGATCCGCACGATCCTCAACAAGCTCCACGACCGGTACGCGCTCCCCCGCCGCCCGCGCCGCTCTCCCTGCCGCTGCGTGTCGCGTGCGCGCCGGACCCGCTGTGTTCGCAGCCTGAGCTCTCTCTCTCGGGTGCGCGCGCGCGCAGGTTCGGGTGGACGCCCGTGATGGACAACGGGAACATCATCGGGCTGCAGATGGACGGGCAGTCGGTGTCGCTGGAGCCCGGCGGCCAGTTCGAGCTCTCCGGCGCGCCCCTGCGCAACCTGCACATGACGTGCGGGGAACTGCACAACCACCTGTACCAGGTCAAGGCGATCGCGGAGGAAATGGGCGTCGGGTTCCTCGGCATCGGCTTCGACCCGAAGTGGGACATTCCGGACGTCCCGATCATGCCCAAGGGCAGGTATAACATCATGATGAACTACATGCCCAAGGTGGGGAGTCTCGGGCTGGACATGATGTTCCGGAGCTGCACGGTGCAGACAAACCTGGACTTCGACTGCGAGCGCGACATGGTCGAGAAGATGCGTCTCGGCGTCGCCCTGCAGCCGCTGGCGACCGCCATGTTCGCCAACTCGCCGTTCCGCGACGGGAAGCCGTCGGGGTACCTCTCGTGGCGGATGCAGGTGCGCCGCGCACGCCGCTGCCGCCCTTGCGCCCGGCCGACGTCGTCGGGCGGGCCGTGCGCCTGGGGGGTGTTGAATGAGCGCCGCGGCACACGTGTGCGCGCGCCGACCGCGATCGCTCGCGCGGTACGCTCGCACGGGTGCCTGGTCGTGGTCACCACACCCCGAGACGCACGGCCCGACCAACCAAGACACCCCTCGCGGGGGGGGCACACACCCGACCTACCAACCGCGCGTTCCGCGTGCGTTTCCGCCCGTGTCCCGCCCACCGCGCAGCGACCCTTCCGCGCCTTCAGCCGGCCTCGCCCACGCCACTTACTCCCGGCACCCGGGCCCAGACTTACGCCGGCGAGCTGCCACGCGCGCGCCGCGCCCAACAAACAAACGCCGCGACGTCCGCGCTGCGTGGCCGGTGCAGGTGTGGCAGGACACGGACGACGACCGGTGCGGGAACCTTCCGTTCGTGTTCGACCCGGACTTCGGGTACAAGAAATACCTCGACTACTGCATTGATGTTCCAATGTACTTTGTCAACCGGGATCGCAAGTACATCGACCTGACGGGGCACCGGCAGACGTTCCGGGACTTCCTCGAGGGCAAGCTCATCGACCTCCCCGGCGAGCGCCCGTCCATGGCCGACTTCGAGCTCCACCTCACCACCATCTTCCCCGAGGCAAGAACACCCCCCCCCTTCGTGTCAATACACCCCCCCGGCCCCCCGGTCGCTCGATAAGTACCCAATCGTCCATACCGCGCACCGTTACTGAGTCGCGCGCTCGTCGTCACGCGGCGACCGCGGCCGTCGGTCGTTGGTTGCGGCGACGCGTGGCGCTGCCGCCTCCCCCGCTCTCCCGCGCCGGCGCCGCCTCACGCCCCGCCCTCCCGGTCGCGCCGCCGCAGGTGCGTCTCAAGAAGTACATCGAGATGCGGGGCGCCGACGGCGGCCCCTGGAAGATGATTTGCGCGCTCCCGGCATTCTGGGTCGGGCTGCTGTACGACTCGGACGCCAAGCGCGAGGCCGTGGCGCTGATCGAGTCGTGGACGCAAGAGGACCGCGACTACCTGTTCCGGCAGGTCCCGAAGACGGCCCTCGCGACGCCGTTCAAGGGGCGGCAGGTGCGCGACTGGTGCCTGGAGTTCCTCGAGATCGCCAAGGGCGGGCTCGAGCGGCGCGCGCAGGGCGAGGAGACGTTCCTGCGCGGCGTGTTCGAGATTGTCGAGAAGGGCGAGACGCCTGCGGAGGCGCTGCTGCGCAAGTACGAAAACGAGTGGGGCGGCAACCTGGACCGCATCTACGACGAGCTGGAGTACTAGGGGGAGGTGGTTCGGTGCGGTGGTTGTTGCGCGCGGCGGGTCCGGCCTGGAGGGGTCGTTTGGCGGTGTGGGGAAGGGGAGGGGGTTTTGGGGTTGATGCGGTTGGTGGATCCCTGGGGTGTGACGCGGTCGGCGACGGGGCGCTGGAGCGGGCAGGAGCGACCGCTGCGGGAGGTCGGTGCGTGGGCGGCGGGGCTGGTCGCGCGTAGGCGTGGCGGCGCTGCTAGGTGCTGGCGGCGGCCGACAGCAACGGTGCAGAGCCGCGGAGCTGCGTCGCGCGGCTTGCGGTCCCGGCACGTCACGCGACGGAGCTCGCTCGAGGCTCGAAGACGCACGCGTGCAGTCAGGCCACGTCGTGTTTTTTCAGTTGGGATTCACAGACTCTTTTTCACGCAGCGTCCTTGATGCCGACGATCGCGCGGTGCTTCGGGCTGCACGCGCGCTGCATCGTGCGCGCGAAGCCGGCGTCGCGCAAGCTCGCGTGCACGTCGAGCGTGGCGTAATCCCCGAGCCAGGGCTCGGTCGACCGGAACGCCGTGTACGCAAACACATTGTCGAGAATGCGACGGAACTCGGGGGCCTCCGGATCCATGTCCATGATCGCGAAGACGCCGCCGGGCCGCAGGAGGCGCAGCGCCTCGCGGCAGATGGCCTGCGTCGCCGCCTGGGGGAGTTCGTGCGCAGTCAGACACATCGACACCATGTCGAAAGACCCCCCCGGGAGGCCCGTGGCCTCGGCGGGCGCGTGCACGAAGCGGATCGCGTCCGGGCCCCCGCGCGCCGGCTCCTCTCTGCACGCATCCAAGCGCGTTCCCGCACTGGTTGGCATCCGTCGTCTGCCGCTGTTGCTTTTGGGCCTGCCAGCGACCTCGCGGGCGTGCTGCCGCGAGCCCGCAACGCACACGTGGCTGCCAAGCGCCTGGGCGAGGTGCTCGGCCGTGCAGGACCGGGGGAAACCCAGCCTCCCAGGGCCCGGCGCTCGCACCTCAGGAGGTACGCCCCGACAGCGAGGAAGTGCGCCGAGAGATCCACGCCCGTGACGCGACACCCTGGGAACGCGCGCCGCAGCTCGAGGCTCGACAGCCCCGTGGCGCAGCCGAGGTCCACGACGTCCTGCGGCTCCCGCGCACCGAGCTCCTGCGCCATGGCACGGGCAAGAGGCATGAAGCGGCACGGGGGCGATTAGCGCGCGTCGCGTGTGCGCTGGCGTTGGAGCGGTGTCGCGGCTTGCCTTAAGGATCGCCGTCGTCGCGTCGCTGAACCCTCCGCGCAGCCTCGCGTCGCCCTCCGGGTCAAGCTCGGGCTCCCCCGCGCCGGTGCTGAACACCGTCGCGTGCACCGACCGCGCCGCCGTCTCGACCTCGAGCGCCGCGTCCCACGAAAGGTTCCCCGACGGGTACGCTGCAGCGCAGCATGCCGTCAGTCGGGGGTACGCGCGCGGAATTGTTTGCAATTGTGGGGCGGCGGAGCGGGCGGGGGGGGCGCGCACCGTGGAAGGGCTTCGTGTAGTAGTCCGGCATCGCGAGGGCCGGGTCGCGCACCGCCGCCATCTCCGCCTCCCAGTCGACGGCGCTCAAACGCCGCATTTGTCCATGCCAGTCCACTCCGATTGCCTCCGCACGATCCACGATCGTCTGTAGATGAATTCGAGCCGCGCCAGGCCGTATCAGAACATGTGACGTGAGGAAAGAGGCGTTGCGGTGTATTTCACGGCCGGTGCGTGCGTCAGAGCCGCGGCGAACCTGCCGGGCTTTCTTGCGAGCGGCCTCCCACAGAGGTGGGAACTTGAAGAGCATGCTGACCGCCCGCGCCGTGAAGGTGTCCTCCATGTTGCGCGCGTCGGCCGTCGCCTGCACCGCGCGGCGCGGGCCCCGACGCGCAATTGAGCGCACAAGAATAGGGTGGGAATCGCACTGTGCCGCACCGGAACCAGCTTCGACGCCCACAAACGCGGCGCCTCTGTACGGCGTATATGTGTGGTACCGCGTGGAGCGCTTGGAGAGGAGCAGGCAGCGCGGGACGCGAGCGCGGGGCGTTGATTTCTTTCGGATCGGTGCTGCTGGCCCGCGCACGAGCCTTGCGAGCCGCGAACGCGGCGCCGCCGCACCGCGATGTGCAGACGTTACCTGACAGATGGTCCTGGGCCGGCGGTGCGACGTGGCCGCCTCCTGGCCGCGCACCAGGGTCCGGGGCGTCATTGCGCTCCGCCCAGCGACCACCATGCTGTTACGCCCTCCACACCGCAAACCAACACCTGATTCTCAGTTCTACGTCTCGGTCAGTGCTACGAGGAACCGGCGAACCCAATACAGAGCGGCCGCGATCACTCGAGGGCCCGCCACACGGCTATTTGTCTGACATTCTTTGTCCGACTCGAAACGGTCACAATTTTTCGGAATCCACGAACCTACGCGGCGCATTCGCCGGTCCATAGCAGCCGCTAGCGCTGCAGCGTGTCATACCGTCCCATAGTCATACCAACCCCGTCGCGTCAGCCCCCGTCCATGTGGAGCAGTGTCGTACCGATCCTGCCGTGGCTCCCCAAGGCCGTCCGCGCGCGCTGTGCCCGCGCATATCGTCGCATCTCCGTAGAATAAAGCGTTGAATATCTCGCGGACAGCGCCCGCGGACGCAGGAGACGGAGGCGGTGCTGAGCGGGCTGCATGGGGGCGACAGGGTGGCTGGTGGCGCAGGCGCGGCGCCACGCCGTGCCGCGGCACGTCGCGCATAGCTCGAGGTCGGACTCGCGCGCGCCGGTCGGGCTCAGCGTGCCCTTCCGGGCGGCGCGGCACGCCGGGACGCCCGCGACAGTGCCCGTGGCCACCCACGCGCTCACTGGGGCGCGGCCTGTGGAGCAGAACAGGGACTTGGGGGTTCTCTTGAACCCGGTAGCTCTGAAAGAGCTCAGCAGCGCCAAGGAGGTGAAGAACGAGTTCATACTGACGCTGGCGTGCGCAGGTTGGACCACCAACCATTCCCGCAGCACGCGCCGTCCGCACCCGCGTCGTCACTGCTGCTTCGAGGTCGTGTTTTGGTGTCATGGTCGACGAGGAACTGATTGTCCTGTCACATTGCTCAAAGACCTGGAATCCTCGCGCGGCGACGCGCTCGCGCGTCTGGCTTCCCACGCCCAGGCCTCGCGCGCACGCGTCCAGCGCAGCCGCGTGCGGCGCCTCACGGCCCGTCCAGCGCACCTTCCCAGTCTCAGCGGCCGAGATTCTCCGCAAGACAACTCGGCAGCGACGCCCCGCGCGCCCCCCGCGCGCGACGTGTCCGCGTCACACAGCTGCACGTTCCCGCCAGCGCCTCCGCCCCCGGCCCTCCCCCGCCGCCCACAGCCTCCCCACACCGCAACGCCATCGTTCTCGACACCCGGCGGGGCCTGCCGGCGCCGCTAGCCCGCGCGTTCGCTCGCGCGCGGCCCCGTGGTTGCTAGGACATCGATGATTGCATGTCGTGCCCGCCTTGATGTGCCCGCAGACGCGACGGGCATCGTGTACAACGTCACGGGCCTGCTCTTCGCGGACGGCTGCAACATCATCGAGTCCTCGCAGTTCGGCGACCGCGACGGCTTCTTCCTCCGTGTGCACTTCGCGGCGCCGCGCAACATGACGCAGGAGATGTTCGTGAGTCCCCGCCCGCGCTGCCGCGCGCTGAGCAGCGGCTCGGCGGCCTGGGAACCTGCCGCGTCGATGGGGCGTCTGGGCCGCGCGAGGGTTTGTTCTTGTTCGAGCGTCGTGTGTTGTTTTCGCACCCCTCGGACGTCCGAGAGGGCGTGCGCCTGTGGGGGCTTGCATCACACTGCCGCAGCCGTGCGTGGGCCCCGTGTACTGTTGCGGCGCGCTCGCTCGGCTGAGGGAGTGATATGAAGAGCCCCCACAGGCGCAGGCCCACGCGCCCGCTCTTTGCCGTGCTTCGGAGCCTAATTCCCGGCCTCCGCGAGCCCCGCGATCTGCGATATCCGCAACCAGTGTTTCCGTGGCCGAGATGGCGCGACCGCGTCCACGTGACCGCGTGGGTGCACCAGCCTCCTGCTGTGCGCTGGCCCCGGGCGGCGGCGACGGTCCTGGACGACCCCCGCGATGTCGGACGTCAGTGTCGGACCCCCCCGTGCGCCACGGCGGACGTCGCCTCGGCGCCCATGAGGGTGCGTCAGGTCGTCCGCGTCGCGGGGGTAGTCTCCAACCGTCGCCGTCGTCGGAACACCGGGCCTGTCGGGTCACAGCTGGGCCTGCGTCCGTGGGGGGTGTCGATCGCCCGCCGGAAGTGCGTGCGCGTCGACCGTAACTGCTGCGGTGCGGCGCGCAAGCACGGCCGGACGGGCACTCGACACCCCCCACGGACGCAGGCTCCGTCCTCGACACACGGCAACTGGTCTCCGTGCCCCCTGGTCTATTTTCCGATCGCCGAGCCCCGCTGTTCCCCGAGGTGCACGACCAGCGGTCCTTTCGTCCGCTTTGTTCGACACACCATCGCGTGCACGCGGCTGCGTTCCGCATGCGCCAGCCCGCTACCCAGCAGCACTGGCCCCGGGGCGACGGCGACGATGCGGACGCACGACGGCCACGACGTGCAGGACCTTCCGTCGTGAGGCCCACGCGCGCGCCACGGCGGACGTCGCCCCGGCCCCCTCGAGGGCCTTGGCGAGGGTCCCGGACGTCGCGGCGAGTCGTCCGTCCGGATCGTCGTCGTGGGAACCGAACCGCAGCCTTCTCTCAGGCAGCACCGGTCCCTCCTCGGCTATCGCTGCGGCGGTGCACTGCGAGATCCCCCTTTTGTTTGCTAGTACTATTGCTATCACTATTATTATTCTTCAGCAGGCAAAGAGCTCGCAGCCGCAGCAGCCCCCAGGCACCGCATGCGAGCCCAGCAACAGCCCGCTCCCACCGCACAGCTGACCCATTCGTCCATTCCACGCAGTGCGCGCGACTCGGCCGTCGGCGACGCACACACCCGCGTGCAAGTCGCGAAGACCCGTCCCTCTCCGCCCCGCCCGCCCCCGCAGGAGCGCGACTTCGAGCCCCTCGCGCGCCGCTTCGGCATGCAGTGGCAGCTCCGCGACCGCCAGTTCCGCCCCCGCGTCGTGCTCATGGTGTCCAAGGCCGGGCACTGCCTGAACGACCTGCTCTACCGGTGGCGCTCCGGGCAGCTGAGCGTCGACGTCGTGCACGTCATCTCGAACCACGCGACGCTCGCGCCCGCCGCGGCCGCGGCGGGCGTGCCCTTCACGCACCTCCCCGTCACCGCGGACACGAAGCGCGCGCAGGAGGCCGCGCTGCTCGAGCTGATCGAGTCGCTCGACGCGGACCTCGTCGTGCTCGCGCGGTACATGCAGATCCTGTCGACCGAGCTCTGCGCGGCGCTCGCCGGCCGCTGCATCAACATCCACCACTCGTTTCTCCCGAGCTTCAAGGGCGGGCGGCCGTACCACCAGGCGCACGAGCGCGGCGTGAAGCTGATCGGCGCGACCGCGCACTACGTCACCGCGGACCTCGACGAGGGGCCGATTATAGAACAGGACGTGTGCCGCGTCAACCACGGCATGTCGGCAGAGGAGCTGGCGGACCGCGGGCAGGACATCGAGTCGATCGTGCTCGCGCGCGCGGTGCGCTGGCACACCGAGAACCGCGTGCTGCTGCGCGGCCACCGCACGATCGTGTTCGAGTGACGGAGGATGAGGCAGGGAGGGGGAACAACGAAAAACGTGCGTGCGTGGTCCGTGCCAGGCTTACACGCACCGGAAGCGCTCGCACTGTGACGGAGACGCGACGCGCGGCTGCGTGGGGGCGTGTCGGGACGAACAGCGTGGCGTGAAATCCCTAGCGCGGCCGTGTCGTGTCGTGTCGAGTCGACCCTGCCGGCGAGCCTGCGGGTTCGCGTGCTGCGGCCTCGCGTGCTCGCCGTGCTAGTCTACCTCACAAGATCTCATCGCCGCGCCTGGCGCGTCACGCGCACCACCCGCCCCCCACGGCACCGCCCTGTGCTGCGCCCTCCTGCGCACGGTCCTTCCGCTCCGCCAGGGCCGCCCGCGCGACCGCGATCATCTCGCGGAGCGTCGCCGGCGACTCCCCGCCCTGCGCCGCAGCGCTGCCCCCGATCCCCGCCAGCATCCGCTGAGACATCCCCCGTATCTCCCCCGCCAACTCCCCCCCCCCCATCGCGTCGAAGCGCGCCCGCCACGCCGCCCTGCGGTCCCTGCGCGCGTCCGCGGCCCGCGCGGCCTCCTCGCGCCGCCGCCGCTTCGCCGCCCACGTCCCGGGGGTGTCGCTCGCCGTCCAGTCAGCGTCCCACGTGTCCCACCAGTGGTCAGCGGGCGGGGTGTCGCTGCTGGCGTCGTCCGCGGCCGGGGCGCGCCCGAGGACGCCGTCGACGGCGTCGCGGAGGGCCTGGAACGCCTGGTCTGCGCGTGCAAGCCTGCGCCGGTTGGAACGGGGCGCGGCCATTGGCGAGCAATTAGAGATCAAGGAATGGTGGTTGTCGAGGCATTCTTGACGTCATGGTAGGCCGCGGGACGTCGGCGGCACGGCAGCGCCGGTCCCCGGTCCACGTGGGGTGTCCCGCTTGCCTGCATTTGTCCGGATGCACCAGCAGTCCTAGTTTCTTATATGATTTTCGCACTTCCGAAACGAGAGCCTCGCTCGGGCGGTCCTCCCCGCGGCGGCCCTCGCCGAGGACGAGCACGCCGTGCCAGTCGCGCTCCGCGCCCAGCGCGCAGATGCGAGCCACGTGGTGGGCCTGCTCCACCGCCCTGACCTCCATGCGCGCCGCCACAGAGGCGTCCACGTCTGCGGCGGGACGCTTGCGCTGGGTCGCTGTCGCGGTCTCGGAGGCGGCGCCGCCGCCCTCGTGGTGCCGTGTCGCGGGTCCAGGCGCCTCGTCGTGGTCGTCGCCGTCGCTGCGTGCGTCGGAGTCTTGCGGAGAAAGGAGCTCCGGAAACGCGGGTTTCGCGGCATCGCTGGCGCGTGCGAGCCGCTGGATTGTCTGTCGCGAGAGAGACACGCACTCCCGAAGCTTGTTCTCTCGCAGCAGCTGCGCGAGTGCGTCTGAATCGGCCATTTCAGGCACCGTGCACTCGACCAGCAAACTCGCGATTTCCGCGTCCTGAGATGTTCGCAGCACCAGAACCACACAGCAGTCTCTCAACGAGGATTAAGTCAATCTAGTGGACCTAGTGCTTCGTGGAAAACAAGCCGCCCCGCCCCCGCAGGCGGTCGTTAGAAGCACGGGAGTCGCAGCGGGCGGACACCGCCCAGCCCCATCGCTCCCCGAGGTCGTCCGGCTCGGTCGTGCATGGCCCTGTTGCGCCTGCATCGATCACGCCTCGCCCATGGCGCCAGGAGCTCTGTTCTGGTCAGACGGGCGGCGTGTTGGACCAACCGCCTGACGCAGGGGTGTCGCGCCGTCCTGCAAGACCGCGTCGACTCCGCGCCGTCACCCACTCCACGCTGACCCCCACCGTCGCCCGTCCCGGCCCGTACACCCTTTGCACGCCCCCGACATGCGACGGAGAGACTGAGCTCCCCGATCAACCAGCTGGCCGCCTGCGGCGTGATCGAGCGATGTTCGCGGCTCCTCTGGACAGCGGTGACGCCATCTTCGCCGAAAAGAAGGCGCACCTCGTCCGTCTCGGGCTAGACCACGCCCCCTTGTCACCCAGGTCCGCTCTCTCTCTCTCTCCCGCCCAACCGCGGCCGCCGCATCCACCGCCCGCGACGAACTCGCACCTTCCTCGCACCTCCCGCGACGTCCGAAAGCACACGCGCACGCCATTCGCCCCGAACGCACGCGCAGGGACTGCTTGCGGCGGGCTCGCGTGGTGTGCCTCCACAGCTCCGATCTCTACCGCCTCCCGCTCGACGCGGACTTCGCCGCCCCCGTCAGCACAAGGCACGCCGCCCGCCCCCGCGCCGCGCCGCGCGTTCGTCGCGTGCGTCGAGCCCGCACTCGAGGATTCCCAACTGAAAGTTCCTGCGTCGTTGCAGGAACGAGGCGGCGGCGCTGAGCCTCCTGGTGCAGCGCGCAGCGGCCGCGCAGGACCGCGCCGCGCTCGAGGCGCTCGCGCCCTACACCGACGCCTTCGCCGGCATCTCCGCGGGCCCGAACAACGCACATGAGTCAGGCGCGTCATACCCCCCGGACTCCCCCAACGCAGCGCTGATGGCGTGGGCGCGCGGCAGCGGCGTCGAGGCCGCGGTCGAGCCCGGCGCGTTCTCCGTCGGCGGGTGCGGCGCGATGGCCTCCCGCGACCTCGCGGCGGGGGATGTCGCGGTCTCACTCCCCCCTGACCTCATCGTCGGGCCGCGGCTCGTCGAGCGGTCGCCCGTCGGACAGCTCCTCGCGGCGATCCAGGCCAAGTGCGGCTTCGACGACGAGACCCGCGTTCTCCTGTTCATACTCCTCGACAGCCACAACGACGACATGTATGGGGACTCTGGCAATACATCCCCCCTCCGCGCGTTCTGGACGTCCCTCCCGCGCGACATGCGCACCGCCGCGGCCTTCTCCGCCCCCGCCCTCGCCGCCCTCCGCGACACCCCCGCCCTCGCCGACGCCCAGCGCGTCCGAGAGCGCTTACGTGTGCAGTATGACGCGCTATTCCCGTGGTTGACGGAGACGATCCCGCAGGCGTTCCCGCCCGAGATCGCGTCCTGGGACCGCTGGCTCTGGGCCGCGCAGCTCTGGATGTCGTACGCGTTCGAGATCGAGCACCCGGACGGCGTGCGCGAGCCCGCGCTGTTGCCAGTGGTGCAGCTGTTCAATCACTCGCCCTGGCCGCACGCGACGCGGTACGGCAAGGCGGACCCCGCCACCGGCCGCGTGATCGTGCCGCTGTTCCGCCCCGCGCGGAAGGGCGAGCAGGTGTTCCTCAGCTACGGCCCGCGCCCCGCGCGCAGCACGCTGGTCGGGTATGGCTTCGTTGCGCGAGGCTTCAACCCGCACGACTGCTTCGCGGTGGCCCTGACGCCCCCGGACGACGCAGAGGACCGCGACGCGGCGCGCCGGCGCGCCCTGCTCGAGACGTTGGGGCTGGGGTTGGATCACGTGTTGCCGGCTGAGGGCTGCGCGCTGCCGTGGCGGCTGCTGGCGTGCGCGCGCGTGCTGGTCGCGCGGCGGCCGGAGCTGGCCGCGATCGAGGACGCGCGCTGCGATCCGCGCCGCGAGAGCGCGGGGCACGTGGCGGAGGGGCTGGCGGGCCAGGCGGTGCGCAGCGTGCTGACGCAGCTGGCGCTGCCGTTCCAGGGCGCGGAGTTCCCGAGCGAGGAGGAGGAGCGCGCGATGCCGTGGGACGAGGTCGCGTGCAAGCGGTACTGCGCCGCGCAGCGGGAGCTGCTCGATCGCGCGCTGTTCGAGCTCAAGGCGCATGAGCGGGGACAGAACGAGGTGGGCGCGATGGCGGGCCCGTAGACGGCGTCGTAGAGGCGCAGTGTGACGGGATGCGGCGGCGGCGGGGGGCGTCTCGGTGACGTGCGCGAGGGCGAGGTGACCCGCTGTGCGTCCGGTCGCCTGCCATGTGGGAGGTCCGACGTGCCTCTCGCGCGTCCGGACACGCAGTCGCCGTCGCTGCACTCGCTGAGTAGCGATTCTCTACACCGTGGTCGATGAATCCCCCCTTGCGTGTAGGCGCGTGTGCTCTCTGCTGCTGCTTCGCGTTCGTCACACGCCGTCTTCGTTGTTGGCCTGCACGAGCTCCTCGAGCTCGCCCTCGTGCAGCGCGATGAGCGACGAGATCTCCACCACGCGCCTCCGGTTGCGTTTGTACGCCCACTCCCCATACCACGCGCTCAGCTCCTGCGCCCGCCGCGCCTCCTCGCTCACGAGCTTGTCGTCCAGCGCGTCGATCCTGCTCGTGATCCCGTCGTGGCACGCCTGCACCGTCGACATCAGCTGGTCCTTGTCCTGCAACAAACTACGCGCCTCGCTGGACATGGCCTCCAGGTCCAGCTCCGGGGGGTCGCTCGCGAGCTTGTCCAGCACCGCCATCGCCTCGCGCGTCATGCTCTCCTGCAGCGCGCCGCCCAGCTCGCGCGTCTGCTGGAAGAACGCACTGATCATGCTGCGCGAGCGCTCCGCGAGCGTGTGGTAGTTCCGGAGCAGCTCGTCGACCAGCGCCTGGATGTTCTCGACGAGCTCCATCTCCACGTCCATCAGCTGCTCGCGCATCCCCGCCAGCTGCACGCGCAGGTCCTTCACGCGCTCCGCGGCGCCCGCCGGCGTCTTGGACAGCGCGCGCAACACCCCCTTCTTGGCCTTGTCGAACTCGACCACCACGGACCGGCAGAAGTTCTCCCGGTCCTCCAGCAGCCCGTCCAGCACCGTGCGGAACTCCTTCTTCTCCTCCTCCTTCCTGGAATACTCCCCCAGCATCTCCCCCCGGAACTCCTCCAGCAGCACCTGGTACGCGTCGCGCATCGCCTGGATGCCGTCCGTGAGCCCCGCGATGTTCTGCAGCCGCCGGAACTCGGGCACCTCCTCGGTGATGTCGTCCACGAGCGTGTCGACGCCGAGCAGGTTGGCTTTGCGCATCTCGGCCTCGTGGACCGCGGCCTCCTCGCGCGCGTGCTCCTCGTGCCGCTCGGCCTCCTCGCGCTCCTCGATCTCGATCATCTCGTCCTGGAACTGCTCGCGCGCCGCCGCGACCTGCGCCGCAGGGGGGGGGGGTTGTTGGAGGGGGTGTCGGGGGGGTGTTGGGGCAGAGGAGGGGGGGCCGGGGCGGGAGAGGTGGGGTGCGGGTGTGCGCGGGAGGGGGCGTGCGCGGCGCGCGGAGGGGCGCGTGCGTGCGCGTTGTCGTCGTCGTCGTCGTCGTCGTGTGGGCGCGGGCGGCGTGCCTCGTGGGCGTCGATGCGTCGGAAGTCGAGGTACACGAGGTCCTTGATGTGCGACAGCACGTACGGGCGGTACTCCGGCGACGACGCGATCGGGTTGCCCAACAAGTTGACCATCCGCAGTCTGCGGAACTGGCGCAGGTACATGACGCCCTCGAGCGACGTCACGAGGTTGTTTCCGAGGGACAGCACGTGCAGCTGCGTGAGCGTCTCCATCCCCTCGATGGTCTCGATCCTGCAACGCGGCGCCGCGGCATCCGTGGGCGAGGTGCGGCGCGGGGCGTGCACTGAGCGCGCGGCCCGGCGCGCGGCGCGCGCGGGCGGACAGAGGGCGCCGTACCGGTTGTTGGAGAGGGAGAGGTCGGTGAGGTTGACGAGGTTTTCGAGGCCCTCGATGCACTTGATGTTGTTGAAACTGAGGTCGAGCCACGTGAGGTTGACGAGGTGCCCGAGGCCCTCGATCTTCTCGATGACGTTGTTGTCGAGCTGGAGCTTCGTGAGCGCCTCGAGGCCGCGCAGGTTCTCGACCTTGAGGACGTTTTGGAAGGACAGCATCAGGTTGGTCACGTCCGCGAACGCGATCGCCTGGCGCTTCTCGTCGCGCTTCTCATCGCTGCCCTCGACCTGCGCGGGCACGAGAGCGCGGCGGACGGTCGGAACGGCGTGCGGGGCCGTCGCGCGCGCGCAGAGAGCGCGCAGCGCAGGCGGAGCATGCGTGGCGAGGTTCCCGCGCGAGGTGCGGCGCGCCGCGCCGTCCAATGGGCCCGGGGGAACGTAGTCTACGCTGGTCATCGTACGGCTCTGGAAAGAGCCGGAGAGGGAGCGTGGGGGCGCCGCGGGGGGCGTGCCATCCCTCGTGCAGCGGGGCGACCGGGCCGGAGCCCCGCGCTCGCGGCGCTCGAACCCGCGACGTGGACGGTTCGTGTGGTTCTCTACGTGGCCTTCCAGGAGGGAGCGCCCTGAGGGCCTGGAGAGCGCTGTGCGGGGCCCAGGGTGCGTTCAAGGCCCCGGCAGCACCATCGGCAGCGGCCTTCTGCCTCCGCACGCGGCCGTGGCGGTCCCACTGGGCCTACGAGCGTGCGCTCTGGTGTACGCGATACGCGTGTCGTCCGGTGGGCTGATCCAGGCGCGGGTGCGACCTCGCGCGGCGCCCCCGGCCGGCTCGGACCAAAACAGGCGCCGCGGTTGGGGGCGCAGTGCGCACCTGGATGCACGAGCGGATGAGTTTGTCCGTGATCACCGCCGGGACGGTGTTGAACTCTGACGGCCGAACCATCCTGCCCCGCCGCCGCGCCCTCCACGGGCCCGCAAACCGCCCGCGAAGCCTCCCAGCGCTGCTCTCCGCCCGCCCGCTGCACCGTCCGCGCCGTTCGCCCGCGCCGTAGCCACTCCACGGACCGCTGCTGGCCAGGACTAGCCGCTCGTGCGCCCGCCGCGCCGCAGGGCCGCGCAACGACCGCGCACGGGGCGCCCGAACACCCTCCCCCCGACGTCCCCTCCGTCCGCCGGCCCCGACTCCAGGAGGCTCTTTCGCGGCCTGAAACGCGCCGCCGCGCACACTCCAAGTACACATCTGTCCCGACGCGGGCTCACAGCCAGACGTCACCGTCGAGGGACCCGGCACACCCACAAACACCACCGCGCGCTCTTCCGTCGACACCAGCGCGTGCCCGCGACCCGCAGCCTCCGCGGCAGGCGCACGCGGCGCGATGGTGTCCGTCGCGGCCCACGCCGGCGCGCGCGGCGATGCGGAGCCCCACGCGCCCCGCCAGGTCCCCCTCAAGCACTCAGACACCACCCTCATGGAACGCGTGCCCGCGGCGTCGCGCGTCGTGGTGACGTGGGAGAACGTCTGCGCGTACGTGCCCGTCCTCGACACGCCCGGCGCGAGGCAGGGCGACGGCCCCGCGGGCGCCCTCAAGCGCGCTGCCAGCAGCGTCTCGGCACTCGGGGTCGGAAGGCTCAGCGACCGCGAGAAGTCCACGGGGTCCCACGGCGCAGCGTCTGCGGGTACGTCTTCAACGTGTCCACGCGGACAGCGCGCCCATGCGGCCGCTGAGCGCCGCGGTGCGACGTCGCGGGGCTATGAGCTCATGCGGTGCTCATGCGCTGACCCCGGAGGCGCGGCGCGCGCTGTGCGGCCGCGTTATCACCTCGCTGGCGATTTCTTTCGCGCGAGAGCGTTCGTTGCGTGCCCTGAGGCGACCTTCGGCCGCGTTTCGCACCGTTGCTGACTCACACGGCCGGCACTGGCGCTGTGCGTTGCAGCTGGCGCGCGGACGCGGCAGATCCTGCACGGCGTTTCCGGGAGCGTGGAGCCGGGCCACGTGATGGCGCTGATGGGTCCGAGCGGGAGCGGGAAGACCTCGCTGCTCTCCCTGCTCGGCGGCCGCCGGTCCGGTGCCGTGGAGGTGTCGGGCCACATGCTGTTCAACGGCGACCCGCTGAGCCGCGCGGTGAAGCGAAAGATCGGCTTCGTGCTGCAGGACGACCTCCTGTTCGAAGCGCTGACCGTGTACGAGACCCTGTGGTACGCTGCGGCGCTGCGGCTCCCCCGGTCGATGACGGCGGAGGACCGCCGGGCACGTGTGGAGGTCGTGATCCAGGCGCTCGGGCTCGGGAAGTGCGCGCACACGATCATCGGAAGCGCCGCGCGGCGCGGGGTGTCGGGCGGCGAGCGCAAGCGCGTCTCCATCGGCCATGAGCTCCTGACGCAACCCTCCGTCATACTCATGGTAGGCCCCCCCCCCCCCTGCGCGTCCGTGCGCGCTACGCGGCGCGTGACGCGCGGCAGCCGTCGGGCCACGCGCAAGCAGCGCGGCGACGCTGCACGCGACGGAGCTGGCGTCGGAGAGAAACGCGTTACGCGTCGCGCTTGTGTCCGTGCGCAGGACGAGCCCACGAGCGGGCTGGACAGCACGACGGCGCTGCGGCTGGTCCAGACGATGCGCGTGCTCGCCGAGGGCGGCCGCGCGATCATCACCACCATCCACCAGCCGTCGTCGCGCATGTTCCGCATGCTCGACCAGCTCCTGCTGCTCTCCTCGGGCCGCACGCTCTACTACGGCGCCGCCTGCAACGCCGTGAAGCTCTTCGCGGGCGTCGGCCACCCGCTCCCGGACGGCACGAACCCCGCGGAGCACCTGCTGGACCTGGCGTCGGGCGGGGTCACGGAGGCCGGGCTGGCGCTGCCGGCGCCGGACGAGCTCGCGGCGGAGGACGCGGTGGTCGCGGCGAACGTGGAGGCGGCGGAGGAGGGGCTGCGGAGCGCGCGCGCGGCGATGACGGAGCGCGTGAGCGAGGCGGAGGCCGCGGGGTGGGCGGGCACGGACGCGCGCGGCGCGACGTGGGTGCGGCAGGTGGCCATCCTCGTGTCGCGGAGCCTGCGGACGCGGCGCTTCGACAGCCTCGGGCTGGACCGCGCGGTCACGATCTTCTCCGTCGGGCTCCTGGTGGGGCTGTTTTGGTTCCAGAGAGGGGGGGACTCGGACCGGCTGACTCTGGAGGGCATGGAGGACCTCGCGGGGCTGATCTTCTTCGAGGTGCTCTTCATGGCCTTCAACACGACGCTGACGTCGGTCTTCACCTTCCCGTCGGAGTTCCAGATGATTTTAAAGGAGCGTGCCCTGAATTTCGGAGCCCGTGGTGCCACCGTAGTAACTTCGACGCAGCTAAGTTACTACGCGGCTAGTTACTACGCCTGCACGGCGGCCGCCGCGCGCCCGCGCTAACAGCGCGCTTCCCCACCGCAGGCCCGCGGAGTGATACAATCAAACACTGACGTGCTCCCAGGAGACATCTTTTCACGACTGTTGGGCCGCGCACTAAGTCACACACTGAGTGGTGAGCCGCACGCCTTGCGGCGCGATCCTCACGCACTGTACGTCCCGCGACTCCGCGGAACACGGACCTAGGCATGTGTTTCGAGCGAATTTCGGCAAAGAAAATGCTCGACTCGGGCGCGCGAGCTCCAGAATTCGAACCAACACCTGGGGCTGGCAACATGGCAGCTGGCCAAGCCGCCACGCGTGGCGCTTCTGCCACAATTTGACCTCCATAGCCCTGCATCTCGTCTGAACCTTCTTTTTCCGCAAAGGGCAGCGCAGTTCGTCTCAAGAGACGGCGCCGACTGCATGCTGCAAGGTGTGGCCTCACCGTTTGGTTCATCACGCCCGCGCTGGTTCATACGGGGCAACGCGAGGGTCGATCTTGACTCGGGGATTGTCGAAGCTGTGACGTGCACGTGCTGCATGCAGCCGAAGACGCGCTCGCAGGCCGGCGCTTGCTGTTTCCGTTGTCCCCGGAGGCCTCCGGGGCCTCTGGCGCCTCCGAGAGCCACCACAAGAGCAGACGCCCGCGCGTCAGAGACTTCCTCATGACCGTATGATGCTGTTTCCGAGCTCTCAAAGGCCAGCGACGCGCTTGCGCGTCCCGGGTGCCCGAGAGGCCTCACCGCTGGCGCTCACACGCAGAGGGGCGCCCGGCACGGGGGGCGTCCACCTCTGCTCGTGTACAGCGCCACGCACACGGCCTTCCGTGGCCGTGAGAGGCACACTGCCAGCGTTCTGAATCGTTCCGTCGCAGTGGATTTCCTGGTGTTGTCACCGTGCAGGCCTGCCCTGCAAACTTGCACCAGGCGCCGGTGGGCCAGGTTGTCGCCTTGAAGGCCAGTACAACCCGCTTGCCTCATGCACTCGACCGGTATCTTCGAATCGGGAGCGTCACATCGTAACAGACCTCTGCATTACGGCGTGCGGCCCACGCCAACTCGAGGGCGTGGTACCACCGCAGTGCTAGCGTAGTACGCGCGTGATAACTACCCCCGATTGCACTACGCTGGTACCACGATCGTAGTAACTTTCGGCTCCGAAATTCAGGGCACGGGGGAGTGGGATGTATTGCCTGAGCTCGTACTACGTCGCGAGCATGGCGAGCACGCTCCCGCTCGACTGCTTCTACCCCGCGCTGTTCGTCGTGCTCGTCTACTGGATGGGCGGCCTGCGCGCGGACGCGGGCGCGTTCGTGGTCAACCTGCTGACGGTGGTGCTGATGGTGCTCATCGGGCAGAGCTACGGGCTGCTGATCGGGGCGTCGGTGATGAAGGCCAAGCGCGCGCAGACGATCGCGACCATCGTCATGCTCAGCAGCATCCTCGTGTCAGGTCGGTTGCTCAACGCTGGCAACGCGCCGCCGCTGCTGGGCGGGCGGGGCCGCGCACGCGCGCAGCGCACCGTCGCCCAGCTAGGCCGGCCGAGCGTCGTTGGTGCCGGGATGGTCCTCCCCGGTGACCGTTGGAACCGCCTCGGGCCCAACCGTCGTCGCGTGCGACGCACCACGTGGGGCGGCGCTCGGGCCCGAGCCGGCGGGTCTAACGGTCACCGGGGCTGTTCTGACACGACGCGGCCCCGCTTCGCAGCCGCTTGTACTTGCCCACGATGACGCATCGCGCTTACTTGTGTCTTCCTATCTGTTTGTGCAGGGTTCTACGTCACGTTCATGCCCGCGTGGATCGAGTGGGTGCAGTACCTGAGCTTCATGTACTGGGGCTTCCGCCTGCTCCTCAAGGTGCAGTACGCGGACATCGGGGACGCCGTGGACATCCCGCTGTCGTTCCCAGACGTGAGGGAGTCCCCCGTCGGCGAGGCGATGGTCCTCGTCGGGTGGCTCGTCGCGCTCAGGGTCATCATCTTCTACCTCCTCGTGTACAAGACGCGCAAGGTGTAGGGAGCGCACAGGCTGGCTGTTGTGCACTCACATTCTTTTTCTTCCATTCCTTTTTTTCGCCGTCGACGACTGTGGTTTTGCCCCCCGAGCGCACGCTGCGTCCAGCAGGATGCTGTCTACGCATCTCTGGTGCGAAACGGGCGCGCAGCTCGTCGGTGGTCCCGTGACGCCGCTGTAAGTGGTTTTTGCATGCAACACCTCGCGCGACACAGACCGCTCCCTCCCGACAAACGGCCTCCCCGGGGATCGCCGACAACAGCTAAGAGAACGTGCGTGCGCGCAGACACGCCTTCACACCAGCGACGTCCTCCTCCCCGGATCGCTGCCAGGCACCCCCATGACGCGCCCGCCCCCATCCAGCCCGCCGCTTCTCGAACTCGAGGCCCCCGCGCACTGCCCGTCCACGCTGGACTGTCGCCAGCCGCGCGAGCGCACCGTTCGATCCGCCGCCGCCAGTAACAGACAGACAGTCACTTGTTGCATCGTCTCCACACGCACACGCGTGCCGTTCCTCGCGCCCACCGCGGACACCGGTCGCGCACGCGCGCGCAACCCCCGCCCGTCATCTAGGCGCTCTGAGCCGTTTCGCCACGTCACCCCTCGAGCGCAGGCCGCGCGGGGCTGGTGGGGGGCACCAGCGCCGCGGCGGCCTTCTGGAACAGGTCCTGGAAGGTGCCGTCGCTGTACGTGCGGAGCTGGAGGTCCTTGAGGGCGTCCATCATCATGCGGACGTCCGCGCGCGCCTGCATCGCACCAGTGAGTGACCGCGACCACACGGGATCTGATCGCGCTGCGAGGGGGGAATCTCGCGAGCGTCGCGGGAGACGGTCTGCGCCGGAGTCACCTGCTCGGTCCAGCCGCGGACCTTGGCGGGGTTGCGCATCGTGAGGCGCGCCAGGCCGCGGCAGAACATGAGCAGTTCAAACGCGCACGCAGTGTTGCCGTCCATCACCGTCGTCCCGCTCCACACCGCGGCGACCATCGCTTTGATCCGGTCCAAAGTAAACCCCGCGTCGGAGCCCCACGGCGTCAGACCCGCCTGTGCGAGCACGGCGCGCATCGAGGACCCCCGCCGACGACTGGTTTCGTCAAAGCGCCGCGAGAGCGTCGTCCTCTGCGGGTTCCACCGCCCCGGCTCGTCGAGGTCGCACACAAGAACGCCAAGAGCCAGCGCAGCTGCCGCGGCGCGCGCCTTGGGGCCGTCGTCGGCCGCGGCGTCGTCTGCTGCGGCCGGGACGGGGCGGTTGCGCTGCGCGGGGTCGCCGGGCGTCGCGGTTCCCTGGCGCAGGTCCGGGAGCCCGTCCCAGCGAAAGAACTTGGTCTCCGCGCGGAGGTTGACGCGGCCGTCCCGCACCCAGAGCTTCAGGGCGTTGATGATGGACACGGTGTCGTGCTGGAGGCTCGCGCAGGACTGGGCGCTGGGGCTGGGTTTCCCCTGGGGCCCCGCAAACATCGACAGGAAATCCTCGAGGCCGGACATGTCGAGAAAGATGTCGACCCTGTCGCTCATCGTTCCTGCGGAGCGGTTCGGAGCGCGAATGGGCCGGAGCTGATCAACCGCAGGCGTAGCGCGTCCGTGTGGTGCCAGTGACTGATTCTTGATCGGAACGATGAAGCATGGGGCGCCGTCGCGCACGTAGGACGGAAAACAAGGGTCGATGTCGTCCAGCGCCGCGAGAAACGGGGGCAGATTGCCGCAGGTGTGGAGCCCGAGGTGGCTCGCGTGCGCCCGTGTCTGACAACGGGACAGCCCGCTCGCGCAAGACGGTCGTTCACTGGAAGTCCAGACCGGGAACGAGAGAGCGATTGTCGTCCGAGAAAGCCGGCGTCGCGTCAACGGAAACGAGTCCGCTTGGGCCAGCGCCTGCCGTCGCGAATCGTCTCATGTTCAGCCAGATATCCTTGCGGAGAGCAGTCCGTGCGGCGGCGAACGAACCGGAGGAAAGCGCCTCGACTGCGCCCCGCAGCAGCCCCGCTCACCTTGATTGTTCCTCGTTTCCTTCCGGGGCCTCCGAGAGACGGCGCGATGCCTTTCGAGGACGCTACGGCGGCGTGAAAGTATTCACTTTCATCGCCACTGCCGGAATCGAGCCCGGAACGTACCCACACGGCCCCAATCGCACCTCCCCCCCGGAGTGTTTCGTCCTTGCCACACACCCTCCCCGACACATCGCAAGTCACATACCAACACCACGACACCAACACCCGCGTGCCCTCTCGAACTCCTCCCCCCCCCCTCCCGCCTCGTCACCCGAGCGGCAGCGCCTCGCTCAGCGGCGCGACGTTCCGTGCGTCGGCCGCGTCGAGCAGATCGAACTTCCCCGCGCACGCCAGCGCGCTCCGCAGGTACCCCCACACCGCGCCGGCGTCGGGGTTCATCTGCAGCGCCCGCACGTAGTACCGCGCGGCCTCGTCATACTTCCCGAGGTTGCCGTGCGCGATGCCCATGTTGACCCACGCGCGCACGTAGTTCGGCTTGAGGTCCAGCGCGCGCTGGTACGCCTGCAGCGCCGCGGCGCTCTCCCCGCTGTTGGCCTGCGTCGCGCCGAGCTTGTTCCAGAGGCTGTAGTCGCCGGGGGAAATCTCGAGCGCCTCGCGGAACGCGACGACCGCGGCGTGGAAGTCCCGCGCGAGGTTCCACGCGACGCCGAGCGCGACGCGCACGTCCGCGTCGCCCGGCGCGGCCGCCGCGGCCGCCGCGAACACGTCCGCCGTCTCGGCCACGCCGTAGTCCGAGGCCGCCGCCGCGTCCAGCGCGGCGCGGCACGCGGGGCCGTGCACGGGGTGCGACCGGAGCCACGCGCGCAGGTGCCCGAGCGCGTCCTTCGGGTCCAGCTCGTTGGTATAACTGACGCCGAGGCTCAATAGTACCTCGGGGTCTGTCGGTGCGAGCTTGAGGGCCTCGAGCATGGCCGCGATCGCGCGCTGGTCGTCGTCGTTCTCCGCGCAGATGGCCCCGAGCAGCCGCCACGCCTCGACCAAGGGCGCGTCCTGGATGGCCGCTTCGACGGCGAGCGCCGCCTCCGTGAGAAGGCCCCGCTCGTACAGGGCGCGGCCGAGCGCGAGGGCGTCGTGCTTGTCCTTGAACGCGTTGTCCTCGCGGAACGGGTACGGCGCCGGGGGCGCCGTCCGCGTGTCGAGCTGACTCAGGAACTCCTGCAGCACAGGGGGGGGGTTTTGGTGACGTGCGTCATGACAAGCATCAGCGTCAGGACCAGCGCGGCCCGCCGCGCGCCAGGGCGAGCCGGAGCGTGTCTCGCCGTCGTCGTTGCGGTGGTCCGCTCGCTGCCGTGCGAGCCCGCGTGCGCGTGTGGTGGTGTCGTACCTGCGCCCACTGTTCGGTGAGCTGCTCGTCGCCGGTGCCCCCGTGCTCCGACCCGAACTCCTGCGCGGCCGACCGCTGGAACTCCCGCGCCCACTCGTCCACCTCGTCCCCGGCCACCGGCACGCGGACCCCCCCCGCGAACTCCTCCGCCCACCGCTCCATCGCAGACCCCTCCCCGAACCCCCCCGCCTCGTCCAGCCGCGCCGCCTCGCCGCTCCCTCGCTCCACGACCTCGTTCCCGCGCACCAGGAGCTCCCCGCGGCTCATCTTGCTCACGAACTGCAGAAAACGCGACCCCCCCCCGCCCGCCGTCGCGGCGCCCGAGGACGCGAGCTGCGCCTCGAGGGCGCGCGAGGCGTCGCGCAGCGCGCCGTCGTGGTCCGCCGCGACCTGCTCCTGCTCGCTCGCCGCGGCCTCCGGCGCCGGGGCGTCGGGAGCGCGCGTTGCAGGTGCGGCGGTGCTCTGGAGCTGCGCGTGCTGGTCGGCCATCCGCCGCTCGAAGTCGCGGGCCCACGCGCTGAGGCGGTTCATGTCCGGCGGCGGCGCGAGGCGCTCCGACGCGTAGCTCGTCAGCCCGGGCGGCAGCGGGCGGCGTTGCGGCCCGCGCTGCGCGTCGTGCCACGCAGCCTCCATCTGGGCGCGGTCGACGGCGCTTTCGTCGACGCCGACGGACCGGAGCAGACTGGAGACCATTCTGTCGGCGAACGCGGGGCCCTGGTCCGCGAAGATCTGCCGCGCGAGAATCGATGCACGGTCGCGTAGCACGCGCTGCTGCGCGGGGGGCAGCGCGCTCGCGACGGGCCGCTGCGCCGCGCTGTCGATCGCCGCCGCCGCCGAGGGCTCCGTGCAGCTCCGCATGAACGCGTGCAGGTTGCCCTGCAGCGCCGGCTCCGGCGCGCGGGGCGGTGGCGCGGGCCCGTGCTGCCGCGCGAACGCGTCCACGTCCGCGTCCGTGATGGGCTGGAACGCCGTGCCGTCTGCATTACACGGGGAGCGCGGGGGAGCCGTCGGGGCGCGGATCGGGGCGCGGACGGCGCGCATGCGGGACGGCGCGAGTTGCGCGTGGCGCTCCGCGGGCGCGTGTGCAGCCGCGCGCGGTGCGCCGCACCGGAGTCCGTCGAGTTCGGCTGGCTCGCAGCCTCCACGGCGCGGCGCAGCGCCGCGAGGTCCCCGAGCGGGCCCTTGCTGACCGCGCGCAGGCCCTGCCCGCCAGCAGCGCCTCCGCCATGCTCCCTCGGGCCGCGGCTTCCGACCGTGAGGACGGCGTCGGCCAGGCGCGACAGCGGGTTCGATGCACCGACGCCGTCGCTCGTCGTGCACGCGTCCGTGCCGGTCACCACCCCGCGCAACGACATCGTGCGGCCACCGCGAAGCACAGGTGTCAGGGCGCGCTGGGCGCAGCGGGGCCGCGGGTACGACGCGTTCTGGGCGCCCGGGCAGCGCGCAGAGTGCTGTGCGGAGCGGCGCAGCGCGCCGCTCGGCGCGGGGCGGCCCCGGGGGGGAGTGTGGGGCGGTCGGGCTGGCAGCGGTTGCACCTGGGGTGTCCGCGCGGGCTCGGGCGCGAAGTGATGCGTTCCGCGTCGCGAACGGTCCCGGTACATCCGGAGCGCGAGTCTGACGCGACTGAACCGCGAGAGTCCCCCGGGTACTGTGCGCAACGAGCTGTTTGCGTCGTGATCAGAGACACGCGCGTTCTCGCCACCCCAGGCGCGCGAGGTGCCCAGATTCGACGCTTTAGAGCGTATTCCTGTGTTATACTCTCGTCTGACGTGGTAATCTGGGCGTTCTAGGCCGGGAATTAGCTGTCCAGGGCACATTCTGTCCACTCTGGCATTAACGGCTTCGGGCGTGGCGCAGTGGGCGCCGCGGCCGAGCGAACGGTCGGCCAGGATGCCGTGCAACCCCGCACTGATGCGCCTCATGGGCGAGCTGAAGGACCTCCAGGTGCGTCGACCGCGAAACGGCGCCTCACGACCCCCCTGCACCGCGCACCCGGCTCGGGCCCGGCACGCGCTTCCAGGCGCCCGGATCGATGCGAAACCGCCCGTCCCGCCTCCCTATCCTCTTACCAAACATGGCCGCGCGGCTTCCGCGCGCGCGGAAGCCCCGACCCGCCCGCAGCGGCTGCTGTGATCCGCATCGGTCCACCGCGCCACGCTGTGATCCGCATCGGTCCACCGTGCCACGCTCCCCGCTCGCAGCGCGATCCCCCGCACGGCTGCTCCGCGAGCCCGATCGGCGAGGACATGTTCAGCTGGGAGGTCCGTTCCCCGCCCCGATCGCCCTCCCGACGCCACGCGCACGCCACGCACTCTCACGGCACCGCAAACACACTCGCCGGGCGCGCAGGCGACGATCATGGGGCCGGACGAGTCCCCGTGGGAGGGGGGGATTTTCGGCCTCAAGCTCCACTTCGACACGTCCTACCCTTCAAAACCCCCCCGGGTGTACTTCACGACGTCCCTGTTCCACCCCAATGTGTACCGGGACGGCTCGGTCTGCGTCGACACGATCGCCGAGCGCTGGTCGCCCTGCAACACCGTCTCCACGATCCTCGTCGCGCTGCAAAGCCTCCTCACGGACCCGAACCCGGCCTCGCCCGCCAACCCCGAAGGTGCGTCAACGCAGCATGGCGCGTGCGCGTGTGTGTGTGCGTGCGCTCGGTCCGCCTGACGCGCGCCCGGCTCGCGGGCAGTCTGACCGGGGTGCGGCTGCGCGGTGCGCGTGTGCAGCGGCGCGGATGCTGGTGAAGGACGTGAAGGCGTACACGCGCATGGTGCGACAGTGCGCGCAGCGCACCCTCGAGGACTGACGGACTGACACGGGGTAAGGGGGGGGGCCGGTGTTTTAAAGTGAATGCCAGAACATCTTTGGTGGCGGTGTCGCTGGCGCTCTGCGGCCTGCGGAGCGTTTTGGCTCCACGTGTTTGGACACCGTCGCGTGGCGCTGCCACGCGTCACACGCGCGCGCGGAGAGGGCCGAGCGCGGTGTGAGTGGTGCTGCGTCGCGTGCGCGGTCACGCGTCGAAGCGCGCGTCCACGTCCATCTCTACGGCCCCGCTCGCGTCGGTGCGGCGTCGCCGCGATCGGCGCAGCAGGAGCTCCGCGCACGTGCCGCTCAGGGCGGGCTTGCCCCAGCGCGCGTCGACGCCCATCACCGTCGCCATGTTGACGACGTCGTGCGGCGCGCGGACGTCCATCGCGGACGCAGCGCCGCTGCTAAGCACCACGCCTCTGCTCCCCGCCGCGCGCACCTGCGAGGGGCGGAGCGGCGGCGCGGGGCGCGTGGGAGCCGGGCGCGGCCGCGCGCGGACGTGCGCGGGGCGGGAGGGTCTCGGGCGCGCACCAGGAGTCGAGAATTCACGAATACGTTTCTGCGGGCCACCTGGCTTCGCAGCGCGGGCGCGTAGCATATTTCGAAGCGCACGCCGCGCCGGACGGCCTCGGCCGCGTCCTTCGGCCGGAGCTTCGGCACGCTGCGCTGCGCGAGGTCGAGCGAGATCACGTCCACGTCCAGGGACGCGCAGCACTGCTGCAACAATCGGTCCGTGGTGGGGCGCGCGGCGAGCACGTCGAACGAGGCGGCCGCGGGGCCGGCCACGATCGCCTGGGCCGAGCTCATGTCCTCCACTACGACATCGAGCCGGCTGTGGACGGTCAGGTCCGGCGGACAGCTCGCCCTGCGCGCAGGAAGGCCGTCCGGTGGTGAGCAGGGCAGGCAACGCGCTGCGTGGGGCGTGTGTGGCGTGCGAACGCAGGCGCCGATGCGGCGAGCGCGAGATACAGTCCCGAGCTGCGGTCCGCAGGTGGAAGCTTCTGGCCTGGTGCGGTGCCGGCGCGCCGGGTGAAATCGGCGACGGTGGAGGGCGCGCGGACGCCGCGCCGCCCGCACCTCAGGGTGTCGATCCGCGCGGCCGTGTTCGGCGGCGTGCGGTGCGCCCCCGGCGCGGCCGTGACGGTCTCGGCCAGCGCGGCGCCCCGGTACCCCAAGCGCCCCAGCATCTCCAGCCGCTCCGCCACACCGAACGCGTCCTCGTCCGGGCCGGACAGCGGCACGTTCAGGTCGATAAACATCCAGACACGCTCTGCACAGGCACACCGCGCGCCCGTTCGCGCCTCCCAGGCCGTGCGAAGGCGGAGCAGCAGCCTGCGCCAAACGCAGGGAGGGAGCCTCGTCCGATGCGCGCGCTGCGTTCTCGGCGCGGCCGTCGCAGCTCCAGAGCCGTCCGTGGGTCGCGCGCAGCGCGCCCGGGCCGCCGAAGGCCCCCGTCGGCCCGGCCCGGGACACCCCCCCCCGACTCATGTCACACTGCTTCTACTGCGCTGCACCGCAGCGACACGACGGGGGCCCGCACCGCGCCCCCGCGCCACTCCGCCCGGCCTCCGCCGCAGCCGCCTGTCACGCACGGACGTCAGACAGGGCTCCTTTACCCCCCCCCGCTAGCATCCTTCCGGCGGCAACAGTCGTCGTCAGTGCCGGCGTGCGTTGCGTCCCCACTGGTCCGCGGGTGCCTCTGCGCAGCCCCGTGCGTGCCCTGCGGTGCGCGCGGGAGCCGCCGTCCGCCTCGGCGCCGCCGCCGGGAGCGAGGAGGGGGCGCGGCGTTCCGGAGAGCCTCGGGCGACGCAGGGGGGCGGAAGGGTCGGTGGGCGCGCGCGGTAGGCGGATGCTTGCGCGAGGATGGTGAAGCTGCATTTCGCGATGGTGTGCGCGTCGAACATGAACCGTTCGATGGAGGCGCACACCGTGCTGAAGCGGCACAACTTCAAGGTGTCGTCGTTCGGCGTCGGGGGCTCCGTGAAGCTGCCCGGGCCGACGGCGGATCAGCCGAACATCTACGACTTCGGGACGCCGTACAAGGACATCCACGCGGACCTCAGCAGGCAGGACCCGGAGGTGAGGCGCCCCGTTCAGTCCTGCGCGCGCGATTCCGCGGCGCTGAGCGCGGAACACGCGGTGGATTCGAGAGCGACATATGCCTTGATATCTCAGCATACTGGAGAGGGATGGTTCGAGGCGCGACGCGCCGCTGTGGGCGCGTGATCCGTCGGCGGGCACCCACGCACCTGCACTCCGGCCGTCCCCGTCGCTCTGCGCGGCAGTACCGGGCGTCCTCCCCCGCCGCTCGCCGCACACGCTGCGCATCTTGCTGTTCACACCGTATCAGGCACCGCCCCGTGCCCCAACGCGCGCCACTGCAGCGCGCCCAGTTCCCGTGATTGTGGCGGCAGCCCACGCCCCTCGCACGCCCCCCGCGCGGGCCCTCACCCGCGCCCCGCACTCGTCGCCGCCCGCGCAGCTGTACAGGCGCAACGGGCTGATCATGATGCTGGAGCGCAACATGGGGGTGAAGACGGCGCCGCAGCGGTGGCAGGAGACGCGGTCGGTGCCGTTCGACGTCGTCATCACGTTCGAGATGTCGGTGTTCGACCGGCTCATCGACGACATGCTCAAACGAGAGGTGCGCACACACGACGATGTTTATTTCCGATTGTTCATTACAATTACAATCATTTCGTTCTCTTCGTCTTTCGTGTGCGTGTCTGCGTGCGCCCGCGCGTCCCGGTGCCCCCCGGCGGGACGCGCCGCGTGCGCGCGTAGCGTCGCGCGCGCCCCGCTGCCCCCATGGCGGGGCCGCGGGCGGTGTGCGCGTGTGAGGGCTGAGGTGGTGCGGCGCGGTGGGGGCGTTGCGGCGCAGGGGATGCACTTCAAGACGATGCTGGTGATCAACATCGACGTGAAGGACTCGGACGAGGAGTCGAAGAAGGCGGCCCCGCAGGCCATGCGCCTGTGTCAGATGCTGGAGGGGGCGGGGGAGTGTTGGGAGGACAAGGTCGAGGACGTGCTCGAGGCGTGGTTCCGCGAGACGGGGCGGCGGCCGACGTACAACATCTGCACCTCGTAGCGCCGCCCGCGGCGCGTGTGAGTGTCCCAAGCCTTCGGGGGTGTTTCTCCGCGTCGGGGGGTGTCCGGGGTCACAGGCGCCGCGCGGGCGCTAGAGGAAGATGCCGATGGCGAGGAGGAACATGACTGCGAGGAAGGAGTACTTGAGGCCCGCGTTGATGATGGAGAGCGCGATCCATGTTGCGCTGAACACAAACTTCGCGAACCAGATCGACGCGAGCGCCGCGAGGGCCAGCACCAGGACGGTCTCCACCGGCATGCGCTCCGTCGGGTCCCCCGGGTCCCCGCGGTCCTCCTGCGCGCGGCGGGGCGACACAGCAGCGTCGGCGGGGCGGTCGCGCGCGCGGACGGGCGGGGCGCGGGCCCACGCGGTGCGGCAGTCGCGGCCGGGGTGTTCGCGGCGCGGTGTGCTGCGAGCGCGCCGCGCGGGCCGCCGGGGCGTGTCGTGGTGCACGCGCGCACCTCCCAAAAGCGCTCCGGGTCGTCCGGAGCGTCCCCGCCGTCCTTGCCCTTCGCGCCCCACCACATGAACGACTTCACGCGCACGGCGCGCCGCCTCGCGGATCCGGAAACCGCCCCCACCGCCGCACGCGGGCCCCCGCTCCCGCACGGCGCGTTGCTGCGCCGCGCCACGCGCCCCGGCTGCGACGCCCGCCCCAGCGAGGCAGCGCGCCGGCATGTGCACATGTGGGACATCCCGCTCGCGCCGACGCCGCCCGCCCTGCCGCGCCTCGCTGCCCGCCTGCCTGGGCGCCCGGAGCCCTGGCCCTTCCCGGCGGGTACACGCGGGTCCGCGCTCGCGTGCGACGTTCCCTCACCGCGGGCACGGATGCGCGACGGAGGGCCCTTCGCGGCCGGTCGGGCCGCGCCGCGGGGCGCGCGCAGGCGTCGGCCGGCGCCGGGAGTTGGTGCGCGCGCACGTTTGTGCGTCCCTGCAGCTCGCGGCGGTCGATTTCGGCCAGCGGACGTCCGCGCCTGGTTGCGGGAGTGCCGTGGGGCTGCGCGGGGCGCGGAAGATCGGCGCGTGGGTCCCTGGGCGGTCCGCGGGGCCAGTCTGACGATGGTCATACTGGGCTGGGACGGTCGCGTGGCGCGCGTCGCGGCGCGTTGGGTCCGCGCGGCGCGGGGCGGCGGCGGCACTTTTCGTCCTGCGCGGTGCGCGGTGTCGACGCTGGCTGAAACACCGCAGCTGGAGAATGCAGGCAGCCCTGCACTAGGGAGGAGCGCCTCGCAAGGATGGCGGACGAGGGGCCCAGGAAGGGCCTGGAGATGTACGAGGAGGAACTCCAGCTCGCGGAGGCGCTGGAGAGGGAGTTCCAGGGGGTGCGTCCCGCCCGCGCAAGCGCGCTGGCAGCCCCTTCCGTTTGTGTAGCGGGCCCCCGCGCGAGCGCCGCGCGCCACCGGGGCGCCCCGCGGCGCGCGCGTTCGCCCGAAATATCGCCCCAAACCTCCACGCCCCCCCCCGCGCCGCCCCCCATCCCCCACGCGCGCCCTGCCAGCGTCCCACCGCTCGGCACGGCATCGCTCCCACCCCTTCCGCCCGGCCCCGCGCGCAGCCGCCCCGCCGAGCCCGCCTCCGCCCCGCCCCACCGGCTCCTCCGCACCCGCTCGCAGGTCCTCACGGAGCTCCTCGGCGACGAGAGCCTCCAGAGGTTCAGAGTCGAGTACGAGAAGCTCTTCCGGGCTCTCAAAAAGAGCCATGACAAGGAGCGGAAGCTGGTCAAGAAGTGCCGCGAGATGCACGCCGAGCTCGTCGCCAACGCGGCCAAGGTCCAGGTACGCCGCGCGCCCCGCACGCCCCGCCGCGCGCGCCCGGAGGGTCCGGCGTGCCCCGCGCCGCCGCTCGCCCGCTGCGGCGCGCGGCGCGCCCCGCCGCGGCACTCGCAATGCCCGGGACCCGCGTGCGGCCGGGAGGGCGGCGCGGGGCCGGAACGCGGGGCCGCTCGCGCGACGAACGGGGCCCGGGCATGCCAGCGCGGGTCCATGCGCGCGCATGCACGGCCCTGCGCGGCGGGCGGTCGCCCCCGCGGCCCCGCGCACGCGCCCGCCCGCACCACCCGCTACGCGCGCTGCCGGCGGACGTTCGTTCGCGGGCGTCCCGCCGCGTCACGCTCCGCCGCGCGCTGCCCAGCGGGCACGCGCGGCGTCACGTTGCCCCGCCCCGGGCGCCCCCGGCCGTTCCCCGCCCCGTTCCCGCGCGCGTCCGCTCGCCAACACCGCAGCCGCCGGCCTCCGCGCGTTTTCCCGCCTGGTGCGCGCGCCCGCGCGCCCCGGCGCCCACGTCCACCGCCCGGGCCCACGCAGGCGGCTCTGAAGCTCTCCGAGGAGGACCAGGCGACGATCTCGGCGCTGAAGCGCGAGATCGAGAAGGCGTGGGCGGAGGTCGACGACGCGCGCGACAAGGAGGCGCGCGCGAAGGAGCAGGTGGCGACGTTGCGGCACGACGTGACGAGCCTCAACCGCATGGTCGAGGACAGCACGGGCATCAAGGTGCCCGAGGACGACATGGTCCAGGAGCTCCTGACCGAGAAGGAGGACCTCACGCGCGAGCGCGACGACCTCCTCGACCAGATCATGCGCCAGCGGGCCGAGGTGTGTGTCGCGCGCGCGTTGTTTGTGTCTTCGCGTCGCGTGGGTCGAGCGCGCTGCTGCGCTGCGCGCGAGACGCCCGGATCCGGGCGCCGATGATGGATGCTGGCCTGGCGCGGCGGTTCGCGCGGGTCGTGAAACACCCCCCCTGGTGCACGTGGGGTGTGCGCAGGTGGTGGAGATCAACGAGAAGCTGCGGCGGACGGAGCAGGACAAGCTGGACCTGCTGGACGAGGTGTCGCGGATCCGCGGGCAGGTCGCGGAGAAGCGCGCGGAGGGCGAGAAGGAGGTCCGGCGGCGCGAGCGGCTCGAGCGGGAGGTGAAGGACCTCAAGGCGGCGCTGGAGATGCGGCAGAACGAGCTCAAGGCGCGGCAGGCGGCGGTGGGGCAGGCGGAGGAGGAGGTGATGCGGATGGAGGTGACGGTGAAGGAGTCGGCGGGGCAGTACGACCGCATGAAGCGCGAGTACAACGCGCTGTCGGAGAAGGTGCAGAAGCTGCACCATGACCTGGACGAGCAGATCCACCAGAACACGCAGCTGCTGGCGGAGAACTCGCAGCGGCAGGTGGAGCTGAAGCTGAAGGAGGACGAGATCGCGGCGGTGCGGCTGGAGCTGACGAAGATGGGCAAGCTGCGGGAGGCGGCGCTGACGCGGATGAAGCACATTGAGAAGCAGCGGATCGACGCGGAGCGGCAGCGGGACGCGCTGCGGCAGGAGATCCAGCAGACGGAGCGGGAGATGGACAACATGTCGCGCGAGGTGGACGCGGAGCGGAAGAAGCAGGACGAGCTGGTGCGCGAGCGCGACGTGCTGAACAAGATGAAGACGAGCGCGGAGAACTCGACGCAGAAGCAGCAGGACCTGATCCGGATCGTCGAGAACAACAAGCGCAACCTCGAGCACGAGATCGACGGGTACCGCGTCGAGGCGCAGCGCCAGGCCCGCATCATCCACCAGCTGGAGAAGGAACGGTGAGTGCGGGGGGGGGTGTTGTGCGCTCGTGCTTGTGTGCGCTCGTGCGTGTGCGCGCTCGTGCGTGTGTGTGCGAGGGGTCGTGTGTGTGCGAGGGCGGCGGTTGTTGCGGTTGCGTGTGCGCAGGGACAAGCTGTCGGCGGAGGCCGCGGAGGCGTCGTCGAAGTACGTGGCGGCGCTGGAGGAGGTCAAGGTGCGCGACCTCGCGGTCGTGGACCTGCAGAAGAAGATCGCGGAGGCGGAGTCGCGGCTGAAGCAGCAGCAGAACCTGTACGAGGCGGTGCGCAGCGACCGCAACCTGTACAGCAAGAACCTGGTCGAGGCCCAGGACGAGATCCAGGAGATGAAGCGCAAGTTCAAGATCATGTCGCACCAGATCGAGCAGCTCAAGGAGGAGATCGCCGCCAAGGACCTGGCGCTCGTCAAGGAGCACTTTGACCACATGAAGGTCGAGAAGGAGAAGGAGGGGCTCAAGCTCGAGCTGAACAAGGCCAAGCAGCAGATCCGGGTGCGTGGCGCCCTCCAGCCGTGGCGCCCCCCGCTGCGTGCGTGCGCGCGTGTGTGTGTGTTGATGCGGTGGCGCGACGCTGACTTGTGTGTGTGGGTCGACTTGCGTGTGCAGGACACGGAGGCGGTGATCGTGAACCAGAAGGCGGAGCTGCAGAAGCTGAACCACATCATCAACGAGGCGGACCAGGAGCGCGCGCGGCAGCGCAAGGAGTACGACATCGCGGTCAACGAGCGCGACATCCTGGGCACGCAGCTCATCCGGCGGAACGACGAGCTCGCGCTGCTGTACGAGAAGATCAAGATCCAGCAGAGCACGCTGCAGAAGGGCCAGATCCAGTACCGCGACCGCCTGAACGAGATCCGCGTGCTGAAGATCAAGCTCAACGACCTCCGCCGCGAGCTGCACGTGCTGCGGACGTCCGTGTCGAACATCGACATGCTCAAGCGCGAGGTGCACCACCTCTCGCGGGACCTCCTGCGCGAGCGCGCCAAGGTCAAGGCGCTGAGCGAGGAGCTGGAGACGCCCATGAACGTGCACCGCTGGCGCAAGCTCGAGGGCTCGGACCCGGCCACGTACGAGATGATCCAGAAGATCCAGACGCTGCAGAAGCGGCTCATCGCGAAGACGGAGGAGGTGGTCGAGAAGGACCTGCTGATCCAGGAGAAGGAGAAGCTATATCTGGAACTGAAGAACATCCTCGCACGGCAGCCGGGGCCGGAGGTGGCGGAGCAGCTCAGCGTGTACCAGGCGTCGCTCAAGGAGAAGTCGCGGCAGCTCAAGAGCATGGCCTCGGAGCTCAACATGTACCAGGCGCAGGTCAACGAGCACAAGTACGAGATCGAGCGGCTGGTGCGGGAGCTGAACGACGTCAAGCGCAAGTACTTCGAGCAGAAGAAGCGCGAGCAGCTCGAGCGGCAGCGCATGGCGAGCACGGCGCCGGGGCCGGGCGCCGACGCGGGCAGCGGCGGACCCAGCCGGTTCACCGGCGGGGGGTTCTCGCTGACGCAGGGCGCGAGCTGAGCTGGCACCAGCGCGGGCGGCGCTGGCCGTGTGAACGGAACGCGACGTCGCGGTCTTGTTTCGGGGTCGTCGTCGTTGTTTTGGCGGGGAAGCGCCGACGTGTGGTGTTGTTGCGGCGATGAGGTCAGTCAGGCTGTAGGAGGACGGTAGTCGAGTCAGGAGTAGGTGCGCGGCCCGCATGGGGGGGCGCGAGGGAGCTTCGAGCGCTGAGCCGACGAGCTGCCGCCGTCAGCCCTCGTGTGGCGCTCGTGCCGCAGCGAAGGTGTGTGTTGCATGTGCGGTCCCGTCAGAGGCCGCATCTGGCACGTCGCGTCGTCGCGCGCTCGAGGGCCTCGTATCTGCGCTTGATAGTTCCGGCAGAGCGCAGCGGGCCGACTGACGCTCGCTCGGGAGATCCGGGGGGGGGTCTTTTCAAGTCAGTCAGTCTGGTCCATGCGGGAGGTGGCTTTCTACGCTTGCGGGCCTGCAGCGGACCAGCAGCTCTTCCTGCCTTCGTCTGCGTCCGACTCACCAGGGGGATGGAGCCCGATGACAAGCCGAGATCGATGCAATCGACCACGACTGCTCGTTCGTTTCGGTCGATCTCAGCTTGCCATGCCTCCGCAGGCCGCACGGGGCACGACTCCGGTCTGTAAGTCTCAGTCTCAGTCCATTGCCATCCACTTGCTCAGTCTCAGTGGATGGCAATGGACTGAGACTGAGACTTACAGACCGGAGACGTGCCCCATCCATCTCGCTGTTGAGTCAGACCCATACGAAGGCAGGAAGAGAGCCGCCGGAGGCCCGCGGCCTACCATATCTCCCCGCGAGTGCGCCAGCCAGCCGGACCTGGATGGCGGCGGAGATGCGTGGCGGACGGGCGCTTGTTTTGACAGTCCCAAGGGAGGGAGAACCGCCCGAGGCTGGCTCACTCTGGTGGGGCGGAGCCACACGACAACCACTCTGACAACGACTACACAGTTCTCGTCATAGTGTCGTTGTCAAAGTGGTCCCCGCTTGCCAGAGTTAGCCAGTCTCGGGTTCTTCTCCAAGGGAGCAGCTGGCGTCGACACGGGCCGACGACGAACCCGACGGCGCCACGGGACCGCCGACGGCATGCGATTCATTCCAGTCACGAGCCAGGCGTTCGAGCGGGGCGGCGGCTGCTCAAACGCTTCAGCTGCAGCCAGCCACCCCCCTAGTTGGTTGGTCACTCGAGACGCGACGCTCCGGCGCGAACCAGGCCCGGAAGTCCTCTCCGCGTACTGCACGTTCGACGCACCGCACAGCCGCACCTCTTGTTGGGCCCCGGCTCGTGCTTGTTGTCCCTCGTCCTCCGCCCCCAATGGCTACGAAAAGAACAAAGCTGGTGGCCACTGTGGGCGGAGGTCGATCGGCGGCACGCAGGAGCTGCGGCGCCCTCAAGAGGCGCGCCTGTTTCTTCAGTGTGTCGCCCGGGGCGAGTTCGCGTGCAGGTGTCTCCTGGGCACGGTTGAAGTGCGCCACAGTCTCGCGGCGGTGCAGGAGCAGGCACGAACGCACGGACCCTCCACCTCCGTCCACCAGGCAGCCGTGCTCTCTCTCGCGGCTCGGTCCTCGCAAACACACGAGGCTGCAACGCGCCCCATCTCTGCAGCGACGCACCGCGACGTGTGTGCGTCGTCAAGTCCTCCTCGGTTGTCACGTGCGGGCCGTCGAGCTCCGAAGCGTCAGGCGGCTGGCCAGGGCCGCCGGCGCCCGGAGGCGCTCCGCTGGCGTGCTGGTGGCGCCCTGACGTGCGGTAGAATAACACAGCACGGGTGCCTGACTCGATCTCTCGCTGCGACGTCGGCTATGGGGGCGCTGCGCAGTCGAGGCTGGCGCAGATGCGTAGTGTGAAGATAGAACAGTCGAATCAATAGCTTGGCGAAAGCGGAGACGGCTGCTGCGTGAGCTTACGGCTGCACTTGGTGGCGGGAGGACTTGCGTTGCGCTGCCTCGCACCCGCGCCGCGCCTCGGGCTCCTCTCCGGCATTTGCATGGTTGGGACACATCGCGACAATCCGCGCAATTCATGAATCAAGCCCGCAAACCGCTGTGAGGGACGCGTGGGGCGGCCGGTAGCGTGGCTCAGGCGGGCAAAGCGAGGATGGGCGAGGACCGGCGAGAGCGCGACGAACGCGGGCGGTCGATAGGTGATTGCACAGAGCACCACGACGGCCACCCGATGCGCGGCCCAACGTCGCGCGAGGCGCACAGCAGCGCACGCCAGGCGCCACAACAGAGCCAGCCCCTCCACCCACCGTGCGCGCGCTTCCGCCCACACATCAACATCAAACAGCCAGTACATCATGGTCAGAGTCTTTCTTCGCCACGGAACATTCGTTTTCAGTGCTAGAAACGGCCCCTCGACGCCCCGACGCCGCCCCTCTGCAGACGCCCGCCACCGCCGGCGAAGAAGCCGCTCGCGCAGCCGCGAGCGACACCGCGACCGCGACCGCCGCGACCGCCGGCCCAGCCCGCGCCGCGACCACCGCCGCGAGCGGTCCCCCGCCCGTCACCGCCGCCGCGACGACACTGCGCCGCGCGACGGTGATGCGCGGCAACACCCCGGGATGCACCTGCCAGGTAAGCAGCGCCGCCTGGCCGTCGCGCGCTACCGCCCGGGACTTCGTTCCGTCCCGGATGGAACGCCATTCGTGAAATATCGATTGTTTGTTTTCTCTATTGTTGTTTGCGTTCGTCATGTGAGGCTCGCGCTGCTGCGTCGCCGCGCCTGCTCGCAGTGCGCGGCTTCTCGGACGAGATCGTGCGGACGGTGAAGGAGTCGCGCGTGTCCGTCCTGATCGGCGAGACGGGTTCTGGGAAGACCACGCAGCTGTCGCAGATCCTGCTGGACGCCGGGCTCGTGGCCGACGGGACGATGGTCGCGGTGACGCAGCCGCGGCGCGTCGCGGCCGTCACCGTGGCGCGGCGCGTCGCGGAGGAGCGCGGCACCCACGTCGGCGGCGAGGTGCACCCCACGCACATGCACATGTGCCACGTACCGCTCCGCGCGCTCGACGCAGCGCGGGCAAGAGCGCGCAGTTTCCAATACGGGCGAGCCGCGCCATGCCACCTTGTCTCACGCCGTCCGAAGCCCTGCGCCCACCTCCCAGGTCCAGGTGCCATCCTCCCAGCAGGTGGGGTACGCGGTACGGTTCGAGGACCGCACGAGCGGGGCGACGCGGATCAAGTACCTGACGGACGGGACGCTGATGCGCGAGGTCATGCTGGACCCGGAGCTGTCGCGCTACTCGGTCGTCGTGCTCGACGAGGCCCACGAGCGCTCCCTGAACACCGACATCCTCTTCGGGGTATGACACCCGCACCGCTATACCCTCCCCTTCCTCCCGGCTCCGCAGTTTCCGTCAGGCGAGAGTTTCTTTGCGGCCGGCGTGCTCGCTGCGCCGTGCGGCACGGCCTCGCGGCCCTGCGCCGCCGCAAGAGGTCCGCTGATGATGCACCACGTCTCGGGGCCCGCTGACGGGCCACTCCTGCCCAGCGCGTCCTATCGGGGTAGTCTCCCATCCGCTCCGCCTGATCGCGCCTCGGCGCGTCTCGGCGTCGCTGCGCAGCTGCTCAAGGGCCTGGTGGCGACGCGGAAGGCCCCGCTGCGCCTGGTGGTGACGTCGGCGACGCTGGACGGCGAGAAGTTCTGCAAGTACTTCGGCGCGTGCCCGATGATCACCGTGCCCGGCCGCGTCCACCCCGTCGAGGTCCTGCACTCCACCGAGAAGCCGAAAGATTACGCCGACGCCGCCGTTGAGACAGGTGTGCGCGCGCGCGCGCCGGACACACACGCACACACGCACACACGCACCCGCCGCCCGCGGCCGCTGGCAACGGGCCAACGCGCCGCGCGGCCGCTCCGCCGCGTCCGCGCCGCGCACCGCATCACGGCACGCAACCGCGCACCTGACGCGGTGCAGCGGCGCCGGCCGACGCTCCGCGCGCGTGGACCGCGCTCGGCGCGCACCCACGCGACGCCGCCTTCGCTCCGCCGCTGCGCAGCCATGGACATCCACTGCGACTGCGGGGAGGGGGACATTTTGGTGTTCCTGACAGGGCAGCACGAGATCGAGAAGGCGTGCCGGAAGCTGCGCGCGCTCGTGGAGGCGACGCCCGAGGGCGCCGCGGGCCCGGTCGTGCCGCTCCCGCTGTACGCCGCGCTCCCGCCGGACGCGCAGGCGCGCGTGTTTGCGCCGGCGCCGCCGGGCGTGCGGCGGTGCATCTTCGCGACGAACATCGCGGAGACGTCGGTCACCGTGGACGGCGTCGTGTACGTCGTGGACGCCGGCATGTCGAAGCAGAAGCGGTACGACGCCGCCACGGGTGAGCAAACGCGTGTTGCGTGCAGCACAACACAACACCCCCCCCACCGCTCGCCGTGCGCCGGCCCCCCGTGAGTCGACTTCTCGTCGTTCGACCGGCCTGGTAGATCATCTCCCGTGCCGTCGTGCTCCGCTTGCGCGCAGGCATGGACGCGCTCGACGTGGAGCTCATCTCGCGCGTGCAGGCCACGCAGCGCGCGGGGCGCGCGGGCCGCACGCGCCCGGGCAAGTGCTTCCGGCTCTACCCCGAGAAGACCTTCGAGCGCGAAATGCCCGCGGCCACGTCCCCGGAAATCCAGCGCATGTCGCTCGTCGGCGCGGCGTTGTACCTCAAGTCACTCCCCCTGGACATCGACCTGCTGGCGTTCGACTTCCTGGACCGCCCGACGGACGCGCAGTGGCACGACGCGCTGCGGCAGCTGTACGCGCTCGAGGCGATCGACGCGCGCGGCCGCATCACGCCCGTGGGGAAGCAGATGGCCGCGCTGCCAGTGGGGCCGTCGCTGGCGCGCGCGCTGATCGCCGCGCTGGACCTGGGCTGCCTGGACGAGATGGTCGCGGTCGCGGCGATGCTCTCCGCGGACAACGTGTTCCTCGGGTCGCGCGGGCCAGACGTGCGGGCGCGCCCCGCGGGGGACTCCCGGGGGGGGTTCGCGACCGACGGCGGGCGCGAGGTCCTCCAGGGCCTCATCGCGGAGAAGCAGGGCGACCACGTGCTGCTGCTGCGGCTCTGGGAGGCCTGGGCGAGCCACGGGTTCGCGCAGGCGTACGTCAAGGACTTGGGGCTGGATCCGAGGGGGATGAAGGCCGCGAGGGACGTGCACCGGCAGCTGAGGACGATCGTAGGGCACGACGGGACGCGGCTCCGTGAGATGCTCGCGCAGGGCCGGCGCCACGAGGCGCCGCCCGGGCGGGACGGCACGCGGCGCACGGGGGGGGGGGCCTCGCGCGAGACCAGCCCGAGCCAGTGGTCGGACCACACGCGGTTCACGCGCGACACGCGGGACACGCGCGACTCGGACGGCGGCGGCATGCGCAGAGACGCCAGCGTGCACTCGCAGCTCCACAAGCAACAACAACAACAGCAACAACAGCCCGTTGGGACCCAGGTGGGTCGGACGCACCGGCACCGGCGCGGCGCTGCTGGCCGCTGGATGCTCTGAGCGCGCTGACGACCCGCGGCGTGCGTATGTGTGTGCTGTGCGCTTCGCAGGAGAGGGGGACGTTCTCAGGCAACGTGCGCGCGGTGCGGCGGGCGGTGTGTCTGGGGTTCGCGAACAAGCTGGCGAAGCGCGCGCCGCTGCACAACGGGTACCGCACGGTCGGGGACCGCGGCCAGCTCGCGCAGCTCCACCCGGGGTGCTGCACGTGAGCACCCGCCCCCCGCCGCCTTTGGTTCTGCCGCGTTTCGCGCCGTGCCGCTCGCCGCGTGGTCGCACGGCCCCCGCCGCGCTTCACGGCGGCCCCGCTGAAGCCAGGCAGCGTACCTTCGCCCCGCGGCGCGATCGAGGCGCCTGGGCGGCTGCCGCGTCCGCCAAACGACCACGCATCTGTCTCGTTCCGCTCTGTCTCACGCCGGGCGACGCTCAGCGTTCCCGCTCCGCGCAGGGTCGAGGAGGACGAGCGCGGGCTGCTCCCGTCGTGGGTGGTGTACCACGAGCACGTCGCGGGGCAGCGGTGCCACCTGACGACCGTGAGCCCCGTCGAGGACGACTGGGTCGCCGACATCCTCCCGCGGCTCCGCGACGTCGACGTGCGGATGCTCTCCGGCGGCGAGACCACGCAGAAGGCGCAGGAGGAGGCCGCGGCGCAGGAGAGGGCGGCAGAGGCGCAGCGCGCGGAGCAGGCCAAGCGCAGGAACACGGGCGAGACGGTGGACGCGGCGAGGGCGCGGTACCTGGCGCGCAAGCAGGCGCGGGGCAAGTAGCCGCGTGTGAGACCCGTGTTCCTGTTTGTGCTGGTCGCCGTGGAGTGCGTGGTCAATTACTACTCTGCGTGGCGCGGAGCCGCGGTGATGCGCGCGGGTGGGCTCGCGGGCCGCGTTCGGCACGACACGGGCGGGCGCGGTGTCCGGGATCGCTGCGCGGCGCACCGGGCGCGATCTTCGACGACGGCGTGCTGTGCGGGCGCTGTGCGCGGTCGTGCGTGGCGGGCGGGGGCGCGGAGCGGGTGCGGTCGCGGGAGCGGAGAGCCGTGCGCGTTGTGTGTCGATTGCGTGCGCTCGGCGCGCGCCAGGGCGGCGGCGGGCGCGTCCACCTGCCGGGCAACAGCAGGGCACAGATCACACAAGAGTGCACGGAGCGCGCCGAGGGGCCGGTCCGTCCGTATCGGCGCGTGTCCGTGTTCGCGGGAGATAGACAGGGTCTGAGAGGATCGTAACGTTGGATTTCGCCGGCGATCGCGTGGCGGGGCTCGTCGGCCTGCGGCGTTGGGCGGCTGCGGTGGTCCCGTGGGTGGGCCGCCGTGCGCGCCGTGCGCGCCGAGCTGCGCCGACGTGTGCGCGGGGGCGTTGGAACTCGCGATTTCGCTGTTGCTTGGCGCGCGTTCGCGCCGTGCCGCGCGCCGTGCGGGAGGTGGGCCAGAGCGGTCGTCGAGCACGAGCGACACGCGGCCTCGGCGCGGCTGGGGCCGGCTCCGTGGCTCGATGGATCACTAGATCGATCAAAGTCGCCAAAATACGTCCCATGGACCGGGTGAACGGCGCCCGACGCGCCACGGCGCGCCTCGCCCGCCGGTAGGGCTCGCCTCAGGTCTCGCAGGGGGGCCGTCTCCGGGCCCAGTCAGCGCCCGGCTGGCCCCAGTGCGGGCTCGTCGCGCCCCCGCACGGCAATTGAGTACCCCGGAAGCAGGCAGTCGTTCCCAGGGCGCGTAGGCAGAAGGAGCGCGGACCTGTGTGCTGTCAAACCCAGCCTGCACGCGGCCCGGCCGCCGCCAGGGAGCCCGGGAGCGCCGCCCGAGCCGCGATAGGGCTCGGCTCAGCGGCGAGCGCCCGCGTCGGGTCGCCTGAATTTGAACTCGACCTCGCTAGGCACACGAAGGCGCGCCAGCAGCGGGCGCGGCGCGGGCAGGGGCTCCGGCTCGGCGCGCACAGGCGGCGTGCGCCACGCCCCGTTCCTCCGACGGCGTCAGGTTCGCACGCACGGTCCAAGACGCCGTCCCGGCGCCCACCTAGCCGCGCGGCGTCGCCGCCACGCGCCACGACTGGGACGGCGATGAGCGGCCCGAGCTACCTCAGGAAATCCGCGGCGATGAAGGCCAAGTACAAGGACCCCCGCGACATCGAAGGGAAGGCGTGCACGCTCATCCTCGGCGACAGGTGCGCCCCGGACACGCGCAGCCGCCCTCGGGCGCACCGACACCGGCCCGCCCGGCGCGCGCCGGCCCTCCTGGCGCAGCGCCGCGCCCCACGCGCCGCACCCCGCGCCCGAGGCGCCGCGCACCGCTCCGCACCGTCCCTCCCCGCCCTCCAGCCCGTCCGCGCGCCGCGTCCGCCCCCGCACCGCCGCCGCACGCCCGCACCCACATTCGCCGCGACGACGATACGTGCTCCCGCGCAGGCGCGTCGACGGCGTGATCGAGCGGTACCGCGCGACGTTCGACTCGTACAACATCTCCTTCGGATACAACGTCGAGGAGCGCAACGTCCAGATCATCCAGTACGCGGTCGACCACGCAACCAGCCGCGTCTACATCACCGAGTCCTGGATCTGCAAGTTCGAGGACAAGAGGCTGAAGCCGGGGCAGAAGGACCCGCTCATGCACGCGGACGTCCCGGCCATGCAGGTGATGCAGCGGCTGCGCGGCCTCGAGCGCCTGCGCGTGTGGGGCGCGGTGCTGGCGCTCAAGGGCTGGAACGCGATCGGCGAGCGCGTGAGCATCTACTACCCCTCGGAGCGCAAGTGGTTCATGGGCGTCGTGTCGGACTTCGTCGCGGAGACCTGGCAGCACCAGATCATCTTCGATGACGGGGACGTGGAGGTGTGTCGCCTGGGGATCGACCGGTGGGCGCGGAAGCCGGCGGCCGCGGACATCCCGCTCGAGGGCGGGGAGGGCCGCGAGGGCGCGCTGTGGTTCGACCAGGAGTTCGGCACGGGGCGCGCGCCCGGGGAGGACCTGGACACGCTGAAGCAGGTGACGGGGACGTTCGGGGCGCACGCGTTCGCGGCGGGGCTGCAGCAGGCGGCGGCGACGGCGTCGCTGGTGCCCGGGGCGTCGCAGGCGAACCTGGAGATGTGGACGAAGGGGCTCGGGCTGTGCAAGGTGCGCATCGTCGCGTGGAAGAGGGCGCTCGGGAGCTCGCACGGCGGGTGGGTGAACAAGCCGCCGGACACCTTCCTGGTGCGCGTGCCGTACACGGACGGCACGTACAACGACATGCACCTCGACCTCGACAAACACGTCCTCTACATCCCAGGTGCGCGCGCACCTACGTACGGAAGCAAGCACGCGTGACACGCGAGCGCCCTCCCTCCCGTCGGCTCGCTCGCGCCTCGCCGCAGACCGCCTCCTTCCCCTCCCCGCCCCGTCCGGCGCGGCCGCAGACACCGTGATGGCGTTCCTGCGTGTGGACCCGCGGACGGTGTTCAGCAACATGCAGCAGCAGGAGCGCACGCGCATGGACGCGATGATGCCCGGAATCGAGGACTTCCCCGGCATGTGCGCGCTCGACGCCCTCGCGGCCTCGCAGCACGAGGCGCGCCACAACGTCGAGCTTGGCATGCAGCTGGGCGCCAGCGCGCCGGGCGTGCTGCCGGGGTTCGGCGCGCCGCAGGTGCCCGCGGACGCCGGGCCGGCGGACGACGCCGCGCGCGTCGCCGGGGTCAAGCGCGAGGCCCCCGCGGCGAAGCACGGCTTCGTCGCCAAGGCGTTGCACGCGGCGGAGGCGAGGGACGTCGCCGTCGCGCCGGCGGCGAAGAGACCGCGGTGCGTGTTGCTTGCGTGCGCGGGCGCGGCGTTCGCGCGTGGCGGAGGATCCTGCGTGCGTCTGCGCGTGCCGCGGCTGGCGAGGCTGACGCACAGTGTACGAGCGTGTGGTGCAGGCCGGGGGCGGGGGAGCTGGCGTCGAACCCGCTGGTGGGGCTGGCGCCCGACGTGCCGTACGAGCAGGTGATGGAGTGGGTGCAGCAGTTCCTGCAGCACGACCAGCGCGTGCCGCCGAGCGTGCGCGACCTGGTCAACGTGCACCTGGTGATCCGGGACCGGCAGATGCGCGAGGGCATGCACAAGAACAACCCGGAAAAGTTCTACGGACACCCTCTGGTGCGCGTCGCGCCCGGCCGCGCGCCGCCCGCACGTCGTTTGTCCCCTTGCAGCGCGGCGCGACTGACAGCGGGCCGCGGTGCCGTGCCCGGCGTGCAGGTGACCGCGCGGGAGTCGGGGGGCGGCGGGCTGACGGACGCGGAGCTGAACGACAACGCCAAGGTGTACCAGGCGATCGTGGCCGGCGACGACGCCCTGAAGACAGTGTGGCGGTTCGTGCAGGCAACGATCAACCACATCTTCCGCACACGGAACGTCTCCGGGTGGACAGAGGGCGCGCCGCCAGATACCGCGCGCTGATGCTGCTGCTGCTCGGGCTGCGCGCGCCGTGTGAGGCGGAACGGGGGACGTGCCGCCGCGCACGCATGCGTCGTCGTGTAGGGCGCCGCGCGGCCCGCCCGCCGCGTCCCGCCTGCTGTGCTGTGCGAGGCCCGACTGGCGCGCAAGGCCCGGCGGTCCCGAACGCCCCCGCCACGGGAACGCCCTTCGCCACCTCCCAGCGCATGCGTCGTAGCGCTGCGAGGTGCCGCTGCGCGCCAGACGCGCGATCGGGACCGCCCCGCGCGCGCGCCCGCTCCCGCCAGTGCATCCCAGAGCTCGCGGCGCGCGCGAAGCGCCCCCGCCCCTGCGACCCGCCCCCCGCCCCTGCGACGGGCGAGGTCCCGGGCGGGCGGGACAGGTGCCGCGGCGCCCGCTGCCCCTGCGCGAGCGCGACCCGCACGCACACGTCCGCGACATGGCGGCCGAGCGGCCCGGCTCCCGTCGGAGGCCGCGCGGGGGGGAGACTCCTCGCAGGTGGTGTGGCCCCCCGCCCGACCGAGCGCCCCGCGCGCGTCGCCGGGGCCGTCTTGCGGCGGCGCGCCATGCGGTCGGCGCGGCCGCGCGGACGGCAATTTCCCCGCGCGGCGTTTCGAGCCCGCTCGGCGACCGTGCGACGGCGAATCGGCGAAATCCGAACGGATCTCCCTCGTCGTCCCCCCTCCCTCGAGACGGATCCCCGCGCGCGGAGCGACGCGCGGGGCCCTCCGGCGGCGTCGCGGCGCGCGCACGCACGCTCCGCCGACCGCCTCCCCTCGCGGCGTTTGTGTTTGCGCGTCGGGGCAGGAGCTGAGCGGCGGCGATGCAGGGCGGTGGGTACCGAGGCAGTGACCCGAAGCAGGGGTCGGGCGGGCAGGGCCAGGGGTACGGCGGCGGGCCGTCCGGGTACGGCGGGATGCCGGTGTACCAGCAGCCGCCCGTGGACCAGGCGCAGGCGGCCGCGCAGCACCAGCTGCAGCAGTTCTGGCGCCGACAGACGCAGGAGATCGAGGCGGTGCGTGCCCGGCAGCGGCTCCGCGCGCGGCGGGCGCGGCCCGCGGTGCGCGTTGCGTGCGGGCGGAGGCTTCGGGCGGCGCGGGCGGGGCCGTGCGCGGCCGCGCGTGGCGGGCGCGGGGCGAGGGAGAGCGCCTGCTGCTCCTCGCGCTGCTTGCGCGCGCTCGAGCCCGCGGTGTCCGTGCTTTCTCGGCCGCGCGCGTCGAGCCGGCGGCCACCTAGCTCGGCCTCGCGGCCAGGCCCGCTGACGCGTCGCGGGGAGCCCGCGCACCGCCGTGGGCGTGTCCCTCCACCTCCCACACCGGCCGCGGCGCCCGTTTCCGGCCCCCGCTGCGCAGATGGGCAACGACCCCAACGAGTTCAAGAACCACCAGCTCCCGCTCGCGCGCATCAAGAAGATCATGAAGTCGGACGAGGACGTGCGGATGATCTCCGCAGGTGTGCGCTCCTCCGCCCGCCCCCGCCCTCGCGCAGCCGCGCGCGCGGCCCACAACGGTCGCGTCCGCCGCTCACGCGCCAGCACCACGCGGCAACGCACCCGCGCGCCGCTCACGCGCGCACGGCACGTCGCGCGCCCCCCGCAGAGGCGCCCGTGCTCTTCGCGCGCGCGTGCGAGATGTTCATCCTCGAGCTCACGTTCCGGTCGTGGGGCACGTCGGAGGAGTCCAAGCGCCGCACGCTGCAGCGCAGCGACATCGCCGCGGCCATCCTCCAGACGGACATTTTCGACTTTTTGCAAGACATTGTGCGGCAGGACGAACGGCAGGACCTCGCGCAGCGCCAGGTCGAATACAACCCCGCAGGTAGGCTCCCCTGGCGCCGAGCGCGCGGGCAACGTGCTAGCTGCGCGCCGGGCGGCGCCGGAACCGGCGAGCTGCGCGCGGCGCGCTGGCGATGGCGCACCTGACGGCGGTGGCGTGCTTTCTGACGTGCAGCGTCGGGGATGGGGGTCGGGATGCCTGGCGGGATGTATCCGATGGGGGCGCCGCAGATGGGCGCGGGGCCGGGCAGGATGGTGCCGGGGCAGGTGCCTCCCGCGGGGGACGTGCGGGGGCAGCCGGGGCCCGGGATGCCGCCGGCGACGATGCCGGCGCCCGGGATGGCGCACATGCAGCAGCCGTACGGCGTGGCGCCGGGCATGAGCGCCCCGATGCAGGTGCGTGCCCCCCGCGACGCGGTGCGGCGTGCGCGGGCGTGTGGTGGCCGCGGAGGGCGCGGTGGCCTGCGCCGCGCGGGACGCACGCACGCGGCGCGGCGCGACGTTGCAGGCCGTCGCGCTCGCTTGCGAATGACGGGTCGTCCGCGCGCCGCACTCGTTCTCGCAGGCACCCGCACCGCAGCAGGCGCCGGACGCCGCGTTGCGACAGCCGCCGCCCGGGGGACATCAGCCACCGCCGCAGCAATGATAGGGAAGGCCCGCGCTCGGTCGCCGCGCCGCACCGCGGCCGCCGCGGCCCCCCGCCGGTGCTCCGTGGCCGCAGCGCTGCGCGTGTGACGCCGTTCCGCTGACGCGCCTCGCTGTATGATCCCTTTTCGCATGACAGGCCACGCGCGGGGGACGGCGATGACGAGGAGAGCTGAGTAGCCGTCGGCGCGTCGCCACACAACGCGGACAATGCCGCAGACTCAGTCACCGCTGTCACCCAGCCGGCTGCCGACACCCCCTGGTACAAGCAGCCTAGGACGTGGACCAGCACTTCGGCGCGTCGGCTGGCGGGCGTCGTCCAGTACTCGCGCGGCTCGCCGCGTTGTTGCTGACGACGCCCGCCACTCACTCTAACTGATTGCAGGTCAGAGCCTTCCCTTGGCACATGATGGCACGCTCACATGGCATTTCGCGCGAGTACTCCTAGCACGCTGCCGCCTTGATCAGGACGATAGCACACCCGCATTTCGTTTCGTGCGCGGGTGGTCAATTACTACTCTGTGTGTCGTGTTGTGCTGCGCCGGGCCTCGAACATGGGGCTTTGGCGCAGTGCCAGCTGAGAGCTACCTCCCTACTCCGGCCTTCAACCGTCGGCGTAGACGAGCCTGCCTCCGGCTAACTGACTCCGCCGTCTCACGTCCGTGGCTCACCGCCCGGCGTGCTAGGAACGCGCAACTTAGGTAGAGCTCTCCCCGTCATCGTCGCCCTCCCGTCGTGGCTTGATTACTGCATCCTCGGTCTAGTTCCGCACACCACCCTCTTTTCACCCCCAAAACCTCTCACCATGCGCACTCCAATCGGTCGCCGACGGAGGAAACGGCTCCAAGCAGCGTTGCGTCTCAGCGACCAGGCCGGCACCGCCGAGGCGCGCACGCTGCGTGGCCACCTTTCGAATGGCACCCTGTTCCACCATGTCGCAAATCTAAATGACCACGACCCGAACTTTCGACCCAGCATCACGCACGCACGCCGCATCGCGGCCGCTATTGCTCCGCAGGCATCTCCCCGTGCCTGGCCCCCTCCTAGCCCCCACCACACACCCTCCCACCCCGCCTCCGCACTAGCCCCTCGACCCTACTGGGACTACGTGCCCCGCGACGAACGGGCGCCCGCATACCCGCACCCGTGCCCCCCACCGAGCGCTCCTTTCCCACCGCCCCCGCCGGCGCTCTCGGACCTCGCCGCGCTACCATCGGTCACGGCAAACCCCCCGCTTGCGGCGCGCGGGGTTGTCTATGTCCTCTTGTGCCGGAAATACCCCTTCTTTTACTATGTCGGGGAGACATACCGCACAGCGATCGAACGACTGCAGGAGCACTTTGATGCAGCATTCACGCACCATCCGAACGCCGTGCACACCCCGCTTTACGAGTTTATGCGACGAGTGTGGGCGCAGTCGCCGAACGGCCATGTCCCGTGGCGCGACTTCACCATCGTGCCCCTCTTTCGCATCAATTTCGCACGCCAGGTGCCCATCCCGCCGGCGACTAGCCCGGACGCTTTGAAGGCCTGGTTCCACAAGTTCCGCACCTACTCCCTGGCCTGGGAGCAGACCATGATACGCTGTCTGGGCTCCACATACCCCGGCGGCCTCAATTACTGCAAGGGCATGTGGAATTTCGGCTACGGAGCTGGCCACTCTGATGCTGCCCCATGGCCTCTATCCCCCCTGGCGTTCCAAATCGCCGCTGACCCCCACCCCGTAGCGATCCCCCACAACGACTTCCCCGTCCCGCCCGGCCCGAGGGGGCTCCCAGCGCTGGCGACCCTCTTCCAGCCAACGTTTGCCATCTCCTCCACGCATCAACGTACCATCCACCTCGACGCTGACAACTGCCTCACAACTACGGCACCAGCGTTGTCCCTGCCCCCCGCTATCGCAGGCATGTCTCCGCGCCTCGGTACACGCGAGTATATCTACCAGACTCGCCGCCTTCTTGACGTTGTTTTGTTCCGCCGCGCCGGCGACACAGAGCACGATCATTGGAGACGCGCGGTGAACCATTGCACGGCAGCGAACATCGGAAAATACCTCTTCTCCCTCCATCACTGCGTGTCGCACATGCATCCCGATGCGCTTAACCTGGGTCTCGACGAGCCCTTTTACACACAGCAGATGTTGGACAGTGCCCGCACCGTTTTGCAGGCCGCCATCAACCACCACTACCCTCCCGTCGCAGACATCGACCTCGGGAGCCGTACCCTCATGATCCACGACTTCCCTACCCCCCTGGCTAGCCTCGCCCCCCTCGAAACCCTCGTCAATAATGATGACTTTCTCAACCTCTTACCTGAGCGTATCCGCGAAGGTATGGATGGCTTGTTTCTGGTGGCCCCGCGCTATTCGGTCAGGTTTCCACCGCTGTCGCGCTCGGTGTGCACGCACAGCGGAGTTGCCAAGTTTGCACGCAGTCGCCTGTACGACATCATGGCGACGCAGTGCGACTGTGCGCAACACCAAGGACCGGACCTACGACGCCACTTCACGCTCGAGGACCCCTACTGGCAGATCGACGGCGAGCCTGTGCGGCACCTCTGCACGCTGGACCCTGCTGCGGCGGGCATCCAGAGCACCGCGTACCGCCGTTTGTTCGCCGTCGGCGGTGCCAAGCACCGACACGTCCCGGAGCTGCACCAAGCCACGAGCGCGACCGTAGCTAGCATCGTTGAAGCCTACCAGAAGCCGCTGCTCGGGTGGACGAAACGCGTCAGCAAGGCCGCCGACATGGACGCGGCAGCGTGCATGCCGTACATTGATGCTATACTTGCTGCTACGCAAACGGCACTCCAACCCGCTCTTCAACCCGGGTTCCGCCTTCCATGGCCCCCGCCGCTGGCGGACATTCAGCCCGACGATCGCGTGGCTCTGCGGCGAGACGCGACACGCCTCACCATCACGACCATGGACAAGAACGCCGGGAATTTGGTTTTCGTGTGTCGGCGCGCCTACATCGAGGTCCTCCTGCACGACCTGCACAGCAACGACGCTTTCGCTGTCAACGAGCCGGCAAATGCCAACATCACGCATGCCAGGCACGTGGTGAACGTCGCTAACACGACGGAGGCTATGTTGGACAACCTGCAGCTACCAGGAATACGCACCGAACGCGAGTGCGGTGGTCTACCGCACTACTACGGGACGATGAAGCTTCACAAGGCCAAGGTGGACGTGCGGTACATCTCGGACTGCTCGAGCGACATCACGCGCCCCGCAGCGCAGCTGCTGACGAAGGCCCTCGGCGCGCTCATGTGCCACGCCACCCTCGTGGAGGTCTGGAGCTCCATCTTCGACGGCGTCCCGGAGGACCTCTGCAGCAGCTTCGCGCCCTTCTTGGTGGACTCCAGCCGCGGCATGCGTGACATGGTGACCGCGTATCTACATGACAACCCACCACGCTCAGCGATACATGCTCAACAACCACCTCTGCTGCTGGGCGCCGACATCAAGCGGCTCTACACGCACATCCGGCACGAGACGAGCGCGGACCACGGGACCGGCCTCATCGACTGCGTCATCGAACACATCGACGCTGTTTTTGCACTGCATCCAGGGCCACACCTCCTGATCGACTTGCAACCCGCGTTTGACGCGAGGGAGACGTGGTGGTGGGTGGCGCAGCTGCCGGACGCGGACGGCATGGTTGGGAAATGGGCACCGAGCATCGAGCAACTTCATGGTCTCGTGCACATCCTCGTCAAACGCGCCTACGTGGTGTTCGGGGGCGTCGTATATCACCAGACCTGCGGTGTGCCCATGGGGCTCTCGGCCTCCCCCACCTCGCGAACTGCTACATGTTCCGGCATGAGCTCGCGTTCCTCTGCCAGTTTCGCGACCGCTGGTTGAGCACTGGCGACGTCGCTTGGCTGAAGGTCTTGGGGTCTTTCCGTTATTCCAGGCGCTACATCGACGACAATTTCTCTCTCGCGAACGCACTGTACCGCTACTTCAACACCCACCCCCGCCCCCCCACCCCGCCCCCCGAAACCCCGTCGTCGATCGTAGATCTCATCTCTGGTATACATAACATGTACCCCCCCTGTCTTGAGGTCGAATTTGACGCCCCAGCGAACCCGCTCGACGGTGTCTCCTTCCTAGACCTCCGCGTGCGTCCGCATCCCGAATATCAGGGCTTCCTCCTGATCTCGCACTATGACAAACGCGGTCTGTTTCCTGAGAACATTCACCTCATACAGTACCCCCACGCTTCGTGTGCGCTGCTGCGACGACACCTTTACAACATCGTCCGCACCGAACACATCCGCGTGTCCAGCGAGGTGACTGACCGCGACAGCTACGTAGCCAAGATGTCGGCCATGATGCGCTACATGCGTACGCATCGAGGTTACTGCATGCGACAGGTCCTGGCGATCCACCGCGCCGCCTGCCGGACGCACCCGAGCCCGCATTTTGGCCCTGCCACGCCGGCGGGCCTGGCTGACCTCGTGCGTCGCCACGTGCAGTTTGCAGACCATACTGGCTAACCTGCTGACAGGGCGTGCCCGGCGCCCTGCAACTCGTCACCCTCATACATGATCCCGGCGCTGCGAAGCTGGCTCGGAACTATCCAGCCATGCCCGCACACATGACGCACTCTGTTACCCCCCCGATGTTGACATGTTGGCCATGCGCGTATTCCGTGGCCGCTAGACCGAGGTATGATCCCTTTTCGCATGACAGGCCACGCGCGGGGGACGGCGATGACGAGGAGAGCTGAGTAGCCGTCGGCGCGTCGCCACACAACGCGGACAATGCCGCAGACTCAGTCACCGCTGTCACCCAGCCGGCTGCCGACACCCCCTGGTACAAGCAGCCTAGGACGTGGACCAGCACTTCGGCGCGTCGGCTGGCGGGCGTCGTCCAGTACTCGCGCGGCTCGCCGCGTTGTTGCTGACGACGCCCGCCACTCACTCTAACCGATTGCAGGTCAGAGCCTTCCCTTGGCACATGATGGCACGCTCACATGGCATTTCGCGCGAGTACCCTAGCACGCTGCCGCCTTGATCAGGACGATAGCACACCCGCATTTCGTTTCGTGCGCGGGTGGTCAATTACTACTCTGTGTGGTGCCGCGCGCCGCCCGCCGCCGACAGGGCGCGCTCGCACCGGCGCGCGGCCCGCCTGCGCTGCGACGCCGCCGCGGCGTCTGCGCGACCCCGCCACGACGCGACGCAACAGCCCCGCGACCGCGCAGCGGGCGGCTCGCCCGGCCTTCCGTCGCGACCCGCGGGCGGTGCGTGGGGTGCGAAGGTCGCGGGCGGGGTCCGAGAGCGTCCGTCGCCGCGGTGTGGCCCTCGCTGCGGCGGTCGGTCGATGGCGGGGACGGAGCCCTGCTGTCAGCGCGGCAGACGGGGGCCGCCGGGGGCCGGGCCATGGGGCCGGGCGGGCGCGTGCGTCGCGCACCAGCGCGAGAGGGCAGAGAAGGCGTCACGACGCGCCATCGGCCCCCCAGGGCATCGTGGGGCGACGCGAGAGCAGACACAGGGCGTTCCGAGCGGCGGTCGCGCGCGTGCCGGGCCTGCGGCCTGCGGCCCGTGGACGCTCCGGCGCCTAGAATTGCGTAGATAGACGGGCGGTGGCAGGGCATGGGCGACGCGATCCGCGCCGGCGACATGCCGGCCCAGGAGATGGCGTTCTCGACGTGCACGGCCAAGCAGGTGCGCTGATATCCGTGCGGCGCGCGCGCAAGTGCGAGCGTGTTTTCGAGCATGGCGCCTCACGCGCGCGACCCGCCGTGTGCCGCCGTGGCCGAGCAGGGGGAGCGCGCCCAAGGGTGCAAGGCGGAACATGCTCGCGACATGGCGCGCGGGCCGGTGCCGGAGTTCGCCAGGCAGGGGCGGCAGAACCAGCGGTATGCGGAGACGGGGGAGCGGCTGGTGGCGGGCTGCATCCCGCTGCGGCGGGGCGAGGGGGACCAGGTGGAGGTGATGGTTATCACCTCCCGGGGCGGGAAGGGCTGGGTGTTCCCCAAGGGCGGGTGGGAGGTGGACGAGGACAGCTGCACGGCGGCGAAGCGGGAGACGGTGGAGGAGGCGGGGGTGCGGGGCGAGCTGGGGGAGCAGCCCATCGGAGTGTTCCACTTCCACTCGGGGAAGCAGGAGCGGAGACAGCAGGCGGACAAGGGTCGGTGCATCGCGCATATTTACGCAATGAATGTCGACGAGGAGCTGGCGGTTTGGCCGGAGAGTCGGGAGCGAAAACGGAAGTGGTGCTCGGTGCAGGAGGCAGCCGATATGCTCCGGCACGCCTGGATGAAGGAGGCGCTCGCGGAGTGGGCCAGGCAGAACGGCTTGACGGTCGTGCTGCCCGCGCCACCGTGACTGCGCCCCCCCCGCCCCGCCCCGCCCCGCCCACTGCACGCACCACCCTCCTCGCCGCCCCGCGGCAGCCGCACCCCGAACATCGGCGCGAGCGAGCACGGCGGCCGCCTTCCACGCGCCGCGGACGCCTCGCCGTCCGCGCGGCGCCCCGCCCGCGACGCGCGCCCAGCCAGCAAGCACCAGAGCTGGTCCGGGCCCCTCTGCGGCCGCTGCGGCGCGGTCGCGGCCGGCCGCGCCCCGCCGCGCGCCCCGGCCCGCTCGCAATCACCTCCACCGTCCTATTTCCCAGACTTTCAGCCCCACGCCTGCGCACCCAGGATCGCACAGAGCGCCCTGCTCCGTGCAAGACGCAGTCTCCGCACGGCCGCGGCATATTCCTCCGCACCGGCCCCAGCCCCTCCGCTGGATATCCATGTGATACCGAACCAACGCGACGCCTCGCACCCGCAGCCCCGGCCCACCAACACACCCCACGTGCTGCGCCCGCGCCTCGCAACCAACCTTCCGGACACACGTGTCTGCGCCGCGAGCACAGCGTCCAACAGCGACCGCCGCCTCTGCTCCCCCTCGTCGCGGAATCAAGCGACCACCTGTGTACTTATCATATGATGACAGTGCAAGGCACGATCCGTTGCGGTTCGTTACAACTCGACCGCCGGGGGCGACCACGAGCTCGTCAGCGGCGTCCGGCACCGCCCGCCCCCGCGCCCCTGTAGGCGTATCCTCCGTGCCCGTAGTGGCGTCCGCCAGCGTGCGCCCTGTGCGCGCCCCCGAACGATCCCGCGCGCGCGTACCCGCCGCCGCCGCCGTTGCGCTGCTGCTGCTCGCGCCTCATGTTGCTGTAGTCCTCCGCGTACCCCGTGTAGTACTCGTGCCCGTCCGCGTCCCCCCTGCACAGCAACGGCGCGCGCGACGGCGTGGTCGCGGTGCACTTCAGGTGCGGTGGCCTGCGTGCTCATGCCGCGGACGTGTCCGTGTCCGCGTCCGTGCGCGCGGGGGGCGCATGGCCTCACCACGGGTCGCCGTAGCCGTCGTCGTATTCGTCGTACGCCCCCCAGCCGGCGTAGAAGTTGTGCGAGAAGGGGTTGCTGTGCCGCGGCACGTGCCCGAACCCTCCGTGGCGTACGCCGCCGCTCCGCGCCGACGCGGACCAGTACTTCTTGCGCCGCTGCGCCGTCTGCGCGGGCAAACGGAAGGGTGGGGGTGAGTGTTGAGGGGTGAGCGCCGAGGGACATATAGCGCACACAGGGGCGTTGACGGCCGCGCGCCCCACACGCTGTAGCTCAGATTCGCCTTTTCTCTCCCACCGGGCCGCGCGCCCGCGCGCGAGGCCGCCACGTCCCGGCAGTGGCCGGGGGGCAGCCAGACGGCGCGCGCACCGCTGGGGTGCATGCAAGGCGCGCAGGTTCCGCCCACGGGAGGTCCTCCGAGCTCAAGGAATCATCATAGCGAGGCGTGCGGGAGCGGGCAGGCACGGGCCGCCGCAGTGGCCGTCCGGCGGCGCGCACCTCGCGTTCGGCCTCGTACGCCGTGCGCTTGTGCGGGTCGGTCAGCGTGGACACGGCCTCCTGCACGCACTTGAAAAGCCACCCCGCGCGGTCCTTCGCGTCCTCCTCGTGCGGCGCGCCGTCCACCCACACGCCCAGGTCGAGCACGCCCGCCAGCGCGCCCGCCGACACCAGCCGCCCGCCGCACGTCGCCAGCGCCTTGTCCGGGTGGATCGAGCGCGCCAGCTGCTTGTACGCCTTGCGCACCTCCTGCACGACACCCCCGCGCAGCAACTGCCGGTCGGCGAGCGTCCCCCGCAGCTGCACGCACAGACACCGCGCAGCACGCGGCACGCGGCACGCGGGGCGAAGGGGGGCGCACGCACGTCGCTCGAGCACGTCGTCTTGAGCCCGAGGATCTGGAAGTGGTCCGGCACCTCCTCCCCGTGCCCCACCGCGCGCACGTGCCCCTGTTCCGCCGCGATGCGCTCCTCCACGTCGCGCCGCCGCTCCGCGCTCGCCTTGACGTCCGCGCACTCGAGCATCTTCCGCAGGTACTTCTCCGCGTCCTCGTGCCGCCCGACGACGCCCAGCAGCGACGCCATCCGGCTCAGCGCCTTGGAGTACCCCGGCGCCAGCGCCAGCGCCCGACAGCAGTCCGCGAGCGCCTCGGCGTTCCGCCCGAGCTTCTGGTGGCACGCCGCGCGGTTGCTGTGCAGCACGGCGGCGAACCGCGGCGCCGTCACGGGCGCGCACGCCGCGCCGCTGCCCAGCGCCTGGGTGTAGAGCGCCAGCGCGTCGTCCGCCCTCCCGTGCGCGAACTTGTCGTTCCCGGCCTTCTTCAGCGCCAGCGCCTCGCGCACCGCCGCCGCCGCGTCGCGCACCATCGCGCGTGGCAGACACACCTGCGCGCGCACGCGAGGCGAGCCAGAGCGCCTCCGTCGTCGGCGTCGAGCACACACGCACGCATGCAACCGCGCACGCACGTGCGCGCAGGGCGCCGCGCACCTTCTCCCACACGCTGCCGCGCACCGCGAGCGCCTGCTCCGCCGTCTCCGTCCGCGGGGGGTCCCCAGCCGCCTGCAGCTGGTCCAGCGTCCCGGCCGCGGCCTCCAGGTCCCCCGACAGCAGCTGCACCACCGCGCGCACCGCCGCGCGCCACTCCGCGCCGCACGACGACCGCATCCGCCACGCCGCCTCCGCGTCCTGCCCGTCCTCGGGCGCACAGTCCCCCCCATCGACCGGGCCCTTCGCGGCCCCCTCCGCGAGCTCGAGCTTCCCCACGAGCACGCGCCCGAGCGCCAGGCCGATCGCCGCGGCCTCGGAGTGCGGCGCGAAGTGCACCGCGCCCTCCAGACGATCCACCGCCAGCGCGAGCGGCTCGCGCGCCGCGCGCGCCCCCTCGCGCGACAGCCGCGCCGCCACGGCGTCCAGCACCTCCTCGACCGCCGCCTCGACCTGCTCGAGCTCCCCGCGACGCTCCAGCGCCTCCTCGAGCGCCTTCCCGCTCACCGCGGGCCGCTCGGGCGTGCCGTGGATGGCCGCCTGCAGCAGCCCGCGCGCCTCCCGGAACAGCCCGAGCCGGAGCAGACACGTCCCCTCGCGCACGCGCGGGCGCTGGTTGCCCGCGTCGAGCGCCAGCGCGGCGCGCGTCGACGCCAGCGACGCCCACGGCCGCCCCGCCATGAGCTGCGCCGCGCCCAGGTTGCCCAGCACGGAGCTGAGCTCGCGCTGGAGGCTGTGCGCCTGCAGCGTCTGCCCGCCGCGCTCCTGCCCCGCGACGAGCTCGCGCAGGGCGTCCGCCGCGGCGCTGTACGCCTCGATCGCCTCCGCGTACCTCCCTGCACACACACATGTGTACACCGGCACCGCCGCTGACTCGCGCGGGCGTGTGCCGAGCGTGGCGCGGAACGCCGCGCGAGCGACCATCGGAGGCCGGAGGGGGAAGTTGTCTCGGGAGGGGGGGGTTGTACGCGCACCTGACTTGTACGCGTCGTTGCCCTGGATGCGCTGCTTGTCCGCGGCGCGCTTGCCGGCCTCGAGCGCGCGCTGCGCCGCGTCGGACTGCACCTGCGTGATCTTCTCCTGCCACCCCTGGAACGGGTTCTCCAGCGCCCCGCCCCGGTTCTGGTTCTCCTCCCCGGGGGACTCCGGCTGAGACTCCCCCGCGCGCGCCCCGGCGCCGCGGCCGTGCCCCGCCCTGCGCCGGTGCCCGCGCTTCGTCGGCGACCCCGCCGCCTTCCCCATCGAGAACAGCAGCGACCGCGTCGCCTCCGCGGGCGACCCCCCGCCTCCGCCGTGTGCGACACGCGCGCCGGCGTCCGGCACCGCGCCCCCCGCGGCGAACGGATTCGCCGCCTGCGTGGCCCCGGCGCCGCCGAACGCGCTCGGCGCCCACGCCGACCCCGCGAACGGGTTGTGCGGGTGCGCGCTCGCGCCCGTCGCCGCCGCTGCTGCGCCCTCCCCGGCCGGCGCAGGGCCGAAGGTGAACTTCAACGTCGACCCCGCGGCGCCCGCGGGCACCGCCACGCCGCGCCGCAGCGGCTTCGCCCTGCGCGCAGAGGGCCTCCGCGCGAGAACGCGTGTCGCCGCGCGTGCGGGTGCGCTGCGTGGTCGCGGGGCGTTGCGGCGGCGGGACACACCTCGACGCCTTCTGCGCGGACGGCGAGGGCTTGCCCGGCGTGAACGCGGGTCCGTCGCCCATCGCGAACGGCGCGGGGAAGCGCGGCGTGTCGCAGCCCTCGTTTCCAGGCGCGCGCGGGGGCGTCGCGGGGTCCAGGCCCTCGCTCCAGTCCATGCTGGAGCCGGGGGGCGACGCGCACTCCTCGGCGAGGCCCGCCGGCTCGCGAACCGTGCGCTCGTCGCTGCGGTGGCGCCAGAAGGGGCGCGGGCCGTTGCGCGGGGTGCGCTGTGTGATGGCAACGTAGCGCAACGTGACGGGCGCGCGCAGCTCGAAAGACCGGGACCGCCCGGACCCGGGCGCCCGCGCGCCGGGGTCTCACCTGCTCAAGCTATCCGCCGGGCCGCCGTCCGCGCCGCTCGCGGTCGCCGCGCCGGAGCCCTCGGCGCGCACCGTCTCGTGGGCGCCCAGGAGGCTCGTCGGCAGCGGCACGTGCTCCGCCGGCGGCGGAACGGCCGGAACCGGGCCCTCCTGTGCAGGTCTCGCGCCGCACGCCCCCGGGCCGAGCCCCACGCGCGCCCCCGCGGCGCCAGCGCCCGGGGCCGCGCCCTGCGCCCAAACGCACCGCCGTTCGAGGCCGCCGCGGCGCCCGCGGCGCCGCCCAGGGGCCCCTGCGCCCGCGGTGACGTCGCCTGTCCACCGACGAACGCGCCCGCCGCGGCGTCGTCGTCCGGCGCCGGGCCCACCGCATCGAACGCGACCTGGGTGCCCAGCGGGGCTCCCGTCGCGGGGCTGAACGCGGCGCGCGGAGCCGATCTCCCGCCGACCTTGCCGCGCCGGGACCGCCGGGAGGAGCGCCCCGCGCCGAGCGAGAAGCCGCCGTTCGCGTCCATCGCTGCGCGCGGAGCAGCTCCGCGTGGTGGGTCCCCGCAGCGCCCGTGGGGGCCCTGGGGCCGCGTGGCGGCGCGCGCGGCCGCTCCTGGGGACCCGAGATCCAGCGGTGGGGGTTCCGCGGCCCGGGTCGCGGCAGGCTCGCTGCGCGAGGCGTGGGCGGGGGTTGGTTGGGCCGCGGCGTGTGGAGCGTGCTCTCCGGAGCGCGCCGGGGAACCGCGGCGGTCCTCGTCGTGGCCGATCGCCCGCGCATGTGCCGGGGGCGGCGCGCGCGCGGCACGGAAGGGCGCGCAGCCCGCGCACGGGCCCGGGCGGGCGCGCGTGCGACGGGGGCAGTGGGGCCTCCCTGCGGCGGGCGCGGGGGGCGCCGTGGGGGCGGCACGAGGGGCGCGGGCGCGCGCGGGCGCGCGGCACATGCGCGCAGCGCGTCTGGAGGGCGCGTGACTGTCGGCCCCGCGGCGCGTTCGGCGGGGATCGGCGGAGTGCTCTGTGCTGGGAGCAAGGCCTGCCAACGCTGCGCAGGCGGGTGAGAGGGAGCTCGCGCATCCGCGGACGGGGGGCACCGACTGTGCTGGCATGCCTGGCAAGGGGCAGGGCGCGCCCGCGGGCGGCGCGGGCGGGGGGGCTGGGGACGAGGAGCCAGTTCCCCTGCCTGCGCTCGCGGTGGTGCGGGCTGAGAACATCCCGGACGATCTTCGCCCGGAGCTCCAGGTATGCGGCCCTGCAAACCGGCCGTGCGCGGCGCCCGGAGAGCGGCTGCGCGGGCGCAGCGGCCGACGCAACCGCGCGCATCGGGCCACGCCCCCTCGCCGCGCCGAGGGACACAGGCCGCCACGCGGGACCGCGACGCGTGTCGATGTGTTACGACGCGCGCGGATGCGTCGCGACCCGCCCACACACCGGCCCAGAACTCCGCCCGCAGCGGCGCTTCGTGCTCTGCCTGGTCTCGCCGTGCGCCAGGGCAGCCCGCGCCCGCGCCGCGCCTCGCGCGGCCCGTGCGCCACGCCACGCACGCCGACATGCCGACGGCGGCCCCCCCACCGCGAAATTCTCGGCCTGGTGCCGTCACACCGCCATCGCTCAGCTGCACTGTGCTTGCCGCGAACCCAGCGCACGCGCGGCCGCTGCCGTGTCCAGCGCGGCCGTGGCCGCTGCACCAGCTCCTGCCGGCGCGCCCGCGCGATCGCAACGCCCCGGCCGCCCCCTCCAGCGGCCGCGTTTCGCACACAAGGCTTGCCGAGGAAGACGACCCGCGCCGTGCGGCTGAACCCGCGCCGTTGCTGCGTCGGGCCCCAGCGCCCCGCGCGCATCTGACCGTTCGCCGTCCTCCCCGCGGCGCCGCGCGGCCCCTCGCGCCCACGCTGCGCCACAACTCCCCCCTTTTCTCGCCGCAGGGTGTGATGAACGACAACTGGCGGCTGGCGCAGGGGCGCACGACGCAGGCGAACCGGCTCGGGATCGAGAAGTGGGCGCTGGCCGAGGCGGAGCGGGCGGCGGCGCAGGAGAGCAACGGCAAGGGCGCGCCGTCCGACGACAGCACCGTGGACACGAGGGCGCAGCCGGTGCGCCCCCGCCCGGCCCTGCGGCCCCAGCGCGCGCGCCGCCGTCTCCTCGCGCGCCCGTCCGCCGCCGCCGCCCCGCCCCCGCGCCCGACGCCAACCCTCTCGTCCCCCTCCGCCCACGCAGGCGCCGTCGGACTCGTGGCGGCAGGCGACGGTGCAGATGACGAAGATGATTCCCGTCGTCAAGTCGCTCCAGGACGAGGTGGCGCGCGGCCGGTCGCAGGTGGCCCTGGAGGACTCGAAGGCGCGCCCCGCCGCCCTCACCATCGCCGAGGAGGGGGCGGGGGACAGCCCGCGCAAGATCGACAAGGAGGACGCGAGCTGGATGACGGGTGCGCCCGCGTCACGGAACGAGCGCGCGCTGTGTGTGTGGGGGGGGGTTGTTTTGTTTGTTTGTTCGTTTGTTCGTGTGGACTTGCAGCGCGACGGGGCGTGAATCTCTGTGCTCGCCCCCTGGCTCGCAGGCATGTACGAGTGTTCGGGCGACCCGGAGGTGTGCAAGCGCGCGGTGTTCATGCCGTGCTCGCTGGTGGCGCGCAACCGCCGCCTGCTCACCTCGGAGGTCGAGGTGGGCTCGCAGTCGGCGATCTGGTGCGTCGCGGGCTTCTGCGTCGGCTTCCCCTTTCTCGTCTTCGGCGGCTGCGCGGCCGCGGCGCTCTGCGGCACCTCGGAGACGCGCTCGGAGATCCGCCGCAAGTACCGCCTGCGCGAGGAGCCCTGCGGCGACTGCCTCGTGCACTCCTTCTGCCTCTGCTGCGCCATCGCGCAGGAGCAGCGCGAGCTCCGCATGCGCCGCCACGCCCTCGAGGGCGAC